GCCGCAGAGGTTTCGTGGGGTGTGGTGTGTGGGGGCCGCGCGGTGCGCACTGCGGGATGTGCGAACGGCCGTTATCGCTTGGGACACTGCAATGATTGTTTATCCAGCCCGTTCCTTGAATTGCAACTAATGACTCACTCGTTCTATAACCGACGACTGCTGTAATACCTACCGCGGTGCCGTCATCAGTTGCCAACAAGGTTTTTCTAATTATGATTACGTTTACAATAATGGCAGATGCGTGAACATTTTCGAATCACATCATCAATGTGTAATATTCCTCTCTAATATCAAAACTTTTTACCTTCTCAAGGGGTAGCTATTTTGATTTTTTCTAATGAGGTAGCAGAGGTATGTAAAAATCGCTACTTTTGGTATACCTAATAATAATGTATTATGCGGTCTTTCATAACTTATCATAGAGGACTATTTTATAAATTTATTGAAATTATGTGTAAGAAATAAATAAAAAATATCTAGTTAAAAATTTATTTGTTTATTGTGTAGGTACGTATCATATAAGTAGATTTTGCTTTATTACACATGGTCGAAACTAGCCAAGATGTAAGCTATCTCCTCAAAATTTTACTCAAATCCGTTAAACCGTTATAGCGAGAAATAGTACTAACGCTCACACTACACTATTTTTTTTTATGATACATAATTCATGAATCATACTAACAGCCTATTCGTGTTTGTACGCTACTTTTATTTAGTGTGTGCCTAGAGGTAAAAAAATCCCAAAATACTTATTTTCAATTTGGTCAAAAAGCATAAATCCCAAACTTTTAGTTTTCCACGCCTAATTTTCCACACCAACCTTGTTGAATATTTTCGGTCTTCTAGAAGCTCAGGCCAGTAAATTTTTTTATTGATAGAGTTAACCACCTTCATCATTAAAGAAATGGACTGTGAAAACTTCAGCCGTCTAGGTACCTACAGCGGTTTGTTCGAGATAGTCTCGACAAACGACTTTATAATTTACTACTTTTTAACCGCGGCTTCGCAACATATATTATTTATGTGTAATCACTCCATTGAAGATTAGTTTTCGATTCTTTGATTTTTAATAATTAGCGTGGATATAGATACAATATATTATCTATATTATATGCAATATGTAATTGTATATTATATTTTATCGTACTACTACCTTATACCTACCAACTGAGCGAGCACATTCTTTATAATCAAATAACTCTGCATCGAATTGCAGAACTTTGAGATACATATAAACCTATTTTAATTATAGCTTTGTATCTAGGAAACAATAATATTAAATGAAACAAAATGTTGTTAATCTTTACAATAATTTTATAAAATTTTCTCTATTAATAGAAAATTCATCTTATTTAGGTATACATATAATAAAATTGTAACTAAGCCGAATCTGTACATTAAATATTTTTTGGAAAATCTTATTGAAATAAACATTATTATCGGTACAAAGCCCAAATCTTTAGTTTTTAGAATTTTTGTCTGTCTGTCTTTTTGTCTGTTTCCGCATCACAGAAAAACCACTGGAGGGATTTTGATGAAATTTGGTGTGGTGACAACTGGTTATCCGGGTCAACATATAGGATACTTTTTACCGCGGAAAAATATCTCATTTCTGCGAAAAAATACAAAAACTGCATTGTAAGAGAATACTAATATGTAAAACCTAAGAATTTAGTTTTTGGTCATCTGAACGCGGGCGGAGCCGCAGGCAATGCCAGTTATACTATATTAATAAAAAGTCCATATATGGAAATAAATGATAAAAAGGAAAAATATTGACAACAATCAAGAATCTTTGCATTAGGGATGAGATGGTCAAATTGAGGATGGAGAATATGAGAGACAACCTAACTTTGGTGAGTCTACTAAATACCTAAATTATCGAACTACCACAAAAGCATTGTAAAGTTACTTCTTGGACCACTAAACTGTGACAACAGTGAGGAAGGCACAATGAGGAGATGTACACATTTTTCTTCTAATTCGAACTTCTTACTACCGCATAGCGTGTAATATATTAACTAGTAGTGTGTGATGTGTATATTTAGTAGAGGGTAATGAATACATCTTTAGATACATAATAAAACATTAATTTAACGAAATCTGTACATGAAATATTTTTTAAAAACAAAGACTGTAAAGTGTTGTATAAATAATATTATAAACCCTAAAACAATAGTTATTAAAAATTTTATCTGTTTGTCAGTATGTTTGTTTATTTGTTTGTCTGTGCGTGTAAGCGCGTTTCACGCAAGAAGTATTGAACCGATTTTAAGTAGATTTTGTGTAATGATAACTTATTACTCAAGTCAACATTTAGTATATGGTATAATATTGTATATATATATGGTACCTTTTACCGCAGGGAAACCTTTTATTTCCACGGAAAAACACAATAACAGGTTCGATTGAGCTAGGTATCCTTAGAAATTTATAAGGCTAACGCTGACTAAACCTTAGGAGATACATCAAAACAATGTACTAGAAAATTGTTGATCTTAAAAAGGCCTATAGAAAAGTGTGGAATATAATAATATATTAATAATAATTTTATTATCAAAAAAAGATTTATAAGTTTTTACAAAATAATTTAGCTAAATAAACAATATCGCTATTAGGTGAATGAAGCATCTGTAGCTGAACTAGGAAACCTGTATTTCAGCTAGCAGCGCCAAATCATCAGCATATGTATATCTCCTAAGGTACACTCGCAATAACTATTTTTTAAAATCTACCTACGCACCGCACGTAGTTTTTAATATAACGATAATTTTTTTACATAATACATATTTTTATTTTCCAAAGAGCAAAACTCTTTACTTATTTTAGTTTTACTTAACGACATAAACTTGCAAAAAATAGGAAAGTAATGTTCTAGTTAAAACGTAAATATTCAATATAAGTACGGATAAAGAGTGTTTAGTTTAGTTTTAAACGATCACTGGTACTACACGACCGGAAGTCGAGTGGCCCACGCAGCCGCGTGTGCCCGGAAGCACGCTACTTGCAAGTTGCAGTATGCAATATAGGTGGGCGGTTACGAATCATTCCTGTAAACGATCAGCGTACATTTGTACATAATAATCATATCATATAATATTGTCTCTCCTTCTCTCTTTAATTGGCCCGATGCAAAGAGGCCATTTAATACATATTAAAAAATATCTAACAATAAAATTATTAAAAAAGTGTGTGTGTACTTATGTATGCACGTAAGAAGTTATACCTATTTCTTTGGTATAACAAAACAAAAATAGCTCCAAAATTTTTATCCTGCGTGCGAATACTATACATTTGTAGAAACGACGATAAAATAATAAAATAAAGATATTGAAACAATTGATTAAGCTTTAAAGTTGATATAAAGGTAAAGATTAAGAAATATAATTATTTAATAAATGAGAATGGCTACCGACAAGCAAGAAAGCATATCTAGTGGTGAAAATTTATGTTCACTTTGAGTTTAACCAGGACTATGCATATCTGCGAGTGTTAGTAAATAAGTTACTTTTGTTACCCAGAGGAGAATAAAACATCAATAATGCAAACGACGTGCTTTAACTTTAAATCCCCGAACTCATAGAACGTAACAATAATAACAGAATCACATCACACATGGACTTTAAACATATTGTGAACTGACAAGGTACAATTCTATTATCCAATAGTATCAAGAATAAAGAGCTGAAATCTGGCACTAATTATATAATTTTTGCTTATAAATATTACTCATAAAAAAGTATGATAAGTATCTACTGGCACACAAGTATAAGCTAGTTCAAGTGTTACATACTACTTACCAGGTACTTACTTGAACTACAATAAACTTAAACATCACAGCTTACGTTGATTGTGTATTCTAAAAATAATACTTATTGTATTGTATAATTTTATTATTTTATTGTTAAGATTGAAATAGTGCAGCAGTTATAAAATGTGCTTCCATCAATTATTCTGCCCGTAAGTTTTGTGCCTAATTTGTCTCTTATTGGTACGTAGTCTAATTTGTCTCTTATTGTTAATAGTCACATAAATTTGGATTGCTTCAAGGTTAAGCATTTAGTACTAAAATTTACGACCGCAATTCACATCTGTTATTTAGAATGATTGGTATTGCAGATATAAAATTCATTCAGCAGTTTGTTGTAACTTTAATGTTGATTGTTCTATAGTGGGCTTTGCTTGATTCATTTTGGCACTATCTAATCAAATCAAGCCTAGGAAATCGATTTAATATCCTTTTAAATGTCTTATCTTTTTAAAACTTTATAAGTACCTATGTAAAATCCAGATCAACACCATCGAGTTGATCTAGTGCTAGAGCAGTTACTAAAGGCTAACTCTTTTCATACTAGACACTAGTGTAGAACCTTCAAGTTTATTTATTTCTATTATTACAATTTATTGATCTATATTAATGTATTCCATTCTAACTAGCCTTTTAGATTATAAAAGTGCACTTTCTCCAGTCGTTATTATCAGTCAGTATCCATACTAATATTATAAATGTGAAAGTGTGTTTGTTTGTTTGTCTTTCTTTCACGTCGAAACGGCTTGGCGAATTGGCGTGATTTTTTATGTGGAGATAGTTGGAGGGCTTAAGAGTGACATAGCCTTCTTTTTACCGCGGGGGCTTATTTATTTCCCACGGGAAAACACGCTATAATACAATCAAAAAAAATTTTTATGATCAGAATTACTTGAAACTTGGTATTAATACTCTTCAATACAATTAATTAAATACGTGTTTTATTATTCGAAATTCATCTCATAAGGGGGTAAAATAGCGGATGAAAGTTTGCATCAAATCTACCTTTTTAGAGTTTTTTTGTAGTTCTGCTAGTTAAAATATAAATTTATGCTTTTAAGAAATTAACAGACATGAAAGCTTACACTTGCGTATACCTACATATACTAATTTATTCCGTGTATCTCGCAAACAACTATTGATTTAAATCAAAATTTCTACCGACTTCTTCGGTCTTCTCGTAACCGTGTTACTTCTCAGGAACGACTCTCTTAGGTGACACGAGGAAGTGCCATATCGTTCTGAGGCTAGTTGGTCTATTAATAGTTCCCCTGGTATCCTCAACATTCCACCATTTCTGCTGAGAATTGATCACTGACAGATACCGAGTGACTCCGTGAGCATGGTCAGTGATCTGAGTGGGGGACAAACGCAGAGATTGCACATCAAGATTCAAAAGACGACCACCAGAATAACTTGACGAAGGTTTATATGAAGGTACAGCTAGAGTGTTAGATCTTATCATACTGTGATCTGTAATAAAAAAAAAGATTACAGAAATGAGTAAATGCAATATAAAAAATATAAAAACAATAGAAATTTTATTTAACATAAATAGACAGTGTACAGAAAGTAATAAGCAAATTAAAAGGTACACATAGTTATAAAATTCAGACAGTCAGACTTATCCTTGTCAGTCATCCCTGAAGATTGCTCCTCGTCATCGGACAATCTGTAATAAGACCATAGATTAGTAACGTTTTGTTCTTTATTTCTATTATATTTTTTACAAATATGTAAAATATAACAATTTTACATTTGATTAGGAACGGTTGAAGTCAACAGCATATTTTGTTACTTATTTTGAAGACTTTGAAGAAGTCGGTTGAAAATTTGGCTCAGTTCGGCTGTATTTTTTTTATGTTTGTTACCTTAGAACTCCGTCATTTATTAACCGATTTTGACAATTTTTGTTTTGTTTGAAAGTGTATACTTCCAGATTGGTCCCATTTAAATTAAAAAAATTCCACTCCTAAAGATGACAAAATATAGTTAATGATAAATTTAACCTACTTCTAATTGTCACATTGACTTGAAACTTTGCAAGTGTTTCTATTTCCGTTGATAGTACAGTGGTTCGGTATCGTCGACCTTATCTGATAGTAGGGCCAGAAGGTGGATAGTTGGAACTCTTCAACAGCTAATATATACTTTGAGTTTGGGCTTATTTTGTTTGACTTGACAAACCCAATGCGTTAGAATCGGATTTTAGAGCCAAAATTGTTAGTGTTACTAATAAAAGCGAATTTTAGTTTGTCAGTCTTCATATAAAATTGGCATTAAACTAACTTAGCGGCTTAAGCGAATATTTTTTTTAAATATTTTTACTTTGCTACTACGATGTCTACACTAAAAAGGGAAAAATAAAAACTTAAAAAAAATAATGCTTTGATTTGTATCGGCTGGCACCGACTTCGTAAATATCTGATTAGGTATCTATAGTAAATGAAAAGTACCAATCGGTTATTTTTACTTTTTAGTGTTTTTTTGAAGTCAGTTTTTTTAAGTTTTTATGTATTTAGATTGGGTTTGCTTTTTACCTAAATGGACGAAGCAAAGGAGGAAAACATGTTTATGTCTATGTGTGTATGTATGTATATTTTTTTGTTTGTTCCTATGTGGCATTCTAGAGACTAAACGCGTAGGCCGATTTTGATGATTCATACGTCGCTAGATTCGTCTTGATAACGCAAATGTCGTAGGCTGTATAAAAATATTAAAAAAATAAAATGGCGGATTTCAGGCGCCAATTTGTGTTTGTTAAGAAAAAATCTTCTAAACGAATCGAGGAGTGGGGTATTAAAATTAAGGTTTTTAAGAGGAGATCACAAAAATATATACAGCTGTTATGTTTAAAAGTAATTTAGGATATAAAATTGCTAAATATAACTTCAAATGTCTAGTTGGCAAAAACTAAAAAACTCTAAAAAATAAATGCTTAAAAGCTAACTAAAAAGATAAAAAACAAGTTGACGAAGGAATAATGTAGGTATTATGCAGTCGAAGACATACAAACATATATATATATATATATATATATATTTATTATTTGAAAACCGTATAAAAATCCGTTCAGTAGTTTTCGAGTTTATCGCGTACAGACAGACAGGAGGACAGACAGGAGGACAGAAAGACGCGGCCGGGGGACTTATTTTTATAATAAGTATAGATATATAGTGCATACATCTTGCGGCTAAGATGAAACGTGTATGTCTCCGACTGCATAATTATTCCTCCCTCAACTTGTTTTTATCTTTTTAGTTAGCTATAAAGCAGTTGGTTTTTATTTTTGTCATACATTTTTTATTAAGTGTATCTTTACTGCAAAAAGGTATTTTTTCCAAAAACATCATTTTTATAACTAGTTATTAGAGCCATTTTCTATCTACTCTCATGCTGATAATGACATTTAGCGCCATCTGGTAAAATTATGCGGTACTTGCATTGTCGCCAATGGATGATAACCTACTGAACGAACGCCTACGCTGAGCGGAGCTCCGCTGCGCAGGTACTTATATTTATATTAACATTATGAATTATTTAATAATAATCGAATCAAAATCCAGGAAACTGTTATTACAAATGGACAACGTCTATAATGATAGACAAAGATTCTCTGATAAACAAAGATTGCAGGAGTCATAAAAATCTACTTTCTATTAAATTGACATCATGCATATTTAGCAATCTGTTTATATTAATTGAATAAATTGACATCGTTCTTCTTAATAAACGTTGATGGTGTCTTGTTAGGTGTCCTATTCCTCGTGTAACTGAGCAAATATGGTTTCGTCTGACATACTTTGTAAATCCATTTAAAGATATCGATTATTTAATAAAAGAAATTTTTATATAATAAAGTAATATTTACATAAAAAATATTCAATTACCTACTATTTTTTAACTTCTTTCAAAAAGCGATTTGTTATTACTCAAATTTCATACAGGTTTTTTATTTATAAGGGACTATACAACTTTTTTGTATAGATCATTCGCCAACAATGAAACTTAGATCATTAGAAATCAGATGATAATATAGCAAAGAACCAATTCATTAAACACTAAACCTTAACGAATATTAGTTATAGAGGTTGCTATATATAGTCTATTTTTAAATAAATAGTTCCTATAGTCTAACAGCTGACTCGCCCTCTCCTAGATCATAATAATACAAGTTAAGCTTCTATAATCTATATTACCCGACTTCCAAAAAGGAGTCATGTCATATACAGAGAGTGCATGACTGATGGCAAAAGTTGGCGGGGGTTTTGGGGGGTATAGGTAAGAATTAAAATGGCGGATTTCATTTCAGGTGTCAATCTGTGTCTTTAAAAAAATGTCTTCCAAACCAATCTATCTAGTAGGGTATCAAAATAAAGGTTTTTTACAACTTATACCTATGTTTAAAAGAAATTTAGGATAAACATTGCTAAATGTAACTTCAAATGTCTAATTGGCAAAAACTGAAAAGCTGAAAATAAAAAAAGTACTAGAAAAATAATAAACCCGACTGCATAAAAGCTAATTAAAAAGATAAAAACAAGTTCACGTAAGCGGAAAGAATAAAGTATTATGCAGTCGGAGACAAAGACATACACACTACACAATTTATGTACATCTAGCAGCAAGGATTTTCATCTTCTTTATTATCCTTCGTTCATCTTTTTGGTTTTTTATTTTTTTAATATATTTTTACTATTATAATAGTTTTTGTCAAAGTTCCAATAAAAATAAAACGTCATGAATAACTTCGGTAATTTAGTGTTCATCTTAAATTTTCAAAAATTTCAACTGGTGATTTTTTTTCATAACTTTGTTTAAAACCCCTATGGACATTGGTCCCTACAAATTTAATTTACTTATGACCAAGGCTTATAGCTTAGGGCAAAGAAAGATAGAACGATATCAATTTAATTTAAAGAAAAACGTGTGTGTATACTCATTACTTACATATACGCAACTAAGAAGTTAATACTTCTTTGCCGTAACAGAACAAAAATAGCTAGAGATTTCATCCCGTATGTTACAATTCTCTGTTTGTAAAAGGAATGATAAATTAATAAAATTATTAAATAAGGCATGTTGGGTATATTACAATCATACAGACAACGGTTACCATGGCAACAAACAGTTAATAGCTAACTTCACCATGTCTTTTTGGCTGTCGGTGTGCGCGCGCATCGTAAAAACTTTACACTCACATTTTTTTTTCCAAACGTCCCAAAAGATGCATAACTTCAAAAAAATAATACTTCTTTTTTAAAATAATATATTCAAAATACGTAATATATCAATTTGTGCTATTATAAGGTAGGAAGTGCAATGATCTTACATTGCTTACAGCATTCGTATGTATGTCGCAGTTCTTGTTGATAAGGCACGTTCCTTAAGGTATTAAATTTATATGTTCTTGATTTGCTTTTACTAAATAAAACTTTCTTGAACTTAGAAACATCACTTTCTGATTTCAGAAGCAAATATACATATGACTTTTTATTATTGATCCCTACAGTATGGAATCATCATACTTAGAATAGTTTGTATTCAGCCCTTTTTAACGTCCTACTGCTGGGCACGGGCCTCCCTCTAGTACGAGAGGAATCAGGCCATGGTCCACCACGCTAGCCGACTGCGAACTTAACATGTCTTTTGAAAACATTCTAGGTTCTCTCAGACATGCAGGTTTCCTCATGGTGTTTTCTTTCACCGTTAAGACATGTGGTAATCATATTTGCGTATAATTAATATATTAATATAATATATTGCATATTTACCACTGGGCTACTACTGCCTTTTACTACAGGCCTACAATTATAAATGCGAAAGTACGTAAGTGCGTGTATATATTATTCACTTCTTCACGCTGAAACAACGTTGGACGAATTTGGATAAAATGTACACAGATAAATTATACCCTGGAGTAGTACATAGGCTACTTTTAGGCACTTTAAAGGGACGCACTTGAGCGTAAGTCAATAGTATTAAATAGCATGTAGAAAATAAGATTTACGGAACGTAAAGTTTACGAATTTACTACCTGTACTAAATATGTATAGAAGAGAAAGTAAAAATTACCATCTATTAAATAGTAATTATAATTTATAATACTTTTTATTTATATACTATATATACTTACAAACAAAACTATATAACTAACTAACTTCACAATAAAAGTTAAGATTTATTTTTTCTTCTTTTCTACGTGATTGGCAATTTTTCTTCTTAGGCATATACAGTGGTTACAGCGTCGAGAATCAAGATCGAGAATAATATTATAATGCGATTTCAGGCTACAACCATTATCTTTTACACGCTCCATCTATCTTACTATTTTAGTCTAATATATTTACATATAAGAGGTATCAATAGCTAGAACTACTCACTATAGTCTCTACCAATTAAAACTACTGATGAAACGATTATCACTTAGCGATTACGAGTATTGCGCTTAATAATCGACGATTACGATTTCGATTATTTCTGGGTTTTTTAATAAAACATTTTTTTTTCTTCAGGTTGTATGTAATCAGACAATATGTAACTGTGATGGACTACAAGGTGATCGCGGTGATCCAGGTCCACCCGGAATAGAAGGACCGCAAGGCGATTATGGTGATGATGGGCCCGAAGGCCGTGTGGGTTCGCCTGGTGAAGCAGGTGATTGGGGTCAACAAGGTGACTACGGTGATAAAGGAGAAAGGGTACGTTAGAAATATAAATAAAAAAAAAACGTTTGTGTGTACTTATTTATGCACGCACGTAAAAAGTTATACTTCTTTGGCGTAACAGAACAAAAATAGCTAAAGATTTCATCCCATATCTCACAATCTCTGTTTGTAAAAGGAATGATAAATTAATAAAAATAAATATATTTCTTTATCTCCACTGATATAAAATACGTGTTACACTTATAGATTTATGAATAATTGAAAAACAACTTTGAATATAGTTATGAGTTTTCACGGGATCCGGAGAGACAACTATCAGCTAACTTCATCATGTCACTTTTTGGCTGTCGGTGTGCGCGCGCATCGTAAAAATTTTACTATCATAATTTTTCCCAAACGTGCCAAAAGAAGTACAACTTCAAAAACAAACAAGTACCATTTGGAAAAAGTGTAAAATTCAATTAAATTTTTCAGGGTATTGTTGGACCTTATGGGCGACGAGGAGATACTGGACCTCAGGTAATAGTAACTAAATTTTAAGATTTATAACATGTTATATTATAACTTATTTAAAGTTATATATTATTAAAGAAAACAGTTATAATATTATTGATGTGAAACTTCTTAAAATCGTTGTGATTTAAAATTTCATGAAACGTAAATGCGTCACGACAAAGAGACAAACACATAAATATATAGGATTAAGCCGGCGAGAGAATGAGATAGGTACCTACATTACATAGAAAGTGAAAAATAATAAAATTAATAGTGCATAATATCTAATATGGGGCATTTCGTGTGTAGCGTTCAACGAAAAAAAAGTGAGGTTCTGAAATTCGTTCATATTAGGCATATTTGTACCTCTAGGGGATATGAACATGTACACATAATATTTTTTTTATTTGAGATTTAGTTGTTAAGTTATTCCAAAGAATTGATCAAATTGAAGAAAGGGTTTATTTGGATTCTTTTTTCATATTCAAGTAATTAGAAATAAAACAATAAATGTAGTGTTCTGTATAGAAAATTTATTGTTCTTTTTGATTTTTTTAGTCAGATACCAAATTTGAATAATTTTTCTAGTGTTAAACCGGAAGTAAATATTTTAAATAAAAAATTTAATAACTTCGACATTTTTAATTTTCATTATTTTTCTGCAAAAGTAAGCTTAGGTAATTTATATTAATTTTATCATAAAAATTACAGGATCCGAATTATGATCTTTATTAGTTTAGGAGATAAATTAATTACAGTACCTACGTACTTGTCCCACTGAGCGAGGTACCTCGCGCTTGTTAAAGCCGGCTGGTTGATGTGAAGACATTAAAACGTTGATTATATATCAATAATATTGAATATTTATTATTTCTCTACCTATTTTGTGTCATTGCAAAGTTATTTCGTATCTTGGTTTAAAATAAAATTAATAATTTTGAACATAAATATGTGTAGAAAGTGAGATCAAAATAAAACTTTATTTAGCGTGATATTTTTATATATTGTAACAACGAAATACAGGTAATAGCGCCATCTCTTAGTTCCAAATTAATCATTTCATTAAAACGAATCAGTTACAAGTATATTAGGAAGAGATATTTTTTCGGGAAAGAACGGTACATCTTGAGAGTTTTGCGGGTTTTCCAGTGATGATTGACTACTGGGTGCTTAAACTGAAATTTGTTTCCTGCGAGATATACACATCTGAGGAACATTATCAGCTTAACTTTTAGGGAGTTTTCTTATATCTTGAAACTTTCGGCGAGCTGGCAAATTAAATTGATTTAAGCACCTATCACCGTACGGAGTCGTAATAAATCAATAAAAATTATAAAACTTATTATTATAACGAACGTAACTCACTAAGAGGTTGGAACAGCAATATAAAAAACCGACATCAAAAACTAAAAAGTATAAAATAACTTAATAAATATTTAATTGAATATACCTCTTATGCAAACCTAATACCTATTTGTATGTGCTACCTATTAGTGATATACCTATACCTATTAGTGATAGGTTTGAAGTCGGTGCCAAGCCAAATGTAATGGTAGGTACCTACACTCGCCGCGATGTGAAAAACCTATAGGTACTAAACATATACACTAGATGTATAATGTTAAATAACATGTAAAATAACTTTTAAACTGGAGGGGCATCCATTAATTACGTGAGACAATTTTGGCGATTTTTCGACCTCCTGTTCCCCCTTGGTAAAATTTCGCGAGATTTTGCTCAACCACCTCCCCCCCTCCCCTAATCTTACGTGAGTTTAAAAAAAATGCATACTTGTAATGTAAATGAGTTAATCTGTGCTTCGATTACATTAGATTTATTTAAGAAAAAAACAATTTTCTTATATATTTTTTAATTAAGACTAGTTAGGACTAGTAGGTATTTAAGATTTTTAATGACGTAGCATAGAATCATAATGAGAAAATCAAATAAAAAAAAATTACGTGATATTTGCCGAGACCACCCTCTCCCTCACGTGAGATTGAGTGAGGTTTTGCTCGACCCCCTCTCCCCCCTAAACGACTCACGTAATTAATGGATGCCACCTTGGTAAAAATATTCTAAAAAAACCTTACAATTATCCTACTCCTGATACTCTATATTAATCTCGTTCTCTCGTAGGTTACGTTTCTTAAGTTTTACTTTTACCATGTGTGAACTGCGCACACACGCACATACACACACACTTTTTTATATATAATACCATATACTTTTTTTAGTTTAGCACAATTAATTTTAGTGTAAAGTATACAACATAATAATATTGTGTCTTCTATTTTCTTTTTTGTGTTTTAAAATGAAATAAAGTTTATTCAATTGGACTTATTACAAGTGCTTTTGAATCTTAATTACAGTCATTTGGCAACTTTATTAATTTTAACGTAACTAGTCTGTATATGTATGTATAAATATATTTTCATTGGTTTAGGGACCGTATGGATTAGAAGGTGTAATAGGTATAGCTGGATTAGATGGATGTAGTGGTATCGATGGTGTCATGGGACCTCCAGGTCCTCAAGGATATCCTGGCGAAAGAGGATTACCAGGTCCTTATGGAGAAAAAGGATTACAAGGCTTGGCTGGTGAAGGTGGTGTGAACTCCAGAGGAGCAAAAGGAGAGCAAGGTGACTATGGGCGTCATGGATCACCGGGATCCATAGGACCAACAGGTTGGAGAGGTGATAGCGGACCTCCAGGATTAGAAGGTGATCAGGTAAAATATAAATCAATAATAATTTGATTCTGATTAGGTGTTGCTTACTTGCTTGAAATTTTTGCATTGACTGTCAGAAATATATTAAACATCTTTAAGTTGCTTTTCTGCGTACGCTGCTTGAATGGTATGAAATAAAGCAATAAATAGTATGTCAGTAAAACACCTAGAGATGCAACCAGACGAAGAGAGGATTATCCCCTTATTATACGTACATACATATTATATAAATTAACTAAGCACTTAATTTCAATTCACTTGAAAAATTTGCTTACGATTTAAATTTTAATAAATTCAGGGTCCTGTTGGATATAAAGGCGAAATAGGGTATAGAGGTGAGCCCGGAGACGATGTCGTAGGTCCTCCAGGAGAAAAAGGAGATCAAGGAGAAATCGGAGAGTTTGGAAGACCAGCTCAAGTAATATATATCGATCAAGTACAACAAAACGTAACGATTTTAGCAAAAGGAAATAGAGGTGAAAAAGGATTACGGGGATCACAAGGTGTAAAGGGAATTAAGGGAGAGCGTGGTTCTACAGGATTTCCGGTACGTCATATATCACAATAATCAATTCGAGTCAATTCAATTATAAACGTAAACTAATTCTTATTTAGAACTAATTTTTGCCCACGGCTCGACTCGCATAGTGGACTGAGGTTAAAAGCAGGCCTACATTAATCCCCGTAAATCGTGCAATATCGTCTATGGCATAGTCAAATTCCATCGAAATCTGTTCAACGGTTTAAGTTTTAAAAAGTAACAACATACAAGCATACATAGTTACTTTCATGCTAATTAAGATTTTTTATCATATACGAGTACCTATGTAGATTGTAGGTATTATAATAATTAATTATTTAAATTAAATAAGATTTTACAATATAATATAAGAAAAATAAGAAAGATATTTTAACTCTTTAAAGATGATAGATTACATTAAAATCAGTTTGATTATTTCGCATATTACAGATAAAAGTTGAGTAAAATCAACTTTCTCTTTAAATCAACGTGAATCGTGATGTCGGTATTTGGTGGCTATTTCATTGTATTATTTTACTTATATTTTCAAGGGTCCAAATGGGGTCAATGGACCTCAAGGTTTTAAAGGTGACCAGGGTGAAGAAGGACCTAGAGGAAAGCCTGGTCATCGCGGTCATGAAGGCCCACCTGGAAGTAAAGGAGACAAGGGATGGCCCGGTTACGCTGGTCCAGATGGTGAAGATGGGCAACCTGGTCCTATAGGAGAAGATGGAAGGCCTGGAAGACCTGGTGAACAAGGGCCTATGGGAGAACCTGGAATCTATGATGAAAGATTGAATGAACCTCTTTTACCAGGTTCAATGGGTCCGCAAGGACCGGTAGGTGCTCAGGGTCCAAAAGGAATCAGTGGTTCAGATGGATCAGTCGGTTCACCTGGTATAATGGGTCCATCGGGCCCTCCAGGAGCAAAAGGTCTTCCTGGTAGAGCTGGTCCACCAGGGTCTTCACCCAAAGGTGAACCAGGTGATGATGGCTTCAAAGGCTTACCAGGACTTCGTGGCTTGACAGGAAATCCTGGTCGGACTGGGATTATGGGCCCGAAAGGTTTCAAAGGGTCAACAGTAATAGGACCAGATGGTGAAGAAGGTATGCCTGGTTCAGATGGAATACCGGGCTTAAGAGGTGATAGAGGAGACGTTGGATTTATGGGTCCACCTGGTTATCCTGGCCGAGGTGTTACTGGTGTAGGTCCACCAGGTGAAGATGGCCCTCCGGGACGTCCTGGAGTAGTAGGTGAAGCTGGAGTACCGGGTCGACCGGGAACACCAGGTTATAAAGGAGAACGAGGCGATAACTGTCCGTTTTGTCCTTCAGGTAATAACTGTAAATAATTTTTTTTTATATTGCTATATTGATTTTTGAATATTCTACTAATATTACATGTGAATCTACCACCACTTTATCATGTAGCTTTGGTATTTTAGGATTACCTGGACCAAAAGGACAAAGAGGAGATGATGGTTATCCAGGCCAAAAAGGCTATCCAGGATATGAAGGACTTCCTGGTCAGCGGGGCCAAAAAGGTCAAGCTGGATCCCCTGGGCTAAATGGTCTCCCTGGTCCAAAGGGTAATAAAGGTCAAGCGGGAATGGCAGGCCCACAAGGTCCAAAAGGACATAAAGGTCGACTTATAAAACCACCAATGTCGTTAATAGTAGCTGATGCTGGACCACGTGGTGAACCAGGCAAGTAGGATTATAGTAACAATAATCATAAACGTTATACAATATATTCACGTCTTACGTTCGTTTCGCTCTGGTGTGTCTCAGGTGCCCAACTGTATGCCTATATATTACTCCGGGTCATAATCTATATGTCACCACACCCACACACGCACATGCACGCATACAAATGGACACATATAAAAACTATCACATTTATAACAGTAGTCCGTTTATTTTTCTTAAAAAAATACTATATATTTTTATATATTTTTATCTTTTAGGTTTTATTGGAAGCCCTGGTCTTCGTGGTGATCAAGGATGGCCCGGACTGCCTGGAATTTATGGATTAAAAGGCATGAAAGGATTAATGGGTGATGATGGGCTTCCTGGGCGCCCCGGTTTTAATGGATCCAGAGGTAGAGATGGAGTGCCCGGCTGGCCTGGTGCCAACGCTGATGTACCGATCTCTTTTCTTTTCGGACAAAAAGGTGACAAAGGAATAAAGTAAGTATAAATATACTATACATACTGTATGACGCGTATAATCTGGCATTTGGAAAACCAGTACACCTGCCCTCTAAATATATATATATATATATATATGTATATCTTAGTATCACGCAATTGTGAGCTTGATTAGTTTATAAACTATTGTATTTATTAAGAAAATATATAGTAGCCAGTCGGTACATAACAAATTAAATAGGGCAACGTTATATTAACAACAAATTATTTCAGTAGGTACAATATATGTATACCATTTGGAATGATTGAGTAGTAAATCAAAAATACAGTTCAAATACTGTATAAAGAGAATTTTAGATTTTGATGTAAAATTTTGTTTTTTAGAGGAGAACGTGGTGAACCTGGTAATGATGGTCTTAAAGGTGAATCTGGAGATGCCCTCGGTTTCGAAATAAATGCTAAAGGTGTAAAAGGTGAAATGGGACCTCCGGGTGTACGAGGTATGACACTAAATTCTTAAACAGTTTGAAAGCAATTATAACAAACATTATTACAAGTCTACAAAATTAATCACTATACGAGTACTTAAAATAATAAAATTCTAAGTCGAATCTGTACATTAATATTTATTGGAAAACCTTATTGTAGTCAGTCTTAGTCATTATCATTTATTATCGATACAGAGGTCGAATCTATAGTTCTTAGAATGTTTGTCTGTCTGTCTGTGACCGCATCACGAGAAAACCACTGGACTTTTGATGAAATTTGGTATGATGATAGCTGGTTATCCGGGTCAATGTATAGGATACTTTCTACTGCAGGAAAATATCTCGTCTCTGAGAAATCTTATACTAAATGTTAAAACGTAACTATGCTAAAACGTAACGTAAAGGGATGCGAGGGAGCGAGGGGTTAGTCGCTAGTATTACATAAAATTATAATATTATCTCAAAATATAAAATGGCTAAAAGTAAAAGATATAAGAAAAGATATTATTTATAAATAAATGACTTCTTTGCATTATAGTACATTTGTAGTATTTCACTCTTTGGACTACAAAATTAATTTTTCACTAGGTTTACCCGGAAAAAAAGGAATAGCAGGTGATATGGGCTACGCAGGATTCCAAGGCATTCGAGGAGATATCGGTGACACGGGAACGTCACAAGCAGGTCCTATAGGTGCACGAGGGTTTCCCGGTGATAAGGGAGATACTGGACCATATGGGGAACCAGGAAGTATAGGCTTACGTGGACCTCCTGGAATGCCTGCTGGAAAAGGAATAAAAGGATCACGTGGAGATGTTGGTTTAGCTATTGTTGAAGGTGAAAGAGGAACTGATGGAACCAAAGGAGAAGTCGGAAATTTCGGAGAGCCTGGATATCCAGGCTCACCCGGTCGATCAGGTATAATGGGACCTAAAGGGGAAGAAGGTCTTCCTGGAGACAATGGACCTCCCGGTCTTGCTGGACCGCAAGTAAGTTATTCTTTAAATTTTAAATAAAACTGTCTTTTCAGATTTTTCCGCGGATTTATTGAAATAGTCATTATTATCGATACGTAGGTTAAATCTATAGTTTTTTGAATTTTTGTCTGTTTGTGACCGTATCAGAGAAAACCACTGGACAGATTTTGATGCCCTTTGGTATGATGATGTTGGTTATCCGGGTCAACATATAGGATATTTTTTATGCGGGAAAATATTTCATCTCGGAGAGGGTGAGTCGATAGTATATATGTAGTAAAAATCACAAATATCTGTCTGATCAAATGGAAACCTCATTCAATTGGTTAAGGTTAAGTTTTAATAAAACAAAATAAAATTAAACTTAACACCTTTAAATTAATAACTAATAACGATAAAAAATAACTGCTTAAACCAGCTATACTCAACCTGCGGCTCGCTGGCCGCATGCGGTCCGCCAGGCCTTCGTTTTTGGCCTGAAGTTACGTCTCAGAGTTGGCTTCCGTTTTAAATTGTAATACTCAGAGTTGTTTAATGAGTTCATCGATTTTGAAAACGATACCAATCTAGAAGTTCTGTTTAAAGAAAACAGAGAATATGTGGAATTTGGGAGTATTGTTCCCCAAAAATATAAAAGCGTCCAAAGATGTGCCCAAATCCTACTAATATTCTTTGGGTCTACGTATGTGCGCGAATCGTCCTTTTCAAAAATGAAATACACAAAGAACGTTTACAGAAACAAACTTACAGATTCTTATCTGGATGATGTTATAAGGATAGCATGTAGCGAGAAGCCACATCTTGATAAAGTTTTGAAAAAGTGTTCACAGTATCAAAAATCGCATTAAAACATATAAACATCTTTGTTAAAACAGTAACTATAATCGTTAACTTGGAATTACGTTTTAATTAAGACTTAAATAATTTTTGCTTTTGGCCCTCGACACCATGACTGAGACGTGCTTGTGGCCCCTATAAAAAAAAGGTTGAGTATGGCTGGCTTAAACATATGGATAAAATAAAAAACGTACGTAACGTACAACAACCATATTTTAGTTATTATTATAGTTCCATTTTTATAGGGACGAAAAGGACTACCAGGTATTACAATACAAGGAGCACGTGGAGTCCCTGGGCAACCTGGAAGACCAGGATTTTTTGGTCCAATTGGTGAACCAGGTCTTCAAGGGCTTAATGGCTTACAAGGTGACGTTGGACAAAAAGGAATGAAAGGGGAAGCAGGTAGAACAGGCAACAGAGGTTACACCGGAGAGAGGGGTTTTCCAGGCATAAAAGGTTTTCCAGGTTTGATGGGAAGACCTGGTAAAAGCGGGGAAATAGGTGAACGAGGTGACGTAGGCAGTGCTGGCTTTAGAGGTATACCTGGAAAGGTAGGCCCACAAGGAAACAATGGTCTCAAGGGTATACGAGGTGATATCGGTGTTCCAGGGGAAAGTGGTTTGGACGGTTGGCCAGGTCAAAAAGGGGACATGGGAGATTTTGGTGCTGTTGGGGTTCAGGGATTGCCTGGAGATAATTCTACTAAAGGTATGAGAGGTGATGAAGGAGAACGTGGCTTTGATGGTAGAAACGGAAGACCTGGATTATTTGGAATTAAGGGTCAAAAGGGGGACTGGGGTGACCAGGGTTTATCTATAAGTGGTATGGACGGTTCTAAAGGCCAACAAGGTGAAATAGGCATAAATGGCTTCCCAGGATTGAGAGGATCAAAAGGCCAAATTGGTGACTACGGCGAGGAAGGTGCAAAAGGCGAAATAGGAGACAAAGGTTTTTCGGGTCCCCCTGGTCGCCCTGGAACACCTGGACACGATGGACCTCGTGGATTTCCTGGTTTACCTGGACCCCCTGGAAAACGAGGACCTAAAGGTGATGTAGGTGATTATGGAGAGCCTGGGAGAATGGGTGCTTTAGGCTTACCCGGTGATTCTGGGCTGCCTGGATTACAAGGCATTAGTGGAGATAAAGGTTTCAAAGGAGTACGGGGTGATATTGGACCTAGTTCTTATTTACCCGCTACTAAAGGTGACCTGGGTGATATAGGAATGGAAGGTTTGCCAGGATCACCTGGAGATTACGGTGACGTGGGATTTAATGGAATAAAAGGTATGAAAGGGGAGCAAGGCGATATCGGCTTCCAAGGAGAATATGGTGATGATGGACTTCCTGGAAAGAAAGGAATACCTGGAGACGTGGGTCCTCCTGGTCCACCAGGTCTTGATGGTATGTTTGCACAGCAAGGTGAACCAGGAAAACCTGGTATTGACGGACTTCCAGGTTGGCCAGGTCCTATGGGACAAAAGGGTGCACCTGGAGAATATGGACTTGATGGTCCTAAAGGCGCTCCTGGACAACCAGGTCTTACATTCCAAGGGGCGAAGGGTTTCAAAGGGGATGATGGTTACATAGGGAGACGCGGTGACAGTGGAATTCCTGGTATTCGAGGAATGGAAGGAGCTCCCGGTTTTCCAGGACCCCCAGGTGAAACTGGAGAACCTGGTATGGCGATAAGCCCTCCAGGTGAAACTGGTGACCGAGGTTTGCCAGGATTTTATGGCTTAAGAGGTTTCAAAGGAGATACGGGCGATTCGGGTTTGAATGGATACAGGGGATATTTAGGAGAAAAAGGGTTGAAAGGAGTACGAGGGGATGAAGGTGAAGAAGGTTTAGTAGGGTATGCAGGTTTGAAGGGTATGAAAGGTGAAAGAGGTGATAGCATCTTTCCTCAAGATGTTCCTACTGGAGACCGTGGTGATATTGGTCCAGCTGGTTTCAATGGAAGAGATGGACGCCTTGGAGAGCCCGGTGATTTTGGAGAAAACGGAATTCCTGGATTTAAAGGACCTATTGGTGATGAAGGACCAAATGGATTACCGGGCTATCCAGGTCCCCCTGGAATAATTGGACTTAAAGGAACCAGGGGTACGATTGGCTTAGATGGTCCACGTGGTACACCAGGATTGCCAGGAATACCAGCTCCTCCACCACCAATTCCTAAATCAAGGGGCTTTTATTTCACCGTGCATTCACAAACAAGGATGATTCCTCAATGTCCTTCTGGAACAACGCCTATGTGGGATGGATTTTCACTAATACACATTGTTGCAAATGCTAAAGCTCATGGACAAGACTTAGGTTAGTAAAATAGTTTTTTTTTCACTATAATAGTGATTAGTATTATTTTTTAAGAACGCCAGGGTGAAAAACTATTATATATAAAATAATCTATACATATCTATACTACAATAAAACAGTAGAGGTCGAATGTCTGTGCATAGCAAAAAATGCTAAAAACTGAGTCAGGGGGATGTAAGAAGACAAATACAACAAATCCAGATTTTTTTCAAATTTTTTGTTTCTCTGTCAGTTTGTCTGTTTGTACGAGCTAATCTCCGAATCTATTGGACTGATTTAAATGAAATTTAGCACGATGGTACCTTATATCCCCGGGCAACATCTTAGATACTTTTTATCCCGGAAAATTAAATAGTTCCCGTGGGATAGTTAAAAAACTATAATAACTTATACAGCTTAGTACACAAAAACTACTAATTAAATTTTAATAAAACTTTACAATAATATAGTTCATACATGATAATAACAAATCGGGTACTTTTCATCCCGGAAAATTAAAGGGTTCCCATGGGACAGTAAAAAACTATAGTAACTTATACAGCTTAGTACACAAAAACTACTGATTGGAATTTGATGAAACTTTACAATAATATATAGGTCAGGTCATACATGAGAATAACAATATATATATATATATATATATATATATATATATATATATATATATATATCATAAGCAATATCTATTCTTATCTTTACCTACCTATAATAAAACTAACTTAGTCAAATCAATGTGCGCGTTTCACGCAAAAAGAGTTTTACTGAACCGATATTACGATATTAATTAATTTTTGTATAGTGATAACTTAGTACTCGGGTAAATTATTCATTCCCACGGGAAAATATAATAACTGGTTCTATCGAATTGTCCTTAGAAAATATGGCTAACGCTGGCTAAACCTTAAGAGATAGATCAAAACATTGTACAACATTGTAAGTCTTAAAAATATCGATAGAAAAGTTTTCAATAGTATATGTCTATCTCATAAGGTACACTCACTCTAACTATACGTTATTTATTCTATCTATAAATATATTAAAACTGTAGAGGTCAAATGTCTGTACATAGATGTACATAGAAAAAAATGCTAAAAACCGAGGCAGTTATCTTCTTACATCCCGTAAGAAGAAAAATAGAACAAATCCAGATTTTTTCGTTTTTTTTTTGTTTTTCTGTCTGTCTGTTTGTACGGGCTAATCTCCGAAACAATTGGACCGATTTGAAGGAAATTTTGCATGGTCGTACGTTATATCCTCGGTCAACATGTAAGATACTTTTGATTCCGGAAAATTAAAGAGTTCCCGTGGGAAAGGTAAAAAACTATAGTATCTTATACAGCTTAGTACACAACAACTTATGCACCTAATTTAGTAAAATTTGGCATGCTGATACCTTATATTGCCGGTCAAACAACACGTTACTTTTCATCCCAGAAAAATGAACGGTTCCCGTGGGAACTAATAGATCTCTATTAGTGTTTTTCTAGAGGCGAACCTGAGCGAAGCGAGGGTGAGCCGTTAGTATATAATAAAACAGTAACATAGCAAAATCTGTACATGAAATAAATATTTTTTAAAAACAATGACTGTAACGTATAGTGCACAGTCATATAATATTGCAGACTTTTCTGTAGGCCTTTTAAAAACCTACAATTTTGTAGTACATTATAATATCTAGGGACGACTCGATAGAATCAGTCATTGTGTTTTTTCGTTTTATATAAATATATAAAAAGACGTACCGACAACCAGACCAAATTTTTAAGTTAAACTATTGTTTTGGGAAAGTAATTAATCCTTTTGTTGTAATAATTATACTATTATCTACAGGTGCCCCTGGAAGTTGTCTCAGAAGATTTTCTACAATGCCTTTTATGTTTTGTAACATTAACAACGTTTGCGACTTCGCTCAGCGAGAGGATTATAGTTTCTGGCTTTCAACACCAGAGCCCATGCCGATGGCGATGACGCCAATCCAAGCTCGGGACGTAGGATCTTATATTTCTAGGTAAGAAAATAAGAAGATATTTTATACAAGTATTCTGTATTCATACCAAGAACCACCAATATAAGAAGGTGACGGAGGAGTCGTATCGGATAATTTAGGATGTACCTATTACTTTGAATATACTTAATAGGTACAAACAGAAAGTATGTAACCTAATTGTGGTCTCTGTGTTTATGTACTTATGTGAAGGTATTAGTGAATACATATGCATGTATTATTGTTATTTTATACATAGATCAGCATGAGGAGCCATTAGTAAGTATTTATTAACTGATTCATGGTGACTTAACTGTTTTTTAGGTGTCAAGTATGTGAGACATCAACAAGAACCATTGCAATCCACAGCCAAAGCAACACAGTGCCAACTTGTCCAAATGGCTGGGACGAACTATGGATAGGCTATAGTTTCCTTATGGTAAATAAAATTTATACATTAATACCTAAAAATTTACGTCATTTAAAAGCATACTACCCTAAAAAGTATGTTATTTACGAGTACGATAATGACGAAAAAAAGTCCATTTACATAAGAATTATTTATTCATAAATAAATAAATAATATGTATATAAATAATATTTAATAAATAATAAAACTAGATTGATGACAAGGACTGTAGCCTTCTCGTAGCACAATGTAGCATGTATCAGACGGACAATGTACTAAACTACACTAGAATTTATATACGCGTTTGTATTGACAATACAAATTAATTATTATGAAGATCCTAGTTGCAAAATACAATATTTAATTTCCATAGTGTACATACTTTACTTTTCAACCGACTTCAAAAAGGAGGAGGTTCTCAATTCGACTGTATGTTTTTTTTTTTTATGTTTGTTACCTCAGAACTCCGTCATTTATTAACCGATTTGGACAATTTTTGTTTTGTTTGAAAGGGTATACTTCCAGATTGGTCCCATTTAAATTTAAAAAAAAAATACCACCCCTAAGGGTGGAAAAACAACTAAAGATGAATTTAACCTACTTCTAATTGTCATATTGACTTGAAACTTTGCAAGTATTTCTATTTCCGTTGATAGTACAGTGATTCAGTGTTGTTGACCTGATCTGATGGCAAGGCCAGAAGGTGGATAGGTGGAATTCTTCAACGGCTAATAGTAGATACTTTGAGTTTGGGCTTATTTTGTTTGATTTGACAAGCCTAACACGTTAGAATCCTTACTTTGCTACTACTGTCTACACTAAAAAGGGAAAAATAAAAACTTTTTAACAAAAAAATAAAAACCGACTTCAAACAAAAGCACTAAAAAGTAAAAAATAACTGATTGGTAGTTTTCATTTACTATACATACCTAATCAAATATATTCGAAGTCGGTGTGCTTTGGCTAAGTAATTAAAGCCTACCTATTAAATACATACCTAATCAAATATTTTCGAAATCGGTGCCAGCCCATATAAAGTAAATAAATTTCATGACACCCAAATTTGTGCCTTAAATATGATTTTTTATATCTTAAAAAACTTATGACAGTCGCGATATCTAGACGAATCTAATTATGTCGGCTTAGCCGTTTAGGTTTACAAAATCCTCTAAAATATAATCTTAAAAATTCAAGCAAACCGCCTCGCAGCCTACCACACCCTACTACACTACACACCACCTAGCGCAGTAGGGTAAATACGTGGTAAATATTTCGTTATATACCTACTTTTATTTTAAATGTAAAGTGTATTATTGCTTTGTTTATATACATACGTTTATATTCATATATTATGATACGAACGTATTACTTATTATTTAGGTACCAATTATAAATACCTACAATATGCAAAATCTTGTATCTAATTTATAATCATAAGGATATACATACAAATGTAAAATTGTTGTTTTCAACAGCACACAGCAGGAGCAGATGCGGCTGGTCAAAGTTTGATATCTCCTGGTTCTTGCCTCCGAGAATTCAGAACACGACCGTTCATCGAATGCAATGGTCTCGGTCGTTGCAACTTCTTCGCTACAGCAGTATCATATTGGTTATCAACCATTGACGATAATCGAATGTTCCAAAAACCCCTTCAGCAAACTTTGAAGGTCGACCAAGTGTCTAAAGTCAGCAGGTAAGTTTATAATGTATTTCAATTTCATTTCAAATTGTGGGTAATAATTATGAATATTAGAGGTCCAAAAATACACTCACATGACACTAATTGGCCAATATATACATTGCCACATAAAAATATGAAATGATGGATTACTGTATATATACCTACTGCTACATACATACGTTTCAAATTAACCTTTTTAAAGTCTCATCTCTCTCTGATCGTGTAAAATTGTCGTCCCACCACATTCTTAGAATGAAGGAATAGAGATTGCACTCGCGTTAGCGCTCACATTTACTATGCACTATAATATCTCCCAGGCGTGGCTAGTCTAATTGAGATTGAAGATTACTTGTCATAACTAAATTTAATTATATGTATATTTTATTATATAAGTTATAATTTAAGACCTTATTTGTATAAAGAAGCTAAGTATTAACTCTATCATTTACACATTTATTAGATGCGCTGTGTGCATGAGACGGCAGCCTGGCGCGCGGGGCGCCGTGTACCAGGGCGGCGCCGGCACGGTCGAGGCGGTGCCCAACGAGGCGCGGCGCCGACCCCTCGACCGATCTAGGATAAGATTCCGTGGTGGCTTCCCGCGCACTCGCGGCAGACGCCGTTTCGGCAGCAATGTATAGGTTATTTCAGTATCAACAGCATCATATTAATTATAATGTCTCTCTGAAACTTAGTTGAACTTGTACTTAGTCAATATATTTACTATATAGGTATTTATGCTGTGCATTAATAATTAATAGCGAATGAGTTTACTGTAACGGAACGAAACACTGTCATTGCATTTGCATTTATCATTTTTAATAACATTATAATTAAGTAGGTATATACCAAAACTTTAAAAATTGAGATGTATGTATTAATACCTACCAAATATACTATACGTAATATTAATGTACCTAATAGCATTTTTGATTTTTTATTCTCCAACCGGTATGTTAGTCAAATTATCCAACTGAGAGAACCACCTTTATTTTTAATATAACAATTTATAAGGTACGTATTACTCTACCAATTGTTAATTACATTTTATTATTATCTCGATCTTTTAACACTTATATATATTTCGATTTTTATAACATCTAATTAAAGTTGTCTTATTACAAACACTCGCAAAAATCTTAGGCTAAGAAACAGTAAACAGCATTGATATAGTATATTATACATAGTGATAATAACCTTTCTATACATGTTTGTAAATAAATTACACTTATGTAGAACTTATTTTAATATAAATAAAAGTAAATTAATAACATTATTTTGTTTATTGCTTATTTTATCGCGAATGACACCCTGCCAACGTTCATCGCTCATATACCTAATATATCATATATAGCTTGCTTCTTAGAATTAGGATGCACAACGCTACGGAATTTAATTTCAAGTGAAAATTAATGAAATTATTTGATATGACACTATATGTAGGTATTATTAAATGAAAACAGAAAGAAATGCTATTATATTTGGTAATGCTGGTGATTACAGAGAATGCGAGCATTTACCCGCAGGTCGAAGAACTAACTGTGAGCGATAAAGTCAATGTTTAGTATGTCATATCTAAAGTTCATAAAACTCAGGATTTACGCTTAAGCCCAATTAAATAAATTATTATTTTTTCACCTTTTGCCCTTAGATGAAATTTAATTATATGTTTCCTGTTTATGGTTCTAAAGTGATTTGCATAGAAGACGTTGTGTATAGGGACAGATCTTGGGGCAATGCATTAATATATCAGCTGAATAACATCTTAATAGCTGAATAACAATTACCTAACCAAATTTATTCTTACCAAATTTCATCTAAATCGGTTCAGTAGATCCTGGGATTACCCCCTACAACGTCACAAACTTTACTCTTTATAATGTTAGTATAGACTATAGATGATCTGTAATGACATTAATGAGAACTAAAAACAAAGTTCACCCTAAAGCCTAGTTCGCATTAAGCTAGTATTTTAGTCTAGTAGCGAGTAATTTAGTAACTAAACGTGTCTGAACACTAAAAATTTAGTCGATTAGTTTAGTAAGTAATTTAGTCGAGTCAATCCATTTTATTCTATTTTTTTGGGCGAGTAGCAGCCCCCACCACGCGTCCGAGCTCACTGGTTCACCGGCTAAACAAGTACGAAGTACGAACCTGTCGAATTAGTCGAGTTCATTAGTTGCCGCCATAATGTCGTTTCGCTGGAGCGAAGAAATGACTTTTAAATTTGTTTCGAAATATGTTGAACACGAATGCTTGTGGAATAATACGTCCTTGCATTATAAAAACAAGCATATGAAACATTCTGAATTCTGATTAATCAGATTAATCAGTTTATTTACTTTATTGCGTTGTAGGCTGTTCATCTTGCAAAACACCACTCACTTGTAAACTGTACTCGACCAAAGTGCGAACGATTTTTGGTGAGTAGCGAGTAATTTAGCTACTAAATTACTCGTTACTAGACTAAAATACTAGCTTAATGCGAACTAGGCTTAAGTGCGAGCCTTGTTGTACTCCTGAGGTAAGAAATTTACAAAGGATTTATAACTCTGTGTTGTTATGCGTTGCGTTCAACGTTCTATTGTACTAATAAAACTAAACCCAGTTCACAAGATTCTCATGAATTCCGTAATATATTAATTTAGCCCACATGCTATTGTGTTTAAATGTTTGAAAAGCGCTAAACGTAAACGATAAAACAAAATCTGTATAGACTGAATCAATTTCATTATTTCCGTCGTTACCGTTTTCTAGATTTGACAATTATGCCAGAAGATTACTTTTTGTATACAGCGGAGTCTTAGTAATAGGGTCCCATTTTACCCTTTGGGTACGGAACCCTAATAAACTACTCTAAAATACTCTGCTGTGAACGCAGAGCCCGATCCATACTCGAAACGTGTGGTTTCTCGATAACCAATCACAGCGCGAGGACCTTGAGCCCCCATCAGCTACTGGCATACCTCGATAAGCTATCTTTCTCGCACCTATGGCTACGCATAAGACTTTTTTGTAGTACTAATTTGTAAACTTTATTTACGTCTGGGAATGGTTTATAACCGGTAAATTTGTCTGGCGATTTGCAAGTATTATTGAAAATTACTCAATAAATACTTGATTAAAATTTCAGATTGCCAAAAGTATATTTTTTGGAATAAAAAAAATGAATCTTTGGAGAGGTCTGGCAATACTTTATAACCGACAAAAACGTCTGGGGGTTTTTTTTTTTGAATTATATGAAAACTAAATTAAAAGATTAAATTAAAATCAAGTTGCCAAAAATATGTTTTTTTGGATATATTTTTTTGCAAATGTTATATACTGAGCAGTAACGAAATAACCGCTAAAGCTATACCAGACTCGCGGGACTGGATTCGCCAATTCACGAAATTATATTTTTTCACAGTTTTAACTTGCCAAAAGGACCTTCCCAAAATTCGTCGCAATCTCTCGGAATAAGGTATAATATAATAATACTCTGAAATGTAAATAATTATTTTTAGGGATGTACAATATTTTGGTTGCACAATAAAATAATCTGCTTTAACAGATGTACCCTTGTAGCTGACAAGTAGAAACCGTAAACTAAGGATCAATTTAGACCTTTATGGGAATCATGGTTATAAGTAAATAAACACGACAAACAAAAATATTATTGTATCATGTATATTCTTAAACTATATCAGAAAAACTATTCTATAGTTTTGCTAACAGAATCTAAATGACTCAATTTGTGATCTTCAAGGATGGGTCTAGCTTCATATGTACAAATAGTGACTCCATGTTTATGTCCAGGCATCCACTCTCCTTTAAGTCCTATATAATATATTTTTGTACTTTCAGCACCAAAATTAGCAGGAAAATGCATGGTTAGATGTGATACACTTGAAAAAGTGACAATTCTGAAAATGACAGAAATATATTACAAATCATTATAGTTTCTAAGAACATCCTCCTGACAGATTTCTGCCTAACACTAACGTCTCAACTCCAGGCTATAACTGGGAATTTCATGATAAAAAAGCACAGTAACTATACTTGAGCATCAAACCCAAGCCTTGCTAGCTACTTGACCAAATTTTTGATAAAGTATTTGTAAATGATTAGTAAATCAATCAACCTTAAAAATAAATTTCCTTTATATGTTTATATGCTCCAGATGTTGGCTAGTCATAATGATATCTCCCCAACAAAGATATTTAATACAGTTTTTTTAGTTGACTGGGCTATACAACTAAATAATAAATAACTACATTCGCGTGCAACTGATTGACTCAAGCCGTATATTGGTATATAAGTTTATTTTTCGGAAAATGGCTTATCCGATTTATGTAAAAGTTTTTTTATTCCAAAGACATATTTTTTTTTCATAAATATAGCAAATTTCAAATAAACAATGACTTTTTTTTAAATAAATGCGGTCAAACATAAGCGTTTCAGAAATTACTCGTTGCGGTACCCACGAGTTGCGAGACTAAATCATGTATAAAAGCTCACGTGACCCATATTTCTTATCAGTCACTCGTCAGTCTTTGACAGGTACACATCTCCTTAAGCTCCCAGTATTCTAATCGCGATCCAGTGGACACTACCTCAGAAGCAGCGGCCCAAGTTGTAGCTTTGTTGCAAGCGGGCCATAATCAACGGCAACTCGCTCGTGAACTTAACATGAGCCAATCAGCTGTTTCACGAGTATACAGAAGGTTTCAAGAGACTGGTGGCTTCGTTCGGAGACCACAAACCAATAGACACCGGAGCACATCTGACGACCGCTTCATTGTCTCAACTTCGTTGAGAAATCGTCATCTCACGCCCGTGAGGGCGTTGATGTGCAACAGGAGCTCAGAAGGGTTCGAGGAGTGGCTGTCAGTCAGTGGAAAATTAGAAGACGCCTGAAGAAAGCCAATTTAACTCCTAAACGGCCAGCCAGAGGCCCGAAACTGAGCGCAGCCAAAATCACCGTCAAGCCCGACTTCAATTTGCTCGTGAACACCTAAATTGGACTATTGAGCAATGGAGCTCCATCCTGTTCACTGACGAGAGCAGAATGTGTCTCCATGGCAACGACAGAAGAGACCGAGTATACAGGCGTCCAGGGTGCGAGAACGGTTCTTGCAATGCTGTTTCGCTGAAACAGTATCATATGGCGGTGGTTCAGTCATGATGTGGGCTGGAATATCATATGAAGAGATGACCGAGCTTGTTTTCGTGTCTGGTGGTGGTCTAACAGCTCAAAAGTATGTGGAAAACATTCTCCTCGATTATGTTGTACCTTATGTACCCTACATAGGAGAAGATTTTCTATTGATGCATGATAATGCTCAGTGCCATACAGCAAGTGTTACTCGCGAGTTTCTTCAAGAGGTGCAAATTGAGACGATGATGTGGCCAGCCTTCAGTCCTGATCTGAATTGCATTGAGCATTTATGGGACGAGCTCAAACGAAGGGTGCGAGCTAGAGATACGGCTCCATCAAGCATCGTCAAGCTCAAAACTGCACTAGAGGAAGAATGGAATACGATACCTCAAGAGTTTATCAAAAAATTTATAAAATCAATGAAAAATCGCATGCAAGCCATTATAAAAGCTAGGGGAGGCAATACAAAGTATTGAAAATTTTATTTTTTTTTTACTTTTATCAAAAATAATTTTTATTCATTATGTTGTTGTTTTCATTTTTCTTCATTTTTTATGTATTTCTGTCAAATTAAATTTTATCAATAAATATTCAACCGATTTTTCTCATTAGGATAACATTTTTTAGGAGAAAAGATTAGGCTTTCAAACAAAAAAAAAACAAAAAATTCGGATAAGCCATTTACCTAAAAATCTAACTTTTATACCAATATACGGCTTGAGTTGATTCAGTTGCACGCGAGTGTATTTAATCTTTTGCAATTATTTATGTCAAGTATTAGTTTCATACAGGCAAAGCTCCATGAAACATCTATTATGCAGATGGAGGAACTTCCAATATATATTTTTTACACAATTATGAGCCTCCCCAGTGATAGAGAGAATTAATTTATAAATATTACTTGCTATGATTGGTATATGAAATGTCTGTAATCTGTGGGGCATGGCAAAAGAACCACAAATAATAATTGTACATTGGATGTAATGTATTACTTTGGATTATATTCGATATGTCCCTCACAATCTTTTTGAAGTTCAAAAACTTGATCTGGTTCCATAGACACATCATCAAATGTTAGGTTTGGTTTATTTTTAAATCTGAAAAAACAATGTTTTATGTATTACAACAATTACTTAAAATCTAAATGTACATTTTATAATATTTTATTTAAGCTTGACTAAAATTTAAGTTAGTAAATATGCATTTCCCTTATAAAAAAATATAATAAATGAAAATTATTTTCCTCTTTCTTGTCTAATTAGTCATTTTTTATCTAAGTAAAACCTTGTAATGGTTTTTTACATTGAAAAAATAAAATAAATGCAGAGAATAAAAAGTGTTGTAGTTTTGTGATTAACAATTATTAGATGTTAAATGTTTCTTTTTTGTAACAATATTACTTACAGTCTTAACTTCGCTGGATGGCAATCTGTGTCTTCAGATACTATCCTTATACCTTTAAGTTTAATATTGCCAGTGAAAGGTATATTAAAGAGTAGCTCTTCATCTGCATCACTTTCAACATACTACGAAATAAAAGCTTGTCAAAATAAATGAGCCCTACACAATGTATGTACCAGTATGATGCGAAAGATTTGTTTATAAAAATCAATTACTACCTGTGTTCGGTCTAACCTTCTTTCCCAGGGCTTAAAAACAGTTTTTCCAGCACCATCAATACTTTCATTTAAACATTGTAAGTTTTCAATATCAATTTTTTGAAATAGATTATACTGAACACCTAATTCGTCGTCATGATCGTGGTGCCCATCGCAGTGACTATGAGGCATTTTATAATTCAATATGCAATGGTTAAATAAAAAATTATATTGAATTTATTATTATTATCCCAGGAAGGCTTTGGAATTTGTATTACGTTAGGAATACCTAATTTTAGGCACTATTAAATACGCATGATTAGACAAAAAAACAGTTAAGAGAGTATTCAAATAAACATGGATGATTTATTTCATGGATGCAGGATGACAAATAAAAATTTATTTGTCATCCATAGTGACAAATGACAATTAAAGCTAACTGCTAAGTGACATAAGTACGGCTGCCAGATAATAGGAAATACTTATTAAGAATGACAGTTTCATACAATCTTTAATCCCTGGTTTTACCCACTTAGGGAATGAATTTCGAAAAATTCTTTATTATCAGATAGCTACATATACATATATCGTGTATGGAATACGTCCTCCAAATTTCTACGACCAGCGGTTTAGGCTGTGTGTTGATCCATCAGTCAGAACCACCGCAGGATGCACTTCTCCTTCTCAATTGTTCCTTCAGCTGGTCTAACTTCCAGATACAATACATTGAACAGGTAAAATGTGAACATAATAGAAGCAAAAAACTAGGCACAAAAGAGATATCATAATAAATAGCTTAACTTCAGACTGAATGTAAATAGGTCATACGTATAGCGCCCTCCTTCCAAGTACTCTTTCCCAATAAGCATCACCATGCTTAGGTATGATAAAAATATATTGAATATGATATGTTTTTGATATTTTATGTTTATCAATTTATCGGGAATAAAAATATTGACTATTTATATCGATTAATTTCTAAAAAAAATATTGTACCTTTTTTGATATAGGTGTCGATATTTTATGCCTAGTAATATTGTTTTTAATCTGTGGTCATTACAAATAAGATTGTGCTAAATGTGAATCGTCTTGTCTTTTGAGATAATTTTTAAAGGTTTGAGAAATAATTAAGAATAGTGCCAACAATTGTGTACTGTGTCACATGGTTTCTTGTCAAACTGAACACATTTTGCAAATAAAGCTGTTAAAATGTCTTTGTTGAATAATATTGGAATAACATTTTTTTCCACAAGTTTAATTCTGTGTATTATATTATGCACCGACAATTACGTACTCGCAAAAGAGAATGAGGCCGAAAGTATATCAAAAATTGGTCAAGGAGTCGGCCACATTATGAATATTTATTATTGGTTTGTATGAATACGTGAATACGAAATTTTTTAATCAACAATAGTTCTAATTACAAAATGGAAGTCTTAATATTTCCTAACATTTAATATCCAATACGGAATGATTTTGATTTATTAAATCTTGTGACGTGATAATGATTAAGTTAAATGAATAATATTATTGAATAATTGTATTTTTAGTTATTCTTGTGGCTACAGAAAAGTATTTGATGATTATGCTGCAATAATACAACAGAAATATCCACAAATCTCAGTCTTGGGCGAAAATTACGATCCTCCAGGCCTAAATATGTATCTTTCTAGAATTATTGTAAGTATGAGTCAACACAAATTATAACTTAGTAATTGTTTCGACTTCAATTTTATATAAAATTTGATTTATGTTTATAAATATATCACATGAGTATCTTTAAACAGAGAAATATTCAATAAAATCTATACATATAATAAAATTCTGAGTCAAATCTGTACATGAAATATTCTTTGGAAAATCTTATAGAAATAGTCTTTATTATCAATACAGAGGCTGAATCAGTTTTTAGGATTTTTTTCTGTCTGTCTGCAAATGTTTCCCATGAAAATCACTGGACAGATTTTGATGAAATTTGGTATGGTAATAGCTGGTAATCCAGTTCAACATATAGGATACTTTTTACTGCGGGATAATATCTCGTGTCTAGGAAATCTATATTAACTGTTAAAACACATCTAAGAGACAAACCCGAGCAGAGCGAGGGTGAGTTTGCTAGTTATATTATAAATAACAATAATAAATATAAATTTTTTTTTTCATTTATTTAGATTCAAATATTAAGTTGAAAGTCACATTCTTAAATGTAATTTTAAAATGTCAGATACCAGGATGAATATAATAATTATTACACTTGTTTTTTATGTTATGTTATTTTTTCAATTTAAGAATTTATTGTAGAATTTGTGTTGTTTACATAAAAAATATTTGTTACAGGGATTTGGAAAGATGATTTTAATAATGTGTATATTGAGCGGAGTCAATATTTTTGCTTGGTTAAATAAACCTCAACCAGCCTGGTGGTCCTGGTGCCTTGAAAATAAATTATATGCTTGTATGATGATGTTCTTTTTAGCAAATATGATAGAGGGGCATTTGGTTTCATCAGGTGCATTTGAAATCTCACTTGATAACATTCCATTATGGTCCAAGTTGGAAACTGGACGAATCCCTCAACCACCAGAATTATTTCAAATCATAGAAAATACTTTACAGTTTTCAAAGATGGAAATGTCTAACAATTTTGCAGAGTAATATTTTAAGTATGTGGAATAAAAATTAAGCAATCTTTGAATCCTGTGAGATTTTTTATATTGGTTAATTGGTGTTATTAAAAGTATAATGCATTTAAAAATATACCTATATTCAATAATTTTGTGTTTATTATCGATAGTATATTCTGTAATATTGATAAAAACAAAGTCATTAAAAATTCCCTGTAATATTTTGAATAATTAATATATCTTGGCCATCCTACTTTTAAGATTAAACAAAGTAACATTTTCAACAAAATATAAGGTGTATTGTTAGGGCAGTACCACTCATATAGTTAATTATTTCATAGATGTAACATAATATATTGTTTGACCTCATGTTTTCATAAGTGTTAAGTTGTTAAAACATACAAATTTCAACTGTCACATAGAATGTAGTTTTATTTTATCTTAGCAATTGATGAATATTATCGACCTGTATGTTTGTGTGATTTCTCAGTTTATACCAAGTTTTAAAATGTTATTTTTGTTTTAATGTGTACCTTAAAATAAAGTTCAAGTATCTGTGATGTTAAATGATTGACTTTCTTAACTTGTATAGTATATACTAATCCAGTAAATAATTATTAAACTTCGAAACAAGTAATCTTACTTCTTAGTAATATTGTAAATGTGAAAGTTTAGATGTTTGCATGTTTGTTACTTAATCACGCCAGAACGGTTCAAGATGAAACTTAGTACAGAGATAGATTATAGTCTGGAATAGCACATTGCTACTTTTTCCTAAAATACGGGGTTCCTGTGAGATAGATTTGTTTTTGTTTTTCTAGAGGCGAACCTGAGTGAAGCAAGTGTGGGCCGCTAGCAAGATATAAAGTTGTATCTGTAATACTTTTCTTGGGGCCTTTTATATCTCAAAACTTTTATAACCCTAAGCATAAGAAGTCCGGAACTCACGTTATCAAAGAATAGAGATCAATGAGTAGGAGGATAATCTAGCTTAACCGTTTCCCTGTCCCATGAGTCATATAAGAACATTTTGATTGTTTAACATTGTGTCTATTTTGTAGACAGTTAATCTGTCAATTATTATATGTCAGAATGTGCTCAATGGGGGGCTTATTAGCGTTCGGCAATTCAGCCGGGCGCGAAACCAAGAAACGCACTGGAAGGCGGCCAACCTCGATGGGCGGTGTGCCATGCGGGTTGCTCCTGGTACTTCTCTGATAGCAGAGTAGATTGTTGAGTGCGTATGCGATGCTACGACGCCCTAGTAAGACGAAAGGTTCTGTTTCGTTTTACTGGCTTTTCTGGCCGGTGGTCCCACATAACCACCTGTATGTACATAGGTGGAGTGCATACATGCGTAAGGTTATTTATTATATGCTAGCAATCGCCCCTTGGTCGCAAATCGTCCATAATTCATTCAGTTTCATCGTTAACGATGTTCTTTTGTCAAGTTGATGCCAGCCGACAATGCTTTTAAAATATGAATAAATCTAATAAGTAAATATAATATAACAAGAAATGAACTATTAGTATTAGTATTTAAACATATCCAAATAGATTTGTTTTGGTTTGCATCGGCTGGCATTGACGTCGAAAATATCTGATAAGGTTACCTGTAGTAAATGAAAACCCTCATTCAGTTATTTTTTACTTTTTACTGCCTGATTTGCCAGATTTTTTTTGAAATCGGTATATTTTTTTTTAATTACTTTTTACACCTTTCTATATTTACAAAAAGATTATGCTAAATTTGAAAAAATATATATATTTGTGTATAAATAACAATAAATAATGGATCATCATTTTTTAATAAAATATTTTGGAATAGTTCTTAACATTGCTTATTGGGGATATTGAATATTATTATAATCACTTATAATTCATGTTAAATACTAAATATATTTCTAAGTACATTAAGAATATGGACGGATTAAAAAAAAGGCAATTTTACGTCCTCTCAAGCAACTTGAGCGTGGCACATGGGGCAGGAATGTCGCAAGACCAACTCATGATGCTGTGCATGCGCCTCACATTTACTGCACGTCCATATTGTGTGCGATGATAAGAGAGGCCGCCCAGACACTACACACCCTGGAAATTCTGTCGAACACCCGGGACAAGTTGCTACCCTTTAAAACAATTTTGTTATGGTTAGATAGATAATATGTAATTTGTTGAAATATTAAACAATAAATAAGAGTCATAAAAGATATGTAGATATATAGATATTTTGAAAATTTATTTTTTATTTTAGGCCTGCCTGCCTGCCGAATAACTTACAATGTAGAATGTCGAAATTATTTTCATAGTAGTTTAATTTTTAATGATTATATTGTCTAATGTCTACAAAGACTTTGGCAGTAAGTGAGTGCAGGATAAATATAAATAAATATTTAAAAAAAAAATATAAATAAAAACTGGTATATTTCATTATTAATTAAAAATACTGTATTTAAAATAATAATATGTAAGTAGGAGTGTTTACCAATCCGGTATAGCTAGCTGGCAGTGGGGACATTCAATCTTGTTTCCTTTTGCATCTTTAGGCTTATATCTTGTAAATATTTCAATTGATATATTTTCAAATACTTCTGGCTGGAATGAAACGTAAAATTATATATATATATATATATTAGGGAATGTTTAGAACGTAAAGGAAAGTCTTTGTTCTATGTAAATAGCAAATTCTTTTCAAACAAAATTAATTTAAAAATATTTTCAGTGTGGAAAAAATTAAATTTAATATATTTAAATTTTTCGATACAAAACCTTTTCAATTATTTTAATATATAATACTAATTTAAAACATTCCATTTATTCTTACGTTTACAGCTTCCAATTTGATCAATGCTTCAGAGCAAAGTTCAAAAGCTCTAGCTTGAAGAGATATCGCGGCAATCGAGCACCACGCCTGAAAAAAAATAACTTATTTATTAATTATAAATAATCTACACATACTTAAATTCTTACATTTTAATGTTTTAATTTTTGAGAGTAATTGGTATTTACAATGTCATAAGATTAATTAAATCGCAATCACTGTAGTATAGTCATTTTGTACCAATTATTATAAAACCATAGCAAATTGTTTCATAACGCACCACGCTTATAGTCCAAAGATTGATTGTAGGTAAAAACGTAAAAAAAAAATAAGGACAACGGTTCAAAGGTACCAATACCATGGGATCTTATCAGGAACAAAAAAATAGTTTAAAAAATGCCAACAGATGGAATTGTATGTATCCAATAAAAAAAATGAAATGAACGATAACGAATTAATGTGTTCGTCAATCTTGTTGGTACCGTGTTTGCAGTACATATTCACAGATGGCGCTTTTATTTTTTACCCAACTGCGCCAGAAGAAGTGTTATGTTTTTCGGATGTACATATGTACTATGTATGTATGATAATAATAATAATATAATAATTAAGATAGCCGATTTTTGGCGCTACATTGTCTTCAAAAAAATTGTTGGCTCAAAACTTATCGAGTGGGGTATCAAAATAAAGGATTCTTTATATAGCTTAAACATTTACACAACTTATATGTTTAAATGTAATATGGAATGAGAAAGCTAAAAAACAAAAAAAAAAAGAAACAAAAATTAAAATTATAGATAGGAGATATAACTTCAATCGGGGTAACTTTGGCCCGGTAAGAAAAGATTTCGTAAAAAAGTGAGTTTTTTCTTGTAGACAACTCATCAAGTAAGATAACACGTATAGGATTAAACCATAAAGTATTGAATTTTCAATCCATTTCGATTATAATTAAACTCAGTAAAGGAAAATTTTACGAATTTCGGCTGGATTCTTGCGGAGATGCTGAGATGTTTCTTCTCTAGAGATTCTTGCGGAAATTAGGGTAACTTTGTACCACCTATGTCTGGTCCTGGATTTAAGTATCTTTTAATTTCACGATTATGGGTAACTTTAACGTCCTAATTCAAGGCTTCAAAGAAGTGAACTTACACTATAGATAATAATAATATAACAAATAAAGATAAAAAAAAGTTTAGGGTTGCCTTAATATAAACTAGAAAATTTGCATAGTGTATCTTTTTTACCTGATCCTTTTAGAACATTTTTTTTTGTATTTAACAAATAAAATTATACTTAGATCTACCTAAATCTAAAATAAGAAATACTCTTTCTAAGTGAAAAAAGCTCAAACATCGTGAGGAAACCTGCATGTCTAAGGAAACCTAGCAAGCTTTCGAAAGATATGTAAAGTCCGCCAACCCGCACTTGGCCAGCGTGGTGGACTATGGCCTGATCCCCTCGTATGAAGGAAGGCCCGTGCCCAGCAGTGGGACGTTAAAAGGGCTGAATACATATGTATATATATATTATATGTGTATATATATATATTTATATATATATATATATATATATATATTTATATATATATATATATATATATATTTATTTATTTATTTATTTATTGTTTTTTTATGGTTGTTACTACGGAACTCCTATTAAAAACACTGGAATTTGGTTACTTAATTTAAGATAAATTTAGCAATTTTTATCCTATTTTAATAAGCACAATTGTGTAAAGTGAAATAATTCGACCAATTGCGGATTAACGACATGTATGAATGTATTCAAGCCAAGAGTAATGGCCCGAATTAGGGCTGTCCAATTTGTATGTATGGAATTGGGCATCTGTGGGAGTATGTTATGTGAGGTGTGGTTCAGTGTGTCGGCTCGCCTGCAGCCGCTGCGCGGGGTGTAGCGCGGGCAGCGCGGCGCGCAGGCGCGCGGCGGCCCGCAGCCCCCCGCCCGCGCCCCGCGCCGCCGCCGCGCCCGCGCCGGCCCAGTGCTGGGCGCGCGCCGCCCGCCAGCACCGGCCCGCGCTGCTCTCTGCGACACGACCAAACATTCGGGCTGGCTTCTTTTTACTAAAACACTTTAAACGATTTAAGTCTAAAATTAAAAACGTATTAGTGAATAAGGCTTATTATACTGTCACGGAATACTTCATAGATATCGATATCTGGAATTAATGTCCGGTCGGGTCTCACGTAGGAAAATTACACAATTATTGTACTTTCTTAGATTTACGCGAATATTTGACATTTTAAATAAAACTATCTTTTCGGATTATTTCGCGGATTTATTATGTGAAACGTCGGGAACCAAAAATCAATCAAGTTTTATTCACAATTATTGTATTAGAATATTGTACACAATTATTATTTTAAAAGAGCTACTGTTGAGTACCTCGCCGGCTCTTCTCAGCAGTACTGCTTTCCGAGCCGGTGGTAGCTTCCTCACTGACTGACTGCACTTACATTTAATTTAAACTTAAAATGTAAAATTTACGATTCAAAAATGTTTGTAAAAATCTATTTGAATAAAGTATATTTTGATTTGATTTATTCGAATACGACCTGAGGAGTCCCGAGCCAATGGAGGATTATGTGTTTGACTTGTATGTACATACATATGTCCGATGCCATATTCTTTCGTAATTACTAAACACCATAACTGATTTTGATAATTTATATATCGTTAGATTTGTCCTAATAACGCGATTATCTATAGAAAATGAAAGTTTTTAAGAGATAATTACGAAAATATATAGGAACAACTTATATGTTTAAAAATAATGAAGGATAGCAAATTATTAAATAAAACTTAAAATGTCTAACTGGCTAAAATTAAAAAACAGTAAAAAACATTATTTTATAGCACAATAAGGATAAAACCTGTGTCTCCGACTGTATATGCTATGTTTTTTTGTCAAAATATTTATAAAACGCTTTTTTACCACCACCGTGTTGACTGTACAACAGCCCAGCAAGGACATAAAGTTTTTTTATTCGCCATGGTGATGCTGCCTTCGACGCTTCTATATTTGCCAGCTGTAACAAAATTTATGAATCAATACACAATAATGTAAAAAAAAATGTAATTATTATTATGCGTATTTCGTTCGGTAACGTACCTGAAACGCCATAGCTGCAGCTTGTAGACTTCGACCACCCTCTTTTAATTGTGTAATCATTTGAATAGATGGTTCTTGAGTACTATCATTTTTCTCCTCCGGCATTTTCTTTGATAATGAATCCTTTATTACCATAATGAATTAATTTTTGTATGTAAAAACTATACTTATGTTTTAGTTTACCTAATTCAATCTTTATGGAGAGTTAGGAAGAACTTTGTTTTAATACACTGCAGTCTGCAGACCTAATGAGCTACTATTAATAACCTTCTCATCGTGTAGCTTAGTGATGTCGTAGAACTTCATCAAGAAGAAATAAAAATGTTTGGCATCTTGAATTCAAATCAAAGACATCTTTTGTTCATGTAGGTAACAAAAACTGATTTAGAGTTATCCTATTTCTTTGTAGGTAATGCGGTATCTATACTAGTAAAGTCTTACGTTATTAGTTGTAGTATTGTTACGATTTATTTAAAACCCCACCTTTGTTATCAGGCCACGTACAGCCATAAAAAAAAACTATATACAATATGGATATACAATATGGCCGCGCGCGCTGTATTTACCGCGCCTTGGATGGGTAAGAACTAAGGGATAATACTGCAGAACAGGTTTTACAAAGTAACAAAGACCAAGAACAACCACAAGACTTCTTTTCATGAAATTTCAATGAATGATTGTCATCAGGAAATAATCCACGGCCAATCTTTAGATATAGTTTCTTATGCGTATGATTTATCTATAAAGATAAATGAAATTGAATTGCCTGTTTGTAATGTCAAAATAACAGCTTTTTCCTAAATGCATATGGAACTACATAAGATACTTATAAGAAAAACACCATTTTTAAAATGTTTGTCTGCTGTCTTTTTAAAATAGACTTACAGACTGTTATAAATAGCTCGTGCTATCGCCACAAATGTGGACAGCAAAATGGCATAGTGGAAACACTGTGCCATTTTGCTGCCCACATTGTCTGCGGTATGAAGTTGGCGGTCACACTATAGTAATAATTTTAAATGTTTGTATTAATCAATGTAACATTTTTTACCTTCAGTCTAGGCGAGCTGGCTACCAGTTTTGCCAACGATTCATTATCTTCTAGTGCCATATAACATTTTTTTAAGCCCTCAGTATTGTTTGACATATTGTAATATTCAAGGGCACCGGTCCTAAAAAAATCATTAAAATGTGTAAGGCACTGTTACTAGGACTTACTTTTCATTGTGACATGTGTCTTCTACTGTCCTCACGGTGGTACCACTGCAAATGTCTGGGTGATAAAATGATGGGGTTTTTTTGGAAATATATTTTAAGATATTATGATAAACAGATTACAAATTATTATACCAATAGTTCGCAAATATACATGTAATACTTACTACAATATACCTACATTACTTATGTATTTGCTTTCGTAATCTGTAACATTAGAAGTAAATATTTAATACTAGCGACTCATTCTCGCTCCGCTCGTCTTCGTCGCTTATCATATCTCATCAAAATCTGTCCAGGGGCCGTTCATAAAATACGTTCCCATACAAGGAGGTCTTAGTTTTTCTGAAGAAGTATTTCTAGACGGGTCACAGAAAGTGTGACAATAGGGGGTTAAGAAAAGCTGATTTTAACGTGACGTATTTTATGAAGTGGTTTTTTCGTGATGCGTTCCCAGACAGACAGGCAAACAAAAATTCTGAAAACTATAGATTGGCCTCTGTATCGATAATAATGACTATTTCAAAAAGATTGTCGACTCAGAATTTTATTATATGTATACGTAATTTTATTATATGTCTTTCCCGGCCAGTTTGTAGCATCGTGTTAGTCCGACGTGGCGAACAAAAAAATCGCCGTGCCTTAAAGTATATATTATCTACTTACTATTATCGAAAATGAACCCGAATCATTAATATTCCTTTTTTGAGTTCGTATATGACCTACCAGTTTTGCCTATCAATATAATAATCGCCTATATTGCTATACGCTTGTTTCACTTGCGCGTCCGTAGTGGTCACCGATGTTTTTAACAGCTCTACTACTCGAAACCAGTGACCTAGACGCTTTCGTAGAGCTATGGCAAGATCCCTGTAACATATTTCGAAAGATATTATTATCTATACTAATATTATAAAGAGGTAAAGTTTGTGAGTTTGTGATGTTGTAGGGGGTAATCCCTGGATCTACTAAACCGATTTAGATGAAATTTGGTAAGTAGATAGTTCGAGACCCTGGAAGGATATAGGATATTTATTCCGGAAATCATCCCATAAGGGGTTGAAAATTAGAATGAAAGTTTGTATGGGGAATCAACCGCTAGTCACATATGTTATTCAAGAAAATTTCAAAAAGTATTTTTTAAATAATTTGCGCAGAATTGGACACACAAGACTAAATTATGCATTTAGGTGGCCCTTAAAAGAGTCTTGACTGATCCACAACACACTGAAAAGACGGCCCGGACCTGATTATGTTCAGGAGAAAGTAGGTGTGAATCGCCTTGGAACTATTTAACGCTGTAATCAGTTATAGACATTTTTAAAAATTAGTGTACTATGTTACATAATTTAGACTTTCTTTACTGCTGCAGCTGAATAAGTCGGTTGAACTCAGATTATTCCCACCCTTAAGTTTTAAGGGAATTTAAACGGAGAGAGCATCAAAATAAATTTATATAACAGGATGCCAAGGCGGCCCGACAAGTAGACGTATCGATGTGTAACGATGAGGCGAGGAGAGGTAAACGAAGTAAAACAGGCAGATACAACAGAGGAAGCCACCCACCGATTAACGACAAGAACTATTCATACATATAGTATAATAAGTGTAATAACGTGTATCATTTACCGTCTGTCCTCATTGTGGTATATCTCTTCTGCGGCATCAAAGTCTTTGAAGTACGCAAGTATCTCGGCTTTCTTCAACGCATCGGAGTGCAGCGCGTGGAGGCGCGCCACGAAGCGCACGCCGGCGAGGTCGCCGCGCCGCACGAAGGCCGCCTCCGCCGTCTCCAGCGCGGACGGCGACGAGAACTTCCTTAGCGCTGCCTCGGCTAGTAATAGCCTGTAATTACGCCATGTTGAAAGGCTCTCGTCGCTTAGAAACGTACTGTACGATGTATTATCTATACTAATATTATAAAAAAGTAAAGTTTGTGATCTTGTGAGTTTGTGAGTTTGTGACGTTGTAGGGGGTAATCTCTGGATCTACTGAACCGATTTTCAAAATTCTTTTACCAATAGAAAACCACGTTCTTTCTGAGTGTCATAGGCTATATATTAACCCGAAGAATGAAAAGGCTTTTTCGTAGTAGTCGGATTTGCAAAGTAAGTCAGAGAAAAAGCGGTCGAACGAAAACGTTTCTTACGAACGCTGCCTTAACGATGAGAGATATATGATTATGTTCTAGATAAAAGTTGTAGAGCTTAATAATGCCTACAAAAAAGTCAGCAACAGCATATGTCTAACTTTCATATTTAAGTCACAAAAAGTAGTTTTTTATATTAAAAAAATAATTTAAATCGGTAGGTCATGTTTATTGGTCATATTATCAACAATTATCAATTCTTATCAAAATAAGTAAATTTACCGTCTAAAATGTTTAAAATAAAAGACTTTTCCCTTTTACTGCATATAATTTGGACAAATGGTTAAAGAGATCAATACAACATATTCGTATGTATGGACGAACCCGAGCGAGCTGTTTGTCTGTTTTTCTCTTTGTACGGGCTAATCTCCGGATCTATTGGACCTATTTAAATGAAATTTTGCATGGTGGTACCTTATATCCCCGGGCAACATCTTAGATACCTTTCATCCCGGAAAATGAAAGAGTTCCCGTGGGATACTTAAAAACCATAACAACTTATACAGCTTAGTACACAAAAACTACTGATTGGATTTTAATGCAACTTTACAATAATATAGTTCATACATGACAAAAACAAATCAGCTACTTTTCATCCCGGAAAATTAAAGAGTTTCCGTGGGATAGTCAAAAAACTATAGTAACTTATACAGCTTAGTACACAAAAACTACTGATTGGATTTTGATGAAACTTTACAATAATATAGTTCATACATCAGAATAACAAAAAGGTAACTTTTTATTCCGGAAAAATGTACTTTTCCCGTGGGATATATGTTTTTGTTTATTTCTAACGTATTATGTACACAACATAGACCCCAAAACAAAAGTTATTAAAAAAATTGCCTGTTTGTCTGTATGTCTGTTTGTCTGTTTTTGTGTGCGCGTTTCACGCGAAAAGTAATGTACCAATTTTAACAAAATTTGGTGAAGTGATAACTTATTACTTGAGTCAACATTTAGGATACCTTTTGTATGTATGTATTCAGCCCTTTTTAACGTACTACTGCTGGGCACGGGCCGCCCTTCAGTACGAGGTGGATCAGGCCATAGTCCACCACGCTGGCCAAGTGCGGGTTGGTGGACTTCACATGTCTTTCGAAAACTTGCTAGGTTCTGTCAGACATGCAGGTTTTCCTTCACCGTTAAGACAAGTGGTAATTGTGTTAGAAATGATTCGCACATGAAAATATCAGAGGTGCGAGACCCGGGATTTGAACTTGGTTCACTCGGTTTCCCAAGCGAACGCGTTACTACTGGGATACCACTGCCTAGATACATTTTACTTAAAGAAAATCTTTATTTCCCACGGGAAAATAAAATAACTGGTTTTATGGAGTCCTCCCTAGAAACCTTCCGCTGGCTAAGCCTTAAGACATACATACATCAAAACAATATACTAAAAAATTTTAGGTCTTGAAAAGTCCTACAGAAAAGTTTTGAATAGTATATGTCTATCTCCTAAGTTACACTCGCAATATTTATTCTTATCTATACCTATAATACAACTTAGTCAAATCGATGTGCGCGTTTCACGCAAAAAATACTCAACCGATTTTAACTTCATTTTGTATAGTGATAAAACTTAGTGCTCGGGTCAACATTTAGAACACCTTTTACGACAGGCAAATTATTCATTCCCACGGGAAAACACAATAACTGGTTCTATCGAATTGTCCTTAGAAATGTATATGGCTAACGTTGGCTCAACCTTAAGAGATAGATCAAAACATTGTACAAGAAAATTGTAAGTCTTAAAAGAGTCTATAGAAAAGTTCTACATAGTATATGTCTATCTCCTAAGGTACACTCGCTATAACTATTTTCATTATTATATATTACTGTTTTATTATACGTTATTTATTCTATCTGAATATACATATATGAATAATAAAACTGTCGAATGTCTGTACATAGATGGTAGAAAAAAATGCTAAAAAACGAGTCACTTCTCTTCTTACATCCCGTAAGGAGAGAAATAGAACAAATCCAGATTTTTTCATTTTTTTTGTTTCTCTGTCTGTTTGTCTGTTTGTACGGGCTAATCTCTGATACTATTGAACCTATTTAAATGAAATTTGATACTTTTCATTCCGGAAAATTAAAGAGTTCCCGTGGGATAGTTAAAAAACTATAGTAACTTATACAGCTCAGTACACAACAACTTATGCACCTAATTTAGTAAAATTTGGCATGCTGATACCTTATATTGCAGTTCAAGCAACAGGTTACTTATTTTTATCCCGGAAAAATGAACGGTTCTCGTGGGATAGATCTGTTTGTGCTTTTCTAGAGGTGAACCCGAGCGAAGCGAGGGTGAGCCGCTAGTATTAAGTATAGCTAGAAGGTTTTACTAACTTAATCGAAAAAATGACCAACATAGCTGAGTTATTTCAATACATTTGTCATACTATAAAGCTATATTATTTATTATAGATCTTGACAACTGATGGATAAATTAACTTATGAATAAAAAGAATAAAAATTTCACTTATTGTTATTTGTCTGTTCGCGCTGCACTCGAACGTGGATCGGAGAGAGACGAGGGTGTACAGTCCACTTTCTATTATTAAGCAATCTTCAACAATGTCCTTGCTTAATAGAACCTTGAACTTATCATAAAAAAAATTAAATCAGTTTACCATAACTTAGGATGCGGATTATCCTTAATAAAATCCTCAGCTTCCTTAAGTCCAACTTTATCAATAAGTTGCCGCGTATCTCTCAGCGACTTGACTTCCACCGTCACTATGTGCTGGGGAGTACATTTGTCGGTTATGTTGTCTAGAAGAGCCGTCGTTATTTCTAACTCCTGTAAAGAAATTGAAAAAATCTCATTTTTTTTTTGAACCTATTTATAGAAGTATAATAATATATCGACTTCGTTATTGTATTCAAACACTCATAAAATACTTTTAGATTAAATTACCGATTAATTAAAGAGAATTTCGAAAATTTAATCACGCAAACCTAAAAAGGCTTTTTGAGTCCGTGAAATTAAAGATGTAAATTATAATAATATTGCTCGTATTATTTGTAAAAACTAAAAATAGACCATAATTTATATAATTAAAATTAAATTTAAAATAAAATTAATTAACGGGCAAAATAAATTGTCACCAGTGTCTCCTCCACGTTGCACTAATGTTAATGTTAGAACATTATTAAAATTAATTCGAACAATCTAAACATCAAACCAGTATTTCAATAATGCAAGTGTCGTTAAAGCCGCACTACGACGCCGCAGAAACGCAAACCTAGTATGATATGGTCCCTTTAGGATAAAGCTAGCAGTGGCGAAGGGTGAAATTTTAACAGAGATAAGAGCGATTCATTTCGCTTCTACGAGATGGGTATCCGTACTAGTATAATATTATGTACTAGCGGCTCACCCTCGCTACGCTCCGGTTGGCGTCTAGGAAAACAAAAACAAACCTATCCCACGGGAACCGTACATTTCTTCGCGATACTCACAAACTGTCACATTTATAATATTATAAAATACGGATATAACATGTGTGTGTACAAACCTTAAACCGGCACAAGTAGCCCTGCATGGCGAGCGGCTCCTCGGGCTGCGCGTCGCGCAGCACGTAGAGGCGCGCCTTCTCCGCCGCGGCCAGCAGCGGCGCGTTGTCTGCCCACCGCGCCGCCCACGCGTCGCGCCGCACCGCGCCCCCCGCGCCCGCCGCACCCGCCGCCTCCGTCTCCAGGATGTACAGCGAGCCCGATTGGTCGATCACGAACAATTTGCTGCAATAAAAGTAACTACTTTTATGGGCTCGAATCTTAACATCCAAACTAAACTAAATACGGATGATACGATAATATTTACCTGATCATGAAATAAGGCTCAAGACTGGTAGGTAGTGAAATTGTTCGAAGACTACTAATAAAACTTTCTAGTACCTATTATATAACAATGTTTTTAATAAATTATTTTATTAGTGTTATACTCGCAAATCCTTGTCCTTTTTTACTATAATAAAAAAGTTTATAGCTGAAATATCGTTACCTGGAATTGGAATTTAGACCTAATTTATATGGTTTTGTATTCATATTAATTGAGGTAATTTTCTTAAAATTCTGCATTGAGAATATAAGAATCGTTCCAGAATCCCTTCCGATTAAAAGATGGCTGTCGGAACACGTAATGCAGCAAATCGTATCGTCTTGAAACCCTCCGTCTCCAGATGTTAAAGGAGCTCCATCTGCGCGAAACATTTGTTCGGTGTTACCTATATTTGAAAACACAACAAGTTATTATTAGCGAAATACGTTTTTGTTTGGTTTCATGTGCCTACTTAAATTGCTTTTAATTGCAAAGATAAAAGTAAAGCTAACTTAGTTATGGAAATATTTTACCTTAAAGTGCATCGCTATTTTACATTACTCCTTATTCAGAGATTATTTTTATACTCTATAGAGATAATATTATCAAGTACAAAAAAGTCTCAAGTAAGATACTTAATATGACGTTATACGTAACAATACTTAAAGATGATGAGACTTACTTATCATGTACTGATGGAATAAAGCTTATTTAAATGGCATATATCAGCAGATTCAGCGGATCTCGATCATAAAATACTTACGGGGCCGTGAAGGTGTAGCGAATCTCCAAATTAAGAACGACTCTTTCGACGCAGCCACCGCTATTGCCTTACTGTTGATCGCCACATATGATACTGGCATTGTGATTGTTTTTGCTGAAAGGATAACCGCATATTTAGAGTTTGAGTATTTAACATGTTCCTATGGCTTCGACCACGTACATATATTAACTACTATTTAGACCAGTATAACTTAAAACGAACCCCGCTTTGCGTAGATGGGAAGAAGTCAAAGTCTAACTTTGAATATATTGAACTGGTTGCAATAAAATTTAGTAACATTTTAAATTCTGTGACACATGTAGAATTTTATAGATATGCTTTAAATCAAAGGAAAATTATTAACCATACTTTTATTCTGTCCTGTTTCTATATATGTATGTTTAATAAGCCTAAAAATTGGAAATAAAAGTCATCAAGAGATTGCCATTGTTTAGTGTTTTACACTACACTTTACAATATGTCACCATCTAAGAGATGATGACTTATCGTTAATTTGACACATTTGTTCTTGAACGAAGCAAATTATGTTATAAACTTTTTTATAAAAATAAGTCAAGTACAAATAAAACTAGTGTTATCCTCACCATCACATTGTATCCCTTGTTGATTAGAAACTATGAGAGAACTCGTAGTAGCTATGATGCAATACTCGTCTACACCACACATGTCTATAACATCCGGGATGTGGTTTATCCATGACTAAAAAAAAGCGTGTGTGTGTACTTATGTACGCACGTTAAAAGTGAAACTTCTTTAGCGTAATAGAACAAAAATAGCTAAAGATTTCACCCCATATGTCACAACTCTCTGTTTGTAAAAGGAATGCAGCTAACTTCATCATGTCGCTTTTTGGCTGTCGGTGTGCGCGCGCATCGTAATCATTTTACTCTCATTTTTTTTTTCCAAACGGGCCAAATCCGTATAACTTCAATAAAGTTATTCTTTCTTAATATTTTAAAAATTATGATGTCTTCGTAATCCCTATTTAAAAACTCCAATAGGATCTCATCAAAAGCGACAAAAGCCACATAGAAACCAATAAATATTTTTTTGGTTTTTAAGTGACTTTTATTGGTTTCTATGTGGCTTTTTTGTTTCTATTTGGTTTTTGTCGCTTTTGATGAGATCCTATAGGAGTTTTTCAATAGGGATTACAAATCGCAAGTGTGTGCACTAACGCAAATGTAGTAGAGATATTTTTTTACATTTAGATAATAGGTATAGTTTAAGCACGAGATTGTAGTAGATACTGGATAGCAATTTATCGCGACTGGAGAGGGATCAGAAGTAGAATAGGTGCGCCTTTAGGTTCTCTCCGAGGCACGGGAAGTAGAAAAATGAATGTTATTTTCCTATTTGTATATAACACCTTATCAGCACTCACTTTAACTTTTGACAGCTTAAACAGTGTTGGCGTCATACATAAATATATTAAATGTACCTATTGATTTTATGATTAAAAAAAATATATAAATATTTATAAAAAATTTAGTACCTGATGAGTCACAGAATCCCAAAAAGTGACGGTTTCCGTACCAGACACAAATGCTAAAGTATTGCCATAAAACGCATATTTATGGTCAGGTTTTACATTAGCGAAGTAAATAAATGAATCTATAGTGATCGCAAGGCGCAAGGACCGCTGTTCCCAAGACAGCGCCCGCATTGAACCGCCCGGGACGCGCAATGTTCTTATATGCTGGAAGAAAATATTTTGAATTTTAACAGATTTCAAAGAAACGGTTTCGAAAACCCTTAAATCATGTAGTGTTTTTACGCAACATGTTTTAGTATTGTACAAAAATTAACTCACCTCCCCATAGGCACTGAAAAATTGAATTACGTTAGATTTTTCTTGTGTCTGTCCGGCTGCGGCTAATATAGTACCATTATGATTCCAGTGACAATCGATTATTGTCATTTTCGTATCAACTACAACACTTTCTGAAATCAAATTAATTAATATCATTGTGTTTTACAAATTCGCAATGGATTTGTGGTCGTTGAAGCTATTGGTAAAAACATTAAAAATTCCCTTTGCCCATATGGTAGAAAGTTCGATTTTCGATGGAAATGAATGTTTATTTACGTCACACAAAGATTTTTTTGATTGAATTTATTATGTACATTAAGGGCCAGTGCTGACTGATGTCGCGGCACGACACGGCTGGGCATGTTTCGGCAGCCCGAAGGACGCTTTAGTATGACCTGCGGCATGCTACGATGTGCCGCGGTATAATTGAATTAATGTAATAAGAATTCGAAACTCATTGTAATAGGAATAAAAAGAACTTGATCAGAAATAAAATTCTTCACCGTGCCGTGCCGTACCGCGACGTCAGTCAGCACTGGCCCTAATATGTACAGTTAGAATGCAACGAAATGTAAAAATGGCATTTAGTATGTTTATAACACCCTTCCTGATTTGTCACAAACAGGTTAAATATAAATAAATATAATCTTACACATTTTCTTTTAAAAATCAATAGACAGAGAAATTAAGTATAAGGTCCCTTTTATATTAATGTTAATTACAAAATTAGTCATTAACCATAATAATTAATCAATTTTGCTAACCTTCTTCAGTACAAGTCTTCATTAATAGCAAAATTCCACTTTTGAAACATATCACAAGAACAGGTCTATTACTTGGTGCTCTACCAGAAAACCAATCCATGCAAACTATCTCCATTAATCCAGGCACTGCATTACTTGCAACTTGCATCTAAGAAAATTGAATACCTAATTTAAAAAAATAAACAACACAAATTTTCGAAATATTTTGCTAGATCTTTTTTTCCATTTATGAATATAATTATATCATTTAACACTTTTTTCATTTATGAATTATAATAGTTATATCTTTTAACTATACAAATTATTAATAAAAAAAATATGTACTGTAAAGTTTCCTTGATCATCATAAAGATGTAGTTCTCCATTAGATAGTGCAAAGAGAAGCAATGAGTTATCTGGAGACCATTGAACTGCACTTAAACCGGGACCTTTGATATCTTTTCCCCAAACTCTAGATCCATCAACTGAACCAACTATAACTGCACCTAGAATGTTTAATACAAATTGATTAGTTCATATTATAATACTGTCTTTAAGGTTTTCCATTAATAACAGATTCAATAATAAAAAATTTACCATCTTCATAAGCAATACAGATCTTTTGACCATCAGATCCCCAAGCCATACTAGCAACTGTAGATTTATTTCTATTGTTTATCATTTCTTCATACCAGGATCCCTATAATGTATAATTTTTGAAGTTAATAGTTATAATAAAGAAAAGCCTAATTTTTAACTTAACAAATCATTACCTTATATAACATCCAAACAATAATGACACCATGCTCATCACTAGTTGTTAACTTTTGGAAAACTTCATTCCATATTGCTACACAGACTTGTCCTGTATGACCTTCAAGACTGAGATTCATAGAAAGGTTTCCACTTCCGCCTAGAATTCATAAGACATATTTGAAGTAAAATTTAAGTTTAATTATGTTTTTTTGAATTGTATTCTTTGAATCTCATGTTACCTGACTCCAATTTTAAAACTTTCAACATTCCATCTTCTCCTCCTACTGCAATATATCCTGATGAATGATTCCATGCTAAACAATTTACATTTGATTGTTTTGGTATCGCAATCTGCAATTAAAGACATATAAATGATAGATAATATGTTGCATAAGTAATAAGGAAAAAAAAATTAGGTACCTTTTTACTCATATATATAAACATCTTTTAAATAATAATAAAAAATGTTTAAATCTTAAATGATACTTTTGTTACTTTTCAATTTTGAAAAACCTCACTGCAGTGATATGTATTTCATTGTAATACATTAAATTATTTTTAAGTTCAAGGTACTCATTGTTGTTGATAATATTGAATTAAAATTACATATACAGTCATAGGATTAATTTAGTATTTACAGTAAAAAACTTAAAAGTCTTAAAGTATATACAATCCGTTGCTGGGATACCGATACACTTGTGTTGCCATTTGAAACTTTCTTTCAAATAAAATCTTATTGTTAGTATTAACGTTAATATAATTTATTGAGATAGTTTCTTTAACATATAAAATTGCTCTTAGCAACCATACTATTTCGAGGTAGGTTTCTTTAATTAAAATAATTTAGTATTATTAAATTATATTTTTAACGGCATTTCGATTCATTAATTGTCAATGTCAAACTGAAACCTACGTCATATCGTCTAACTTTATTTTCAAATAATCAATACTTGTCGAGCTATTCTAAGAATTTCTTTTTATAATCAAATCCAAAATAGTTATTACGATTAGCACTATCTAATATTTAAAAAAAAAATATATTTCAAAATGTAAAAGTTTCAAAGTATGTCCAATGAGACATACCTTAAAATAATCATAAATAAAAATATTAAAAATTAAGTACTTTAAAGTAAAAGCAATGTTGGGACGAAAACAGAGCTTAAAAGGAGAGCCCGTGCTCGCAGACTATGGCCCAGAAGAGTCCCTTAACGAAAGTGCTGATATTGAATGGGTAAATAAGGTAAGCTCACCAGTTAATAAAAGTTCTAAATCCAAAACATTACTTGTAAATTATTAATGACCTATATAATTATCATTGTATATTTTGTTGCAGCTATGGGTTAGGAGAATTTTAAGATTTTGTGCCCTATTAAGTTTGATGTCTGTTTCTTTAAATACACCAAAATCTTTTGAAAAGTACCCTTATCTTCAGACTATTACATTTGCAGTCGACTGTTGTGTTACACTTTTATTTACAGCGGAAATGATTGCAAAAATGCATATAAGGGGGATTCTAAAGGTAATATAAATAATAAAAAATATATATTAGTATTAGATATGAATAGACTGTTTATTGGCCTATTTATGGAATTTTCACATGATATTGCATATTTTGCTATTATGGCATAAGTTTAATACTCTTAACTACTTTAATAATCAACCTATGTGTAATTTATATTATTCTTATATCTATGTATCTTGTATAGATATATTTTGTATGATTGAAAGATATGTGAAGTCTGCCAACCTGCACTTGGCCAATGTGGTGGACTCTGGTCTGATCCCCCTCGTATTGAAGGGAGGCCCATACCCAGCAGTGGCATTCCTATATCTATATATTGTATTTTTTACAGGGTGATGTTGCTTACTTAAAAGATCACTGGTGCCAATTTGATGCTTCCATGGTATTCTTGCTTTGGGTATCTGTTTTACTCCAAATGTTTGAATTGACTGGTATTGTGCCAAGATATAGTTATTTAAGCATATTACGAGCCCCAAGACCACTTATAATGATAAGATTTCTCAGAGTATTTTTAAAATTTTCTATGCCCAAATCCAGAATCAATCAAATATTTAAGTAAGTATGATTACAATCATTTGTATGTACATGATATGTATATATTAAACTATAAGAGTTTTCTACAATTTTATTACTAATTGCAGGAGATCAAGCCAACAAATTTACAATGTGACATTATTTTTCCTCTTCTTTATGTCACTTTATAGTTTATTAGGAGTGCAGTTTTTTGGAGAACTGACTCATCACTGTGTTAGAAATAATACTGATCCAAAGTGGGTACCCATGCTATACATTTATTGACTTAAATTCTAAGTGTAAATTGCTTCAAGATAAAAAAATATTTTTATTAATTCTAGTGAAATCACGATCAACTCTTTGGCAATTCCTGATACATTTTGTTCACCCGAGCCAAATTCTGGATATCAGTGTCCAGCTGGAATGAAATGTATGAAATTAAACTTATCAAAATATATTATGGGCTTCAATGGATTTGAGGAATTTGGTAAACAATACTCTTACATTATTAATATATTTGACATAATTCATGTTAAAGTTTTATATTGATTTTGTAATTTATATTTTTTGTAATCAATAATTAATATACAAAAGAAATAATATCTTTTTAATTAATATTTACAGCAACCAGCTTATTTACTGTTTACCAGGCATCATCTCAGGAAGGTTGGGTTTTTATAATGTACAGAGCAATTGATTCCTTACCAACATGGCGGTCAGCCCTATACTTTAGGTATGTATAAATAATCTATATATATTATATTAAAATTCGTCGAATCTGTACATTAAATGCTTTTTGGAAAATTTTATTGAAATCATCATTATTATCGATACAAAGGCCAAATCTATAGTTTTTAGAATTTATGTCTGTCTGGGAACGCATCGCGAGTAAATAACTGGATGAAATTTGGTATGATGATAGCTGGTCATCCAGGTCAACATATTATAGGATACTTTTTACTGCAGGAAAATATCTCTGAGAAGTCTATAGTAACTGCCTGCCTGAGCCTTTAAGCCTAACATTAAGCTCTCAGTCAATTTATGAATAGTGGAACTCTTCAATGGCTTCTAGTTTAGTTAAACATTAAAAGCTTAAGACTTTATTTTATGTTATTTGATATTTCTTTCACTTGTTTTGCTGTTTTTAATATTCAAGCTGTTCCTATAAAAAAAAAAAAAACATTTATTTTAGCACCATGATATTTTTCCTGGCTTGGCTTGTGAAGAATGTGTTCATAGCAGTTATTACTGAAACATTCAATGAGATAAGAGTACAATTTCAACAAATGTGGGGAGTTCGAAATCCAATAACAAAAGGAAGCACAACTCAATTTTTTACTGGTGATGATAATGGTTGGAAATTAGTTACAATAGATGAAAATAAACATTCTGGTATGATTTTCTCAATTCTCATCATAATTTTTTTTTAAATAAATTCATGAGTACATTTTGTTGTATTTATATTTTAGGAAGTGCACCTGAAATTTTTCACAAAATGCTGCGATCTGCATACTTTAGACTTATAGTAATGGGTGTTGTATTAGCAAATGGGATTATAACAGCTACTATGAATTTCAAACATGACGATAATCCAAGAGAATTCTTTTATGAAAAGTATTATTACATTGAGGTATTATTTCATTTGAATATTGCAAAGTAAACATAAAAATATTTGTTCGATATAATAAACTAATCTATTTTTTATTCTTAATGGGGCTTAACATATATATTTATATATAATCCAGATTGCATTCACAATTTTTTTGGATTTGGAAGCTTTAATAAAAATATGGTGTCTTGGATGGAAAGGATACTTTAAGCATTCAGTTCATAAATTTGAACTACTTTTAGCTATTGGCACCACTATTCATATAACACCTCAACTTTATATGTCAGGGTTTACATATTTTCAGGTAAAGCTCAAATTTTTGGCATGAGATATTTTTAATTGCTATTCTAGTTACATAAAAATTCTTCTTATTTTCTTTTATATTTTATTCATCAGGTTCTTCGTATAGTGCGCCTTATAAAAGCATCACCACTACTTGAAGGATTTGTATACAAGATATTTGGGCCTGGGAAAAAACTAGGCAGTCTCATAATTTTCACCATGTGTTTACTAATCATAAGTTCCTCTATTTCAATGCAATTATTCTGTTTCCTTTGTGAATTTACAAAATTTGAAACATTTCCAGAGGTAAGTATTATTTTGAAAAATATACGGTAATTATTTGTCTACATATAAAGTTACTTGTCCTGACTAATTCAATAATGTTTAGATCAAATCCAAGATTCCGTAAATTTAACTCTGAAAGGTGCAGCAAAGTTTATATGAAAAAAATAACCAATATCCCTACAAAAAGACACGTCCTTAGTACTATAAGTTTTTTATTATGTTTTCAGGCATTTATGTCTATGTTTCAAATATTGACTCAAGAAGCTTGGGTAGAAGTGATGGACGAAACTATGGTTCGGACGAGCCAGACTTTGACACCTTTAGTTGCTATATACTTCATATTGTACCATTTGTTTGTCACCTTGGTAAGAATTTTTCTTTTTTATAGGTTATTTTTCGATACCGAAATAGTTGATGGAGCCTCCGTCGTAAACCAGATAAAACTTAATAAAATTTCTTAAATATATTTCAGATAGTATTATCGCTTTTCGTGGCAGTAATTTTGGACAATTTAGAATTGGATGAAGATATTAAGAAATTAAAGCAATTAAGATATCGACAGCAAAGCGCAGAAATAAAAGAGAGTCTCCCATTTCGCCTAAGAATATTTGAAAAATTTCCGGACAGTCCACAGATGACCAAGTTACATAAAGTACCAGGAGATTTTAATTTACCTAAAGTAAGTTTTGTAACCAATCATTATTTATTTTCAATTTTAGACTCGCCCGTTTGTTTGTCTCTATTTAACGGTTTCTTATAATGTCATGTTATAAATAACAATAATAATGTATGTAATAAATAATAATTAATAGACGACGATGTACAAAATAGATCACTCCAGTATGTAAAATATCTTCAAGCGAAAATACAATGTTAATTAAGTAACAGTTGGAAGTTTATTTAATGAGATGAGTATGTTTTATCGTATACTAGCGGCTCATCCTCGCTTCGCTTGGGTTGTAAAGTTTCATTAAAATCCAATCAGTAGTTTTTGTGTACTAAGCTGTATAAGTTACTATAGTTTTTTAACTATCCCACGGGAACTCATTAATTTTTCCGGATGAAAAGTATAACGTAATTGTAAGTAGCATTTTTTTTCTATGTACCTCTTTCTTCTATGTATGTATGTTGTACGTATGTATGTGTTATATTCGACGTCTACACCTATATTATATGTATAGATATGTGTTACTACACTGTGAGATGGTACCAGGTGCGCGAGTCGTTCATGCGGCAGTTCGTGTGCGAGGTGGACGGCGAGGAGGAGGGCGGGCGCGCGCACGGCGAGCTGTCGCGCCGCGCCTTCGAGTACATCGGCGTGGACAAGATCTCCTTCCCCTACCACAAGCGCTGCTTCGTGAAGACGCTGACCGTGGCGCCGCCCGCGCAGCGGCCCAGCTCCGCGCTGCGCCGGCACGTCGTCGCATCTATTATCAAGTGAGTGCGATGTCACTACTCTCCCTTCTCCTCCTTATATATTTGTTTGTATGCGTGTGTGTTCGCGTGAGTGTGTGTTTGTATGTGAGTAGGTTTGTGTGCGTACACAATTCTTATTAATAGTAGGTAAATAAAGTCATAAAACATTACGACAACAAAAATGCGAGTTTACTATCAATTTTTCAACCTGCGATAAAATGTATAAAGTGCCTCAATGAAATAATTTTCATTTTAAGAATGAAAATATGGTAATTTTGGAATATTCTAAAAATTGATTTTATTTTTTATTATAGTACATATGATTTTATTTTTTTATTATAGTACATATGTACATATATATTTTTGTGTTTAGTTTATTTTTATTTTTTTTAAGTTTTATTTTGTTATAATTTTCAGGTCGTCCAGATTTATCTGTCTTAAGTTTTGAGGTAGATTTTAATTTATTTTAGCTTCATATATTTTCTTATACTGATGTATAAATTTTAAACGTACATTTGTTAAATTACAGCGACTCAAACAATCATCGTCGCCTTGTCCTTGGTGACTCGGCGATGTTAGCTACAGGAGGAAAATCTGGTTTAAAGCCTCAAGGAACCGTCTCAAGTGCAAAACAACTACGCGTTGATCAGAAAAAGTATGAACATTTTAATAATTACTAAAGATAGAAGTAATCTATACGGTAGATATTATCGACTTTTGGTATTAACGGATATCGCGTCATATGCAAGGGCTGTCGTAAAATATCAATATTTATGGCAGACGGTGTGTCACCCGCGTCTCATCCCGCACAATTGACCTATCTATATGTCTTCGTTATTTAAGTTATAATGTCCTAACCGATTTCGGACACTGCGGCCGATCTCACTAGCCAACTGCGCAAGATATTAAACTTAAATATTGCTCGTCCCAGGACTCGAACCCAGGACCTCCGAATTTGTAGCCATACATGCTACCCATTAGATCACCGACGCAGTTTCTTGTAAATAAGTTACGTTAATTATGTTACATATTAAACTGCTAGCATCAGCAGCTAACCCGCACTCGGCCAGCGTGGTGGACTACGGCCTGACCCCCTCGTACTGAAGGGAGGCCCGTGCCCAGCAGTGGGACGTTGAAAATGGATGAATACATACTAAACTGCACATATAATAATGTATATGTATATGGAAGAAATACACATTTCCGGCACAGATTCGGTTCCCGCTCAATCCGGCGCTCGGTCCGCAGCGGGTCCATCAAGCTGAAGCAGACGTACGAGCACCTGCTGGAGAACGGCGACCTCGGCGCGGCGTCGCGCGTGGTGCCGTCGTCGCGCGCGCGCCCGCCATACCTCGACATCCGCCTGCTGCAGGCCAAGCGCCAGCAGGCCGAGATGCGCCGGTACCCACTCTACTCTACTCTACTCTACTAGTTACGTGCGTAGCATATAAAAGTTTTCAGTCTGCCGTTGGAAAAGTTGCGCTGAAGCAACGTTAATAGCAACACAGTTCTACACTAATGCTGTCGTTATCGGTTTACGTTATTAATGGATGTATACTAGACGTTTTTAAATAAATATTAAATTACATTGTTACTCCGCGCCTACGCTCGCGTATTTTATTTTTATTTAATGGCCCCGCTCTTAAATTTGACATCCTAATGCCCGATTTCACCAACGACCCATAAGCTACTACCTACGTATAGGATCCCTAGCTTAAAAGTCCTCTAAACTAGCCCCTAAAATAAATTTCGTTTTACGATCGTCTTTAAGCCCATATTTCGAGCACCTAAATTTAGGGGGCTTTTTAATATTTAGGTGACCCCTAACTGTCGGTGAAACAGAAACTGTCCCCTAACAGCCCCCTAACCATGCTTAGGGGATCCCTTAAACTTAGGTGACGTTGGTGAAATCGGGCATAAGACTGTGAATTAGTATTGGCTATGTGCGAAGTACAGAGTGGGGATATAGTAAAGCGATCGCAGCGCATGCCGTGGCAGAAATCTGAACAATTCGCGGACACTATCAAACTTTCTTTGAGATTTACTACGATTTGTATGTATTTTAAAATGGGCCATGATTTTTGTTGTCTTGTGAACTGCAAAAACAACGACAAGAACAGTCAGTGTAAATTTTATACATTTCAATTCAACTGTCAATTAAATAACTAGATAACTGCTGTAAAAAGAAAAAAGAAAGCTATATAATCCAAAATTACGATATCAATAAATCAATTTTATTTGCGCTATATTTTATGTGATGTTAATATTGATCTTTATTATTTTCAGTGTTGACGGTCGCTATAATAAAAGTACTTTACCTACCGTAAAATACTAAATTAAATATGCCTCATTATGTTTCATGTTATAAGAGTACTAATGTTTAAACTTGTTTTAAAGGAGGTTAGTGTTACCGATGTTTGAAGAATAATATGGGCTCGTATTAAATGACTATTGTCATTATTTCGCATTTCTTCAATATTATTTACATGCTGTGTTAAACTATTTTGTTTTCCTTTTATCACAGTTTGAGGCTCGAAACTTAAATTGTGTTTTTTTTCAAAACCAGTTTTTATAATAATATCCATTCTTTTATGCACTCTTTTAAACAAATTCTTGTAAAACCACTTTGTGGTCTTTCCATTTATCTTTTAATTACTATAATTATTAGTAAACAATAAAACATTTATGGGTTAGACAGTCCGTGATAGATACGCATTCTAGGCGGCGCTACTGTCGGGCTCATAGTCAATAATCGTCATTTTAAAAATATTATTTCCCATTTTAGTTACTGTAACTTTTAATGTAACGGATTTTCATTTAAACTTTCAACCCAATTTTTATATTTTTAAGGGTTCAGTCTCCAAAAAAACTTTATCTTTGCTATTGTTTGTATCACTTATACTTTCTGAAATTTCGTATTTTTTATTTTAAAAGATAAAATCTATCTTATGGATGCTTTTTTTTTCATTTTATTTAAGACTGCCATTAAGGTCTATAACCAACATTGATAAATAATCGTGAATTGAGTTCACTATTGGCGAAGATATCGCATCACCTTTAGCTTTAAAGGTAGCGCCACCGGCCCACCGGCGCCGGTTTTTGACAATCCCTCAAAGGCCACGTCTTATATATAATTCATATTGCATTCACACGTATATTTTAGTATTTACTTCCACTAGGTACTATTAAAATAAGAGTAAGAAATATTAGTGTCGGTGATAAATCGTATGTGATATTTGAATACAAATAGAATGCTATAATCGTACACCGTGCCGTGCTGTGCGCAGCAACCAGCGCGAGGAGGACCTGCGCGAGAACCACCCGCTGTTCGACACGCCGCTGCTGCTGGTGCCGCGCGAGTCGCGCTTCCGCCGCGCCTGCCGCGCCGTCGTGGACGCGCGCTACGACGCGCGCCTGCGCGACCCCGTCACCGGCAACGAGAGAAAAGTGCACTACAAGAGCTTTCAGTACGCCATTTCTATATGTGCATATGAAATTATACTGCTTACGTTTTAAATAAAACTATTTTTTCTGATAGATTCGCGGATTTATTTTAATTTTTGGTTTCCGATTGTCTATTTTGAATTGCTTTACGGCAGTTATGGTTGGTGGGGACGAAGGTTTTTAACGCCTTAAAAGATTTTGACAGACGGTGCTTACCGTATTTAGTTGATTAATATTGAAGAAAAGTAAAAAGTCGGAAACTTAACTGAAATAATCTACTTAATAATTAAAAAATATCATGCTATATCGATGAATTTCTTTTTTACAGTAACTTCCTCGGTCTCGTTACATATTTGGATTGGGTGATGATAATGGTTACCACATTGTCTTGTCTGTCGATGATGTTTGAAACACCTACTTACAGGGTTATGGAAAATTTTGTTTTACAGGTAAGCTAAACCTTTATAATCTATATATTTATCTACAATACTGTTAGTTATTATGACATTTACATATTTTACAGATAGCTGAATATGGATTTGTGGTCTTCATGAGTCTAGAATTGGCCTTAAAGATATTAGCAGATGGTTTATTTTTTACACCTAAAGCTTACCTAAAAGATGCAGCGGCGGTATTGGATGTATTTATCTATATTGTAAGTGAAACATCTTCTTAAAAGCATTTTTAATAAAATTATTACAATTAAATATCTCACATTCATTATATAATACAATATGGGTAATCAAATATAACAAAGTATTAGTAGTCGAAATAAATGTACACTTATGATTAAATTATTAAGATAGATCCTTTCGTGTACATTAATGTAGGTAAATAATATCTACGCAATTGAAACAAAACTTTGTGCATGATTAATAACACACGATCATTGGTAATCTACACTAATATTATAAGGAGGAAAGATTTTTAATTTTCTATGCAGGTGTCGCTGACGTTCCTGTGCTGGATGCCGGCGCGCGTGCCGCCGGGCTCGGCCGCGCAGATGCTCATGATCCTGCGCTGCGTGCGGCCGCTGCGCATCTTCACGCTGGTGCCGCACATGCGCAAGGTCGTCTACGAGCTGTGCCGCGGCTTCAAGGAGATACTGCTGGTGCGCCTGCACACACTCACACGCACACACAACACACATTTTTTTAAATTTATATTTGAATGATAATAAATGCTAAAACCGCAGCAAAACTGTATTTAGTTATAGTTGAATCGATACCACATTGCTATTAATTAATTAAAAATAATTTGAAATATCTCGAAAATAAAATGAAAATCTACATATATAATAAAATTATAACTGAGCCGAATCTGTACATTAAATATTTTTTGGAAAATCTTATTGAAATAAACATTATTTTCGATACAGAGGCCGAACCTATAGTTTTTAGAATTTTTGTCTATCTGTCTGTTACCGCATCATTGAAAAACCACTGAAGGGATTTTGATGAAATTTGGTATGGTGATAGCTGGTTATCCGGGTCAACATATAGGATACTTTTTACCGCGGGAAAATGTCTCATTTCTTAGAAAAATTACAAAAACTGCAATTTAAGATTACACCAATTATGTAAAACCTAGGAATTTGGTTTTTTATCATCTGAACGCGAGCGGAAGCTCGGGCAATGCTAGTGTATTTATAATTCTTAAAATTATGTATATCGAAATATATTTGATAAATTATGACAACATTTAAAACCAACCTTGCTTGATTTTAATTAAAATAGCACATAATCTTCATTGAATATTATTAAGTTATATTGTCCTATGCAAAAAATAATTACACTTTTATAATGTTCACAGGTATCCACGCTTCTTATTTTACTAATGTTTGTATTCGCGAGTTATGGAGTGCAATTATATGGCGGGAGGTGAGATGTTAATAATTTATGCATTTTTTGGTTAAAGCATTATACTAAATATAATTATTAGAAAGGTAGCAAGTATATGTAAGTAAAATACGAAAGCATAGCATTTAATATTAATAATGATATACGAATATACAATATTCTGTCATTAAAATGGCATAGTTTAAGGTATCTCCCATAATAAGAAGAAGGTTCTTAATTAGAAAGAATTTTTGTGGGTGTCCTGTTCTACGCGGTATCTTCGCCAGTAGTAAATCGCTTTTCATAATTATTTATTTTATTGAATAGAGTAGTCCCATGTATGTATACAAATTATGTAAAAATGAACTTCGAAAGTGATAGAAATATTGACCTATAAGTGATTTTGAAGTCCTTTGGACTGCCTTTGAGGTTTACCTTCTTTAGTCGAAAAGTAACTAGTATCTAAACGATTTTATAATTAAAAAGAAACTATTTTATATGTGAAAATGGTACCAATAGGTTGGCTCGCTGCAACGACCCGACGATAACGCGGCGCGAGGACTGCGTGGGCGTGTTCATGCGCCGCGTGTTCGTCACCAAGATGAAGATTCGGCCCGGACGCAACGAGACCTTCCCCTCTATGCTCGTGCCTAGAGTCTGGTCAGTTGTGCTACACTTACCTTTCTCATCTCATTCAGCCCTTTTTAACGTCCCACTGCTGGCCACCGTCTTCCCTCGCATTACAGATAGCGGGGGCGATTATTTTACCAAGTACGGGCTCGCGGAATTGACATATCTTTTGAGAACTTGCTACGTTCTCTTAGACTTGTAGGTTTCCTCACGATGTTTTCCTACACTGTAAGGCGAGTGGTCACCATGTTGAAAATTATTGCCACATGAGAATATTATGCCTGGTCCACACGCTTGCCATTTGCCAGTATAATAAGATCATTGATCGATAATAATAAAGATATATATATTATTTCAGGGCCAACCCCAAACGATTTAATTTTGATAATATTGGCGACGCACTACTTACATTGTTTGAAGTACTTTCCTTCAAGGGATGGTTGGACGTGCGAGATGTTCTAATAAAAGCATTGGGCCCAGTGAGTAACATAATTCATATTAAGTAAAGAGATACATATATCTATTAAAATTGAAATGGTAATTTAAATACTATAATTGTCCTAATTTACAGGTGCACGCCATATACATACACGTATATATATTCTTGGGTTGCATGATTGGACTCACGCTGTTTGTCGGCGTTGTGATCGCTAACTACTCTGAGAACAAAGGGACAGCTTTATTGACTGTTGATCAACGACGGTGGTGAGTTCTTGAGGCAAATTAATCGATATTACAAAATATTAGTGTTTGTTGTGTTTTCTATCCTAAACCCACAGTTTTTTACTTTTTATCTTTTGAAGTCTGCAGTGTCCGCATCGGTATCGGTAACGTATCAGCAGTAGTGCGTATCGATGCATCCCTACAAAATGTATTTTGTATTTAATAGAATATTTCTTTTATCATTTATACGTTTTCAAATATATTTCAGGTGTGACTTAAAGAAAAGATTGAAAATAGCGCAGCCCTTACATTTACCCCCACGTCCCGATGGTAGAAAAGTGCGAGCATTTGCATATGACGTCACACAAAACTTGACCTTTAAAAGGGTCATCGCTATCGTCGTTCTGGTCAACAGTGGCTTGCTGGCAGTCACTGTATGTATCATTATAAAACAATAAACTGTAAAATTATAAATTTTCCAAACATATCTTTACATATCCTATTTTTTTTATCAATGTCCCTACCACACGAGGCACGCCGTAGAAAGCATTAGTACTAAATAAAATCGAAATTAAAATTATAGAACATTATTGTCTATATTTAATCGATATATTTTAATCTATACTCTATACAGATAATAAAAATGAAGTGTCTGTTAGTGATGTCAAAATAACAGTTTTCTACTAAATGCATATGGAATTATATACATTATTTATAAGAAAAACAGAATTTTTAAAATTTTTGTCTGTCTGTTTGTTCCGGCTAATCTCCGAAACGGTTTGGCTGATTTTGACGGGACTTTCACTGGCAGGTAGTTGAGGTTATAAGGAGTAACTTAGGTTACTTTTATTTCAATAAAAGTATTAGGGTTCCGCTCAAAAAAATCAAAATGTACCGAGCGAAGCGAGGGTGAGTCGCTATTATCTATATACATACTCGTATAGTAAAATTGTAACTAAGCCGAATCTGTACATTAAATATTTTTTGGAAAATATTATTGAAATAAGCATTATTATCGATACAGAGGCCGAATCTATAGTTTTTAGAATTTTTGTCTGTCTGACTGTCTGTTACCACATCACAGAAAAACCACTGGAGGGATTTTGATGAAATTTGGTATGATGATAGCTGGTCATCCGGGTCAACATATGGGATACTTTTTACCGCGGGAAAATGCCTCATTTCCGAGAAAGATACAAAAACTGCAATGTAAGACTATACTAATATGTAAAAGCAAAGAATTTGATTTTTGGTCACCTGAACGCGGGCAAAGTCGCGGGCAATGCTAGTAGTGTAGTGGTGTATGTACAACGCACGGGTCGCAGTGGTCGCGGCACTCGTCGGACACGGAGCGGCTGGCGCTGACGTCGGCGCTGCTCACGCTGGTGTTCGTGGTGGAGGTGCTGCTGAAGACCATCGCCTTCACGCCGCGCGGCTACTGGCAGAGCCGCCGCAACCGCTACGACCTGCTCGTCACCGTCGCCGGCTGCATGTGGATATTCATGCACTTCACTCTCAAGGTGACTTACTGTCGACCGCCGCCCCTGGGCGTAGTGAAAGATTCCGCCCGATTATCGAAATTTTGCATAAAATGAGAAAGGTGTCGATATTGTTATTTAATTATTTTTTTTTAATTTAATTTATTGAAAAATGCAAGAAAATAATTTATATATGATTTAAATTTTTCGAAAAACGTACCAGTATTTTTTTTTAACTATTCTTTTTTTTTGAAAAATAAAAAAAAAGCATTTTCGATAACGCGAAGAGATTTTTTTCCCCCAACCTCCGAATTTTGCCGCCCCTAAAACTTTGCCGCGCGGGCACTAGCCCCCGAGTGCCCCTAGTGTAAATCGAGCGCTAGTCGTTTCATCGGCATCATCATTGTTAAGCGAACAATCAAGTGTTTTGGAGGTTTATATACATATTAAATTTAGTTTCGAAGATACTTTTTTTTTTTTTTTTATGTCGGGAAATGCATTTACGCATACCACCTGATCCCCCAGGTGGTGATGTGGGGCTCACCGGCTAGAAGAGCCGGTACTACCCACTAAAACCCGACATTCCCCTCCCCTCCGCCTTAATGGGACGCCGCAGGATCGCTTGCGCATAACTACTACGGCGCCCCGGCGGCAGGTCTGCCTAAATAGGCAGACCACCAAACCAATGGGGCTGCTCCACAGTCAACTCTGCTACGCCAGAGAGGTACCCGGAGCAGCCCCATTAAACCTAACCACTGCCCACCGAAGTGGGCCACCTACAATCGGCTGCAGAGGACAGGGAGAGCGGCAACGAAACACCGACACTCCTCTTCCCCTGCAGCCCCACCGCGTCCGCCATCAAACGGTGTAGTTTCGAAGATACTGATTTAATAAGTTGCAACCCTAGAGTATAATTTGCTGTTATTGTATCCTAATGATCTATCAGCTGTGATGATTATTATTATGCTTTAAGAAACAAATAGACTACAGAGATAGTTTATTTATTATATAGATATTAATCATAGTGTAACTTTGTTTCAGAACGATCTGTCCTACTTCGTTGGGTTCATGGTAGTTATTTTAAGATTCTTTACAATAACTGGGAAGCACACTACCTTGAAAATGTTAATGTTGACCGTCGGCGTGAGCGTGTGCAAGAGCTTCTTCATTATCTTCGGCATGTTCCTGCTGGTGTTTTTCTATGCACTCGCTGGTACTATTGTGTTTGGTAACGTGAAATATGGAGAAGGTATTGGAAGGTAATTTTTAATTTTCTTAAAGAAACTAGTCACTAGTTTAAGTAATTATATACATGGTGGATGTTTTGTTTCGTCTGTTTATATTATAAGAAACAACACAAACCGGTACGCTTTCAGTTGAATTAATTACAAACTGTTGTTTACAACTGGAATCTGTAAAGAACTTGTGTCCAATGTTACTCTATCCATTCAAATGAAACTCAAGTATGTTTTGATGTAGTTGTAGTATATCTATACGGTCCCCCCCCAACGTGCGTTCACCTTGTCGTGGTGGGGGGGCTCAGTAGTGCCCGGCAACCCAACCGGGCGCGAAGCCAAGAAACGCACAGGGAGGTGGCCAACTTCGGTGGGCGGTGGGAGGTGGCCCTCTTCGGAGGGCGGTGTACCATGCGGGTTGCTCCTGGTACTTCTCTGATAGCAGAGTGGACCTTGGAGCAACCCCGTGGTTGTTGTGGTCTGCTTCGGCAGACCTGCCGTCGGGGCGTCGTAGTTGAATGCGTAAGCGATCCTGCGACGCCCCATTAAGACGGGGGAAGGCTTTGTTGGGTTTTAGTGGGTAGTACTGGCTTTGCCGGTGAGTCCCACACCTCGTGCGTAAATGCATTTCCCAACGTTAAAAAAAAAGAAAAAAAAAATATCTATAGGGTAAAATAAACTTACTGATTTATTCTTCTAATTTATATACAAGAATTTCTCTGCCGGTGAAAATTTACAAAAACGATACTTGTGATGCATGCAAAATGTAACATGTATTAATGAATTATAACCTATTGAAGTTCGGCCGCGGAGCAGAAAGAATTTCATACATTGACCACTTTGCCTACTGACAGTGGTCACAAACATTTTTGTAGTTAGTCAACTTTTCACTTTTACTGGACAGTGATATTTTTCGTTTCTTCCGCGGAGAAACAAATTCCTTAAATACGCACGAGGTAGATGGCGCTGGTTCCATTTTAAAACAGTAAAGAAAATGAAACAACTTAACAATTAAAGCAAGACAACAACAACATTCACAACTTCAGAAACAATTTCACTACGTCCGAAAACTGAGTGATCACTAGCGCATCCCAGAAAAAAATGTTGTTCGATTTCTAATTGAAAAACAAGGCGTGGGTTTTCTGACTCAAGGCAAGACAAGAATAGACCTTACTCTCCTAGGTAAAAGGTTTGCAATCCCTTAAGATGGCGGTCATTGCATCTATATGTGCGAGCGCGACGGCAATATATTTACAAGGGAGCAACAGACATAGGTTATAGCACGTTAGTGTACTTCATTCTTCCTGCATTGTGACCGGACCGGAGTGGCTTATCCTCAGTGCCGGCAGTGGCAGCCCAGTGGTACCGCACCGCTTGGGAAACCGAATGAAACGGGTTCATATCCCAGGTCTCTGATATTTGCTTGTGCGAATCATTTCCAACATGATTAACACTTGTCTAACGGTGCGGGTGCGCTCTTTGCAAGCATCGATTTTTGCAACTTAATAAAATTGCAAAAATCGATGCTTGCAAAGAGCGCACCCGCACCGTTAGACAACGTTTGAAATATCATACTCAACATATTTTATGGAGCATTATATTATTACAATTTTTTATTGAACGTCATGACTCTACTACCAGTTTGGAAAGAAGAAGCCTCAGACCTGAGAACTGGCGAAAGAATTTACAAACATCATTATACCGATACATTTTTTTGGTAGATAATTTTTAATTATACGTACGAGTATATTTAACATTCCTAGATAATCCTTCTTTGTAGCGGTGAAACCGTATGAAAATCCACTGAGTAGCTTCTAAAATAACCCCGAACAAAGTCGACTTCAATTTATAATATGTATAGATTATATAACACGAATATAAGGTGTTGTTGTTGCAGGCGAGCAAACTTCAACTCGCCGATCCACAGCGTGGCGATGCTGTTCCGCATCGTGACGGGCGAGGACTGGAACAAGATCATGCACGACTGCATGGTGGCGCCGCCCTACTGCACGCCCGCCGACAACTACTGGGAGACCGACTGCGGCAACTTCACCGCCTCGCTCGCGTACTTCTGCACCTTCTACGTCATCATTACCTATATCGTTCTTAACCTCCTTGTTGGTACGTCTTCACATGGTCATATTCAGCTTTATAGTTTAAGGTACTTATTGGCTTAAGGTATGTTATAATAGATAAAAATAATTATTGCGAGTCTACCTTAGGAGATAGAAGTAAGCTATTGCGGACTTTCTATAGGCCTTTTAAAACTTACAATTTTCTAGTACATTATTTTAATGTAATTTCTGAGGACGACATGAAAGAAGACTTGTTTCCCCATGGAAATAATGGATTATCATGTAGTAAAAGATCTAAATGTTAACCCGAGTAATAAAGTTACCATTACACAAAATTTAGTTAAAATCGGTTCAATACTTTTTGTGTGAAATGCACACAGATATACAGGCAAAAGTTTTAACTATTATTTATATAGGTATTAGGGTCTACATTTTGTACACCATATGTTACAGTCATTGTTTTAAAAAAAAAAAATTATACACAGATTTCGCTTTGTTACTATTTTATTAGTTGTAATATGTATAATTTAATTTAAATTTATATGTATAAATTAGGAAAAAGTATGTTAAAAAAAATTATACCCTTGAGAAATGATTGACTCCCCACACAAACTTCTCTAACTTATAAATGTCCCCCGCCATGTATAACGTGTTGCAAATAGCAATGCAATAGTTATTACGTCATTCATCAACCGTTCATTTATCAACTGTTGGTTACAAAATTGCAATAATCGTGGTCTTTAAGTTTCATATTTCGTTTATTTTTGTTACTAATGTATGTAACAATAATTAAAATGTACTATGGTACTTTACAGCTATAATCATGGAGAACTTTTCATTATTTTACTCGAATGAAGAAGATGCTCTCCTTTCATATGCTGATATAAGAAATTTTCAAAACACATGGAACATAGTAGATGTACATCAAAAGGGGGTGATACCAGTTAGAAAGGTGAAATATTCATAATTTAAATAAATAACATAGTACATATATATCATTTAAATACATTAATAAAATATGAATGTATATTTATTTTTTTAATATTCCTCATATATCTCTATTTATTCAATGTTTTATAATGATTATTTTGCATTATTTCAATAGTTTATATTGTTTGTAGGTGAAGTTTATACTAAGATTGTTAAAAGGAAGATTGGAATGTGACACTCACAAGGAAAGATTACTGTTCAAGTATATGTGCTATGAACTAGAACGACTCCATAATGGCGAAGATGTGACTTTTCACGATGTTATCAAGTGAGTTAGGTTTTTACACTTTAAAATATGTCATTTAATATATATTTTGAACTTATGTAAAAGACCAATCAACCAAATATTGATATTCCTCAAATTAATCTAGAGTAAATTCACTTCAATACTTTACATACAAAAGCCTGTTTTTTGGCTAGAGAATAATGGCTATTTTTATCCCGATACATTAATTAATTTATGAACTTCTTAGTTTCAACAATAGTATAAGCTCATTTTATAGTAATATCACAGCATGAAAATCCAAACAATAGACGATTGCCCATTGATATTATCGAAAATACAAATGCAAAAAAAAGCGAAAACTTTTAAAAGTTAAAACCCTATATTGTCATCTCCTGGTTAAAGTTAATACCTGTCAAGCCTAAAGCCGTTTACCAAGTGTTATGTAAACGTATAATTAGTCTGCCAACCGCACTTGGCCAGCGTGGTGGACTACGGTCTGATCCCCCTCGTATTAAAGGAAGGCCCGTGCCCAGCAGTGGGATATTAAAAAGGCCTGAATACATGGATCAGTAGACTGTGGTTGATCTAATGAAATACTGTAATTTCAGCATGCTGTCGTACCGCACGGTGGACATCCGCAAGTCGCTGCAGATGGAGGAGCTGCTGGCGCGCGAAGAGTTCGAGTTCCTCATTGAGGAGGAGGTCGCGAAGCAGACCATACGCACCTGGCTCGAAGGCTGCTTGAAGAAGATACGCGCTAATAGCAGTGTAACAATTTCTTATCTATGTCTACTTTCATTTATAACGATAATGTTTTCAAAAATCGACCAATAATAATGTCTATTATCCAGTTATGTAAATCAAAATTCTTTAATTTATTTATTTGAATCATTTTCTTTTGGGAAATTGATCTTCAATTTAAATTAGCTTTAAAAGAGACCACGGTCACGTGGTCGCGTCACTTTCAATGTAGTTCACCGATGCTTATCTAGTTCACACTAACTAAACATCATATTTATTTTAATTTTAATATATGTTCATTTTAGATGAATGTTTGGATGTTTGTTACTCAATCACGCCAGAACGGCTGGATAAACCTTGGCACAGAGATAGATTATAGTCTAGAATAGCACATAGGCTACTTTTTATCCCAGAAAAATGTACGGTTTCCGTGGTATAGATTTGTTTTTGTTTTTCTAGAGGCGTACCCGAGCGAAGCGACGATGAGCCGCTAGTTATAAATAATTATTATCATTTAAGCTAAACAATCGTTTTCATACTTATATGTTTAATTTTTACATATTTGTTATAGAAACAACAAACGAGTTTAATAGCAGGATTAAGGAAGACCAACGAGCAGCCCGTGGATTTTACTAGCGAAAAGGAAAAGGAGAAGCAAGACGCTGACGCACAGGTTAGCTACCGAATATTTGCTTGTGTAATGTTCCTTCTTTTATATTATATTTGCGATGAATATCCCGAACCAAGGAGCTCTATGACGTAATGATTGTTTTAAATACTAGTATGAAATGTAATTAAATGTATGTACTTGTAATAATTTTCAGCAACCTGGGGCAAATACAGGCCGCACTGAAATCACTGAATCTACATCTCAACCGATTATGTCAAGTTAGTATTTTTTTTTAATTTCGTGTGTATAAATCTATACTATAATAAAACTGTAGAGGTCAAATGTCTGTACATAGAAAAAAATATCTAAAAACCGTCAGGGGGATGTAAGAAGACAAATAGAACAAATCCAGATTTTTTTCAATTTTTTTGTTTCTGTCTGTTTGTCTGTTGGTACGGGCTAATCTCCGATTTTATTGGACCGATTTTAATGAAATTTTGCATGGTGGTACCTTACATCCCTGGTCAACATCTAAGATACTTTTCATTCCAGAAAATTAAAGGGTTCCCGTGGGATAGTTAAAAAACTATAGTAACTTATACACCTTAGTACACAACAACCTATGCACCTAATTTAGTAAAATTTGGCATGATAATACCTTATATTGCCGGTCAAATAACGGGTTACTTTTAATCCCGGAAAAATGAACAGTTCCCGTGGGATAGATCTGTTATCTGTCTGATCTGTGTGGTAATCCTAAGTACATACATTGAAATATTGGACTTTTATAAGCACTTTTGAATTGTCATTGCAATATAAAGAATCAGAATAGTTAGTCTATGAGGTAGATACCTATATAAACTTCACTAGATACATACCTATATAACTACAGATAACTAGTTTTAACCTCTTAGTAAAAAAACGGCCTTAACAGAAAAAGTATGGAGAGAAGTTTATATAAATATGACTTATTTTTATAGATGTTATGTCGTCACTAGACTCACAACCTAAACGTTCGTCAGGCAAGGCTCAACTAAAGAGATCTGGACTACCATCGGTGACAATACCAAGGTAAAGATTTCCCAAAAGCATTATTTTTTTTACATCTAATTGTTAATATATTCAATTTTTTATAACATATATATGTTTATATTGCAGGCCCGAGAGTCCTGTGAAGAAATATTTACAACCCACTTTGAGCGATCCGCATCCATCTATGAATAAGAAGTCTACGACCCGTAAGTTTTATTTTAAAGTAATAATTAGTAAAAAGCTTTATATAACTCTTGGTTTGTGTTTTTTTTTAAATATTTTTAGAGAACTAAAAACAAAATAAAGATGATTACACAGAGTAGGTACTTGATAATAGTTTCGTGAAGAAATTTCACTCCATACAAATATACAAAGTGATAACTATTGGTTACTACTATGTGATGAAAGCAGCATTCAGTGGGATTGGCGCGCACCATCAGAGTGCTTGTAAACGTCACGTGCAGAGTCCAAAAATATTGTTTTTTGCAAAATTTTGCACCAATTAGATCAGATGCACCAATTTCACTGAGACTCGCTTCGCAGGAGATGTATTGTGTACAAGTGTGCGCCATTGTACTTTCTATTCCTTTCACTCTCAAGTTCGGATGGGAAGATGATTTGCCACGACCGATGATGATGGTAGTCTAAGTCTAATAAGTATGCTGTGGTATTATATAAATCAATTTCTATTTTGAACAATAATAACTAGTGAGCCATTTTGATGATGTCCTTATTTATAATATTATGAAAGTTATCAAGAAGGGACGTTTTTTTCCAGTTTAATTCACAAATATCATCATACCGTTAGCTCATTTTCGCATTACGTTCATAAATTATAGCCTATAACCTTCCTAGGTGTTTCCTCTTACAATTGGTGAAAACCTTATGAAAGTCCGTACAGTAGTTTTTGAGATCAGCCTAAACTATAATATGTAGTGATTAAAAAGCTATTTTTTGTATTATACATAACTAACGACGTAATGTAACTTCATTAGCAGTGACAGCAACAAGTATAAAGAGCAACCGCCAGCCCTCGGTCGCGCACAGCAGCGCGGCGCTGCACGACGTGCGCTCGTGGTGGGGCGCGCGCCTCGCCTCGCACGCCGCGCCCGCGCCCTAACGGCGGCGGCCATCTTTAGTCTGAGTTACCGATCTTTGAATATGACTAATCAAATATTGTTAGGCGTTTTTAAACTATGGGTTATTATAGTTCATTATTAAATTGAATTTTAGCTATGACCGACGATCGGAATATATGTAGTATGTGAATCGCTCGTTGGAATAAAATATAAAATAAATATACGAAATAATTTACATTAATAATTTATTATTATTCGAATAGGGTAGTGTTGACATCGATTATGACTCAATTTTATAATCATTTATAAAACCGTCTTAATATCATACAATATTAAAATCTGTATACGATAAAGTTATTGTTTTTTTAAACTTTAGTTTCTCAATGACCGTTAAATTAATTTATAATCTTTATAGCGAACATTTACCGATCGGTATGTTTAAATCATGAACGAATTAGAGACTGGACCTGACATAAAATACAAATGTATGAAAACTAGTTCAACCAAGTGACGCATAACGCACACAAAGATTTTATTACATTATTATAAACACTGATACCAAATACAATATTTCTAGTGCTTGAACGTAATCGATAAAATACATATATCGATGAACCAATGAATGACATTTTAGACATTGGTTAGCATAGTCATCATATTTTACATCTTTTAATTTATTCTTCTTCTTTTAATTTTAATAAATTAAAAGAAATGAATTAAAGAGGCAATAATAATGTGTCAAATAATAATTATTTTTTAATTTGATTTATATAAATACGATGGCATTGATGGCAACATTCTGTTGGCCTATAATAATGTTAATGAACAAATGAATATCGGGTATATATTCCATTAATATATAATAAATATTATTTTGTAAAGATTAAAAAATATATTAAGCTAATTTAATTAAATAAAGTGATTTTGTTGATTCTGTTACTGAACTATTTTAATTGGCAATTGATTGTCTCGGGTAGTTATAAAAATGTGACACTGTCCTAATATTGCTCAGTTCTTAATAAACATTTGTGAAATTAGGAAAAAGAAAAAGACATTGCAAATTAAAGTGAGTGTTGCATCGTGAAAGTAAAATAATTAGTGCAAGTGGTAAAGTGTTTTATTACAAATCGTCAACCCAGAAGTTTAGTGCTAAAACATTATAGTTTGATTTTGTGTAATTTATGTGTTGAAATAAAATGATCTTTATTATTATTACAATGGAATAATATTCCAAAGTATATAAATGTGGAATAAAATAAAATAAAAATTAAGTACACATACTAATTATAATTTTTGCATTTATATTTTCATTTGATTTAGAAAATATTTTTATAAATTTATTGTCATCAGATTGTAGGATACTGTGGTAAAAGTATTTTATGTTATTGTACTGTACAAATAACACAATTCGTTTAGTAATTTCGTCAAATATCGATATATTTTTCGACATTGTCAAGCACTAGTCGATGTCAAATGGACTCACTCGACAGTTTAGTCATTTGTTCTGAATGGTATAATCCAGGGATTTTATGATGGTTGTCAGATGTCAACAATACATAGAAATATCGACTATATTTAACATAGTTGGATAATATGACATTTTATTTTACATTTAATTAAATTGTGTGATAAATAACAATAAATGTAATAAAATAATGTTTTTACAAGTGAAAAGAAATACTGCTGCTTCCGCCGTTATAGTTTTTACATCATTTAACAGAACATTTAGTCATTTTTGGGACATGTTTTGATGACAAATAAGTGCTTGAGACTGACGCAAAAAACAAACGACCAAGCCTAAAATCGCCTGGTTACTGAGAAGACCGATAAAGGTACGTCCGCTTATATGTCTAGTCCAGTGGTTAATTCGTTCATGGTTTAAATGTTTAATAACACTAACTCGATCATTCATGTCGTACTAATACACAAGTGAATAAAACATGAGTAGCTGAACCGGTCGTTTGATTTGAACACCCACGAGTGTTCACTGCAAGTAGTGGCACATGCCGAGCGCGAAGGCGGCCACGAGCGCGAGCGCGAGCGCGGCGCACAGCGCGCGCGCCGCCACGGGGCAGCGGCACAGCTCGGCGCGCAGGCGCAGCGCCGCGGCGTAGGCCAGCACGGCGCCCAGCTCCTCCGCCGGCGCGTCCTGGTGCAGGAAGGGCCGCGCGCTCAGCTCGTGGCCCACGCCCTGCGCGCGCCGGCCCTCGCCCGACAGCCGCGCCGCCTGCCGGGTATTCGTTATGCACTAGCGAAACACTTCGTCCCTAGATACGGTTACATTTTTTTGAGCGGAACCCTAATTCTTTTTCCGAAATAAAAGTAGCATATGTTACTCCCTATAACATCAGCTATATTCCAGTGAAAGTCCCGTCAAAATCAGTCTAGCCCTTTCAGAGATTATCCGGAACAAACAGACAGACTGACAATTTTTTAAAATTATGCTTTTCTTATAAGAATTTCGTATATAATTTCATATGCATTTTGTAAAACGCTGTTATTTTGACATTACAAGCAGACACTTCAATTTTATTTATCTGTATGGATTTTTGCTCTTTATTAAAACTTTCCGTGTACCTTAAGAAACATACGAAAAAAAAAGACGTGTGGCACTCGGAGACTGCCGCGGTAAAGCTATTGCATAGCATTTTTTATCAACTTATGCAATTATAATTATTTATTTATTTTATTAATGCAGTATTTTTTTCCTTTGTTTTGTTTTTTTTTCTTTGATATTAATTCAAGTTACACTTTGAGCGTGGTGACCGATAAAAAACAATTTTTTTTCTTTTATTAAATAAATGAGATGTTAATATTGTTCAAAATATTTTTATTATATATATATTTTTAAATATCTGGAAAATACCGCGTCAATGGTGGTTCCATATTTTGTTGTGGATCCTTGTGGATCATTATTCATTTTCAAATTCAATATTTTCGAAAGCAAGCTGCATCGACTGCATCTTTGTTGCAAGAATTCAAAAGACTGTCTCTAAATAGTGTTCAGACGATAGCTCAAAGTGTATTAGATTTCATTAGTAATAGAAATGGCATTTCAATAATTACTTTCAACTGCCAAAGTCTAAATAGTCACAAATACGATTTACAAGATTCAGTTACGAGGCAAGCAAATGTGTTACTTCTTACCGAAACAGATGTCAAATGTCAGATCGTCAGAAACGTCAGATGTCAGATGTCAAATCTGAGTGGGGGGTGTTAGGTTTTTTTCGTTACGGAATTTCTGGATTCGGTCCCCACGCTCATGGCCCGCGATAGAAGCTATGCTCATATCATATATATCATATATATGATATGATTTCTATCATATCATATATATGATATATATGCTATGATAGAAGCTTAAAATTAGCTGAATTGGTGGTATTATGATTTCTGACAGTAAACGTATATATATGTAATTTTTATTTATTGATAAAAATAGCCTATGGCACTACAGTAATATGGTATTTACTTAAATGTAAGAATTTTCAGAATCGAATCACTTGTTCTAGGGAATATAAATTAATTTAGATATGGTAAATAACCGTCCTCCAAAATGATCTAGTCATTAGTTGTTTTATTAATATTGATTATAAGCAATGGATAACCCTTCAAATATTGTTTTGTATTCATTTGATAGTTCACTAATATACACATTGCATCAAGACTTAACTTTAATTGGATATTTTTGAAAAAAAAAAATTAAAAAAAAAACAAGTAAATATTGTGTGCATTTATAACTTATAATTTATTTTATACGTACCTGTACAAACGGCACTATAACTGCAGACACCCAAAGTAACAGGTTGAGGATACTGATCCCTTCTATTGGCTCCGTCTCTGTATCCACTTTGTCCAGGTTCAATAGCCACATGGTACCGGACACTGCCCACGATATATTTACGATAGTAAATAAGCAAACTGCTGGTGCTAAATCATCATTTAAGTATTTAAGTAACTTCCGAAATTCTGATATCTCCTAAAATATAAAGGTTAATTATTATCAAAAAAAAATACTTTAAATACGCTCGTATTCCATTACAAGGGAAATATTCGATTACTTCTTAGTATAGAGATTAGAGTTAGTCAAGACGAAACGTGCCATAAATATACATTTATCCGAGAACATACTTATAATCTGTTTTATAGTATTAGTAAATTCTTTTTATTATTATTTCTAAAAAACAAAATCTAATCTATCCCAATTATTACCCATACATTTTTCCCGTTGCCGTTTTGGCGTGATTAAGTAACAAACATCCATCCATCCAAACTTACGTATGTCAATGATAGTGAAGTGGCGATTAAGATGAATAAAAATAATAAATATGTTTGTCATGACTTACTCTCATCCAGTTTAGAGGCGTTATAGTCTTATTTATAAGACGTTCATCTAAACAGACAAGATGAGCTTGCAAAAGTTGAGCTTGTAAACAATAGCTCGTAATCACGGTGGCCTGCACCATGTCATGTATCAAAGTACAAAAGATTAGTAAAATCTTCAATCCAAGTATCACTTCTGGTGAGCTGTAAGAATATATTGCATAAACTCATTTCTATAAATTAAATTCATAAAGACTCTGTAACACATTTGTTATCAAATAGTACAAACGCATTTGCTTTATCAGCTCGACTTCCGTAGAAGTATTGTGATAGGCTTTTAATTGATTATATTTTAAACTATCATTGCCCGTGGCTTCGCCCGCGTTCAAACTACCAAAGAGAAAACTCATATATTAGTCACTCTTATATATACCTACCTATTTCATCGTGAACTACAAGTTTGGAAGTTTGGAAAAGTAGCAGGGTTGGCAGTGCTACAAAGGCTCCTCCTTAAATCTCTTAATTAATTTGGTAATATTGTATTTTTGTTTTAAAAACATTTATAGTTCTTTTATACTAATATTCTAAAGAGAAAAGATTTGTATCTTCACTTATTTGTATATGGTGATCAACTCCGCACTAAAGCAATTTTAATCAGTTCTTTACTAATACATAGCTATTGGTTTAGTAATATTTAGCTGATTATCTTTTAAACTACCTACATAAAATTAATTTTTCTTTATATTAATTTCTGTGCAGATATGAGGTAACATTATGTCTTTATAACTAAGGTAAGCATTGTTTTTTATTAGAACCCATATTACTGAGTTATATGACCCTAATACTTAAAGAAAAAAAATACTCTCAACGAAAATTACTTATATTCCGAGAGCTGGCGACGGCGATGGTCCTTTAGGCAAGTTGAAATTGTAAAAAAATATAATTTCGTGAATTGGCGAGTCAGGTCCCGCGAGTCTGGTATAGCGTATTTCGTTATTGCGCAGTATATAACATTTGCAAAAAAATATATCCAAAAAAACATATTTTTGGCAACTTGATTTTTGTTTAATCTTCTAATTTAGTTTACATATAATTCAAAAAAGAGAACCCTAGTAGTTGTTGTCGGTTATAAAGTATTGCCAGACCTCTCCAAAGATACTTTATTAAAATTCCCAAAAATATACTTTTGGCAATCTGAAATTTTAATCACGTATTTATTGAGTAATTTTCAAATAATACTTGCAAATCGCCAGACAAATTTACCGGTTTTAAACCATTCCCAGACGTAAATAAAGTTTACAAATGAGTACTTCACAAAACTTCGGACTGGACTCGCCATTTCACGAAATTATATTTTTTCACAATTTCAACTTGCCAAAAGGACCTTCCTAAAATTCGTCACGACTCTCGGGGTATTAGCTGAATATATCTACGTTGACTACTTTTTAAAATATGGCATAATTTTAGTTTCCCGCTTTGTCAATTTAGCAACCGCAAACTTAAATTCGTTTTGCAAGTATATGTAAAAAAATAGTATGAATCACGAACGTACTTTTCGGATCGATACAATGTGTTTTATTTTAGTGTTAACGTAAACGCAATGCCCGGTTTTAATTATTTAACTATATACGTATATTGTTTACTTAACGGTAACAAAAAGTTACATTTTCATTTGAAAATTTCATTTCTTTTTCAGTTTCAATTTTTTTCAGTTTTTGTATTTTTTTCAGAAATAACACTTTCCTACAGTAAAAAGTTGGTATCCTATTTGATCCGGATAATAATCAGCTATCACCAAAGAATATTCGATCAATATCCATGCAGTGGTTTTCTCGTGATGCGGTCACAGACTGACAGACAGAAACTCGAAAAATTATAGATTTTTCAAAAAATATTTAATGTAGGTACCTACAGAGTAGAGATTCGGCTTAGTTACAAATTTATTATATGTATAGATAACTTTAATTAATGGAAATAAGTAACAATTATCTAGATAGCCCTTTTATGAACTCATTACTCCCCTCTAACCCAGCGGGATCGGACTATAATCCATCACACTAGTCAAATAGGGGTTCTATCGAACTCACATATTTCCTCATGATGTTTTTTTACCATATTAGCAAGTGGTAATAATGTTGAAAATGATCTGTACTTGATCTCAGAGGTGCGAGACGTAGGGTTCCTACCTTTTTTACATTTAAATTTAAAAATAAATATTTATTTCATTTTTGTTGTCAAAAAATCAAAAAATATTGTAAGATACTTTGGTGCCATTTTTTATTTTTGAAATCATTTTTTGTAAAGTAGTGGGTAGGCACTGTCTGTTACAAGTATAATAACGCCTTTAAGACGTCTATAACCCTTAGTCTCTCCCGTGACCATGATTGCTGTAAACTGTAAAGCATTCGAAACGTCGGGAACCAAAAATCAAAATAAATCCGCGAGAAAATCCAAAAAGATAGTTTTATTTAAAATAAGTATAAATATTTCTCATATATGAAATATTTTAAAATGAATATATGTACATACATATTTGAAAAAAAAAGTATTACGTAAATATAACATGGTTTACCTCGTTTCCATCCACCGAAAAATAATAGTACCTTTGGCCATCATTAAGTTAACAGAGCATAATGATATGCACATCCACAAAACACTAAGAATTATAAAAAACCACAACATACGTAACAGCCGTTTAGGTTTCGCTGTAGGCATTCCTTGTGGCGCGTAAGAAGATAGTAAAAATACCTAAAACAAAAAATTATATTCATTAACACTTATTCAAATAATAAAATATAATTATTCTTATGAAAAAACGCAAAGAAAAATTTTGCCAAATGCCAGAACGGATGAAACAAGTTTACCGGAACTTTCACTGTAAGATAGAGGATTTGGACGTAAGATCATAATAATTATATCCGTTTCCAAGAAATCGAGAAAAAAACAATCTTATGTGGTTAAAATAAACATCCGCCCTGTGCTGAGATCGAACCCGTGATCTCGCACTCAGTAAGCAAAGGAACACAAACTCTACTGGATTCATATAAATATTAAGAGCATGAAAAATAAGTAAGATTTTAAATTTAATTACGAATATGAATTATATCAATGGATATATTTTTAAATCACACTAGTACAAGTAGGTATGTAATGTATCCCCCCCAACGTGCGTTCACCTTGTCGTGGTGGGGGGGCTCAGTAGTGCCCGGCAATCCAACCGGGCGCGAAGCTAAGAAACGTACAGGGAGGTTGCCCACTTCGGTGGGCGGTGGGAGGTGGCCCTCTTCGGGGGGCGGTGTACCTTGCGGGTTGCTCCTGGTACTTCTCTGATAGCAGAGTGGACCTTGGAGCAACCCCATGGTTGTGGTGGTCTGCTTCGGCAGACTTGCCGTCGGGGCGTCGTAGTTGAATGCGTAAGCGATCCTGCGACGCCCCATTAAGACGGGGGAAGGTTTTGTTGGGTTATAGTGGGTAGTACTGGCTGTATTACGCCGGTGAGTCCCACACGTCGTGCGTAAATGCATTTCCCAACGTTAAAAAAAAAAAAAAAAAAAAAGGTATGTAATGTATGTACAATGTGTTTCTTTAATATTGTAATTGTGTAAAACTAATGTTTCTATAATGCTATGGGTTCCACGGGAACCGTACATTTTTCTGGGATAAAAAGTAACCATGTGTCATTCTGATGTATGAACTATACCTATTATTGTAGTTTCATTAAAATCCATTCGGTAGGTAGTTTTTGTTGAAAGAGTAACAAACATCCAGACATCCATACATCCATACATCCTTACAAACGTTCACATTTATAATATTAGTGTGGATAATGTTTCCTCGTAGCTCATAAGCGGTTGAATTATTTTTTACGAATTATACGTCGTTAGCTTCGCCTTAATAGCGCGAGTGTCGTCGGTTTATTTTAAAATTAAAAAATCAAAATGGCTAGAAAACTAGCCACGCTCGCCCCAGATTGGCGCTTAAAAAAAGCGCCAATCTGGGGCGAGCGTTTTTTTTTCATAATTTGACAATGAAGTTTTTAAAGAAGAAATGTGAATAATTTCGTATAGTAAATTGTTATACAAAAGCTGTACTAAGACTCGCAACAATTAGGTACATAATATGTCTAGGATGCATAGTGCTATGTTCCTATGTCATTTTGTTTTCAATTTTTTTTTGTTTATTTAGTCAGTGCAGTCGGTTTTTTATTTACACCATTAGTACTCTTATTAATGGAAAATGTTATTAACGAAAAGCTTATATAGTTAAGGTACAGTGTTATTAGTAGATATTTTATTTGTTAGCCATTCAAAAAAAGAAAAACTTACCCTCTCCATAAGATTTTGCAGTTGCTCATTATCAGATATTCTAAAGAGATATAGCGCATATAAAAATCCTATAAAATGTAATACGCTGGGCCCAACATACGTTAGTGCAATATTACCATAACATACTTGTTTATAGGCTTCATATTCGTAAGACGACGTTAAAGCTAGTGGCACTAATTTGTAGCAAAATCCTCTATCCCGCCTATAACACAAGTTTAAACATAGTACATCATAAGCTTATATTTTACTTTCCACTCACCCTCGCTCCGCTCGGGTTCGTCCCTACTAACGTTTTAAGGTTTAGTATAGATTTCTCAGAGATTACATATTTTCCCGCAGTAAAAAGTGTCCTATATGTTGACCCGGATAACCAGCTATCATCATACCAAATTTCATCAAAATCCCTCCAGTGGTTTTTCCGTGATGCGGTAACATACAGACAGACAGACAGAAATACTAAAAACTATAGATTCGGCCTCTGTATCGATAATAATGTAAATTTCAATAAGATTTTCCAAAAAATATTTAATGTACAGATTCGGCTTAGTTACAATTTTATTATAGTACTAGCGACTCACCCTCGCTTCGCTCGGGTTCGTCCCTACCTTGCTTCCCACTACATATTTTCATCTCCATTTTTACCCCCTTAAGGGATGATTTCCGAGATAAAAAGTATCCTATGTCCTTACCAGAGTCTCAAACTATCTTCTTACCAAATTTCATCTAAATCGGTTCAGTAGATTCAGAGATTACCCCCTACAACGTCACAAACTCACAAACTTTACCTTTTTATAATATTAGTATAGATAAGTAAATTACAAACTGTTTACCACTAAGTAAATGTAATGCGCTTAAAAGATCTTACCGAAAACATGCCATGTACTGAAGTATATATCCTAAGCACATAAATACTGCAACCTGTGCAGAATGAAAATGTGATAAAAAAATTGCAAATCTAGATGAATTGGACACATCCACTACTGGCCTTAACCCCATAACAGTAAGAAGTTTTAAATATGGAAGTAATATCTGCAACAAAATATAGACATACGAGTACATAAGTACATACATATTAAATGTAAATTTCAGTATTATACATAACGATATAAAGTTCAGAACTAATGTTAACTAGTTTTAATTACCTTCGATTTACAGTAATGTAAAATAGCCGACGTACTCATATATTCTGTATCTGGAGACTCTGTTATTTCGCCAACCTGATGAAATGATTTAAATAAAGGTATTTAATATTTTTATATAAATAATTTTTTATTTATAAAAATAAATATAAATTTGTAAAAATTAATATGTATAAATTAAGTACCTACTATTTATTAAATGTACCTATTTTAATTTTAAATAAAATAAAATATTACTAAGAAAGTATTACCTATTTTAAATTAATCTTTTCAAACGCAAACAAAAAGTAGAACTATTTACACTAAAAAAAATATTCCATAGTAATAATATTAATATAAATGATAAAATAAAATAACTCACTTCGACACTATTAGCGTCTAGGCTAGATCTTGTTGATCTCTCCATGGCCGGTACGCCCAACTTGTCATTGCACAGTACATGGTTATCCAGAAGATCACTTGCTACACAGTGGCATAAAAACCCATTAGCCATTTTATTATTCATATCTATACTCTAATTATAGAAGCTTACATATTATAAGATAAATAATTCTTTAATGAGTCTAAGCTAGATTGTAATTGAATATAGCCGTGTAGAATTCATTGTTTAACTAAATACTTTGATATTAAAATAAATTTCTTATTAACTTACAGCTACTAAACGATCCATTACTATTTTGCATCCTCTCGTTGTGTGGCAATTCTGGTTAAATTGTATAGAACTATACAATAAACATAATTAAAAATAAAAATACCCACTTGCGTAGATATTTACATTTTAATTTATAATAGGTAATATCATTGGACGAATACTGATGAAATGCATCTTGAAGCAACTTTTTAGTTGTTTTCTGATAGCAAAAACTGAACCAGATATTCAGAGGTACGTAACAATTTAGATTTTTTAAAATATTATGATTGCATAAGTACATATATTAAAAAATATTAACGATAACAACTATGGTTTATGTGAATTATGAAAAACAATATTAATTGGTTAAATGTTTAAAGATTGTTTTTGACTACTTTTAGTAATTTCTGTTATTTTTCAAAGAGTATTTAGAATTATTACGCTTTAACCATTTATAAGTTTATATAAATAAATCCAAAAAACTTAAAATGTACGACATAAGCATTTTATTTGTATAATGCAATTTAACCAACGGTTAATTAAACCGTTGAACTCTGATACCCTTGCATTATAAAGATAACGTCTAAAGAAAAATGTTTTGTTTCATATGTAGGTACATTCAACTTGGAAACGATATTATAATAATTATACTTTAATTTAAATTACGTAAAAATTTCTTAATAACAAAGAGGACCAGACATTTAACACGTAATATAAATAGCTGCTAGCAAGAAACAAAGGACAGTTGTTATAAAATACTAGTGTCCGACCGAAATGGTTTTTTAGCCGAAACCGAACTTTCGGCTTTATAATATAAATATAAAGATAGATTATAATAACTTGTACGACAATTATGTACTTACTTACTACTCGTAAGTTATATAATTATACTCGGTTCCGAACACTCGAGGGCGGAGCCGAAAGTTTCGGTTATATTGTGGTCGAAACCGAAACTAAAGCCGAAACTAGATTTTTTGGCCGAAACCGAAACCGAAATTTCGGTCGGTCACTATAAAATACCTAGTCACAGATTAATTATCACAGAAAATAAGGTTAAGGTAATAGATTTGTAATAATTACAGTTACGATTTTTAAGAAAATATTGTTATGGACTACATTTAACAAATAACATCCAATAAAATATAATCCAATAAAATATTTCTCGAGTAAATTATGCCACTCATTTCACCTCTTGAATTACAAAATGTCGCCCTTTCTTAGTGGTTAGGTACCTACATATTATATGCACATATGTTGTTATAACTTATATAGCCAGAGCCGAATAATAAAATTCCGACTGCATAAAAGGTAACTAAAAAGATGAAAACAAGTTGACGAAGGAATATAGTATTATGTAAGTATGTATTCTATCGCCAATTTAAAAAAAAATGTTCAAGACAATTACGTTTGTGTGTTAAAGGCTATTATTATACAATTAATGATTTTATAGAGGATATTTCACGCCTTAAGAATGAAATGATCGCCTCCGGGCTACTTCAACTTTACAGAAATATTGTAATTTATAACTTAACTTTATAAATAAGATAACGAAATAATATTAGTAAATAAGTGAATTTGAATTGAATTTGTAGTCGGAGACATACATACAAACATGTTTGATCCTTGACGCGAGATGTAGGTACCGTCAACCGATTGCTTAATACTCCTTCGCCAACTAGTTTTTATCATTTTAATTATTTTCAGGGTTTTTTTTATGATGTATTTTTATTAAAGTACAGCTTTTTAGTTTTGGCTTATTAGACATTTTATAGATATATTTGTTGTATTAGTTTAATTTATAATTTTATAAGACATATACAAACTTTATGATGTTACTATAAATTATATGAAACATAAAACAATGACATTCAGAAGATGAATTCTCAAGCTATCATGTAGTTTTATTTTAATTAATATAATATTAATTTAATATAACATGGCGCAGTCGGTACTGAAACTTATTCAATATAAATAATAAAATAAAGAAAGTTTACAGTATTTAATATAAAGAATTATAAAATATATATTAATAGTAACGATGATGAATGGTCAGATGAATATGTCGGCAGTCCGAGTTCCTACAGAAATGTGCTGGATAGGGTCAATGGCAGAAAATTGGAAGTTATTTAAACAAAAATATGAAATATTTATTGTAGCGTCTGGTAATGTAGAGAAAGATTCTGCAACTAAAATAGCGCTACTTCTTAACGTGATTGGTGACCGTGGATTAAAGCTATTCAATAGTTTTGTACTTGATAAACCTGATGACAAGAATAACTTTAATAAAGTTATAGCAAAATTTGAAGAACATTTTAATCCAGAAAAAAATGTAAATTATGAAAGATACAAATTTTTTAGTAGAACTCAAAAACAAGGGGAAGCGTATGAAGATTTTTTAATTGAATTAAGAGACTTGAGTGCTTCGTGTGAGTTTGGAGTTCTTACAGAAAGTCTCATCAAGGATAAATTGGTTTATGGAATTTTAGACATTTCTGTTGTTGATCGTCTTTTACTAATTAAGGATTTGACACTTAATAAAGCAATAGATGTATGCAGAACTTCACATGAAACTAAAAAACAGCTTGAAGATATATATTCCATTAATCCTAGCACATCGGAGAATTCCTATAATAATGAAAATTTTATCAGTAAAATAAATAAAAATAAAAATTCGTATGATATAAGTCATGCAAAAAACTTAAAAATTAATAAGGATCATGACAAATATGACGAGAAATATAAAATAGACTGTAAAAGATGTGTTTATCAACACATAAGAAATAGATGTCTAGCATTCGGAAAGAAATGCATCCTCTGTAATAGATATAATCATTTTGCAAGTCAATGTAATAATCATTATTTGTGTGAAGTTGAAGAAGATAAAAATAATGAAGAGGAGCAAGTTAATATTTTGCATTTTGAAAAGATTTTTGTAAATTCAGTTGATAGAAGTTCAAGAGACTGGACTGTCGTAGTAGGCGTAGATAATATACCTCTTACTCTTAAAGTAGATACAGGAGCTCAAGCAAATATTTTAGTAGCTAGTAATTTATCTGTTTTAGGTTTAGATAAAAATAATCTTATTCAGTCAAAAGCTACACTTGCAACATATACAGGTGAGCTAATCAAATGCATAGGCAAGTGCTCCCTGCGCATAAAATACGAAGGTAAAAATCACTCACTTGACTTTTTCGTGGTAGATGCCAATAAAGCATGCAATATTTTAGGACTAGAATCTGCTATTAAAATGGGATTAGTTAATCCTGTATATAAAATTAATGAAGCTAATTTCACTTTAAAGTATGACGATTTATTTCACGGCTTAGGTTGTATGAAAGGTGAATATGATATAAAATTGAAACCTAATGTTTCACCTGTTGTACATGCGAGTAGAAGAGTTCCACTTGCAATAAAACCTCGTTTAAAAAATAAATTAGATGAATTAGAGAATTTAAATGTCATACGTAAAGTAACGCATCCAACTGATTGGGTAAACTCCTTGGTCATCGTTTATAAACCTAATGGTGATTTAAGGCTTTGTCTAGATCCTAAAGATCTGAATAATGCAATACAAAGACAACATTTTGAATTACCAACGTTAGATGAAATTACTAGCAAATTGTCAGGTGCGTCATTTTTCAGTACTTTAAATGTTAAAAATGCTTTTTGGAACATAAAATTAACGTCAGAAAGTTCTGATTTATGTTGTTTTAATACACCATTTGGTCGATATAAATTTCTGAGAATGCCCTTTGGGTTATGTAGTGCTTCAGAAGTTTATCAGCATAGAATGCGTCAAATATTAGAAGATTTAGAAGGCGTAGAAGTATATATCGATGATATACTTATTTGGGGTAAGACAAAAGAAGAACATGATATTAGATTAAGGAAGGTATTTGATAGACTTAGGCTAGAAAATGTGAAACTCAATAAAGAAAAATGTAAAATTAATGTCCCTGAATTAAAATATTTAGGTCATATAATAAATAAAAATGGTATAACATTAGATAATAGTAGAATTACTTCAATTATATCAATGAAACGCCCCAGGGATAGGAAAGAACTAGAACGATTTCTAGGAGTAGTAAATTATGTCTCAAAATTTATTAAAAATTTCGCAGCTATAACTTCACCTTTAAGAAATTTACTTAAAAAAGATGTTGAATTTGAGTGGCTACATGAACATGACAAAAATTTTAATGAATTAAAAAATAAGTTAATTAATAAACCAGTATTGCAATTTTTTAATGAAAAGCTCCCGGTTGTTTTGTCCGTGGATGCTTCAAAAGATGGTCTTGGTGCTCTTTTAATGCAAAATGGTTTACCGGTACCTTATGCCTCAAAAGCATTTAAACGAATGCCAGAAGCGTTATGCACAAATAGAAAAAGAATTGCTTGCTATTTTATTTGGTTGTGAAAAGTTTAACCAGTTCATCTTTTGCAGGAAAATAATTATTGAAACGGATCACAATCCGTTAATAGGCATTGTTAAAAAGCCATTAAATTCTTGTTCACCACGAATTCAACGTATGTTAATAAAATTACTTAAATATGAATTTGATTTAGTGTATAAGCGTGGTAAAGAGTTATATATAGCAGATACTTTATCAAGGTCATTTAACGAAAATGAAATGTTAGAAATTGATTTAGATGAAAAAAATATTGAGGCTAATATTAATATGATGATTTCTACTTTAAATATTAGTCAGAGTCAATTAGGTGACTTTCAGAATTTGACTGAAAGTAATAATGAAATGAGATTACTTAAGAATGTGATTGTTAATGGATGGCCTGATCATAAAAATTCTTTACCTGAAGATATCAGACAATATTGGCATGTTAAAGATAGTTTAACATATAAATCTAACTTAATATTTAAAGGTATATATACCTTATGAGTTAAGAAAAGAAATGTTAAGGCGTTTACACTATCCTCACTTAGGGATTACAAAAACTTTATTAAGGGCAAATGATGCTATGTATTGGCCTGGTATGATTCATGAAATAACAGACTTGATATCTCGATGTGAAACATGTAAACTTTTTAGTAACAATAATACAAGAGAAACACTAATACCGCATCCGGTGCCAGAATTATGTTGGGAAAAGGTTGGAATTGATCATGGAGTAATCAATGACAAGTCGTTTTCGATGAACCCCTCCTCCCGCTACGAGGACTTGGGCTCTCCAGGGGGAAATACTTGTTTCAATGACCCCGTCTTCAAGTAATTTAGACACTTCTTCTTTTATGAAGTCCTCATCTTCCTTACTGTAGCGCCCGCCGGCTTCTCACGGCGTACGGTCGAATGTTCGGCGACAGATTTGTAAATACGGAGGCTGGCGGCACCGAAGCTCGTAACACGTTGCATATCTCTAAAGGTTCGCCAGGCCCACCAAGATTAAAATGAATGCTCGAGTGATGTTTGAGCAAGTCATGGCCGACGATGACGTCAGCACAGAGGTTGTCGACAACTAGAAGAGGCGATTGTTTGTAGTATGCTTATTCATCGTAATGGTAGCAAAGCAGACGCCTTCGGCAAAGGAAACTTGATTGAGAGAAGCGAGATTGACTGTCTGCTTGCAGGGTTTTTTGCGTAGTTTCATTATGCGAGCAACACTAGCGTTAATAAAGCTGACTGAACTTCCTGTATCGACGAGTGCATCAGCCTTGTATTCGTTGACCATGATTGGAATTGTCGCACTCCTAAGGCTCAAAGGAGAGGCAGCAGAAATAGCTCCACTGTAGAACTGGTAGTTGTTAGAGGTCGTAGGATCTTCAACTGTCGTGGAGTTCAAGTTAATATTGCCCGATCTACAGACGCTTGCAAAGTGTCCTTTCTTTGAGCACTTTTTGCAGGTAGCTTTGTTGGCTGGACATCTGAACCTTGGATGAAGACTCCCGCCGCAAAAGAAGCAGGGTTTAGCCGGAGGTGGCGTGGTCGGGGCGGCTTGAAATGTTCGTGACGATGGAGCTGCCGCTAGATTTTCGGATTCCTTGTCCCGTGAAGTACCTTGCGATATGGCGGTAAGTTGCGTAGAACTGATACCAATAGCAACTGCATCTCTGCCGTTTCCAGAGCTACGGCTTGATTAAGTGCTTCTGAGAGAGTGAGTTTTGAGTTTTCTAGTAACCGTTCGCGAATCCTTCGTGATAGTAAGCCGGATATGAGAGCACTAGGAATTGCTTGGTCTTCATGCTCTTTAACTATGACGTCTTCGAATTTACAATCTTTTGCGGAAAGTCGAAGAGCTCTAATATAGTCAGAGATCGTTTCGTCGGCTCGTTGCTTGCGATTAAAGAGAATGTGTCGAGCTAGAATAGTATTTTTCGGTTTGACATAGATGTCTTCTAGAACTTTCATCGAATCTTTATAAGTGGAGCATGTTTTGATATTCTTGTAAATCGATGCCGATAAGTGATTAACTAGCAGCTTACGCTTAAGGGAGTCTGGTACATAGTCGGTAATCTCTTCTGCTAAGAAGCTTTCAAATGTCGATATCCAGTGTACCCATTTTTAATCGGCGTCCGCGACATCAGGCTCGATGTCAAACTTATCGGGTCGCAGATATCTCGACAGCGAAGGCATGCCTAGTTTTTCATCAGGCATTTTCAGTTAAATAAATTGTGGCATAATAAACGAGAAACCAAGAGGAATATTGGTTTTATTTAACTGAAAGAATTCCACTAGACAAATCTAATGACTAAATTAATATTAATAAATAACAAAGTATGACAGTTGACACGTTTGGTTTTAACAACACTACGGAGATCGTATAGGTACATGGCGCGGAGGTCGCATATCACCTCACACATATTTATTTAATTGTATTGAAGAGCATTAATACCAAGTTTCTAGTTATTCTGATCATATATAATTCTTTGCCCATATAAACTTTACCCCTACATAAAACATTAGGTACTGACCACAGACCAGGAACAACAACTACATGAACTTGACTACAGGCACATTCCTAGAATTGTAAAAAAATAACTATCTGTGGTCGCAGTCGCACTTCGTAGCGGGCGGTTTTAGGCATGTCGGCAGTGAAAAAAAAAACGATATTTTTTTAAATATTAATATCGACCTCGATATGTCGAGGAAAAAATAGCGATATATCAGTCAAATTTTCAGAGATTTCGGTTTTGTTTAGTTCAGTCTGGCTTAATAATAGGTAATAGTATTTTTTATATAAAATGCACATTATTTTACTGCATGAGAATTTTAATAAAAACGAAGGTATTTAGTTCCAATAAAGTGGTTTTTACGGCATTTAAAGTGAGTGACGCATGATGACTGCCACATACACGCAACACAAGCAAAACATCTAGTCATAGACAATACAGTATTATTTTCCGTTCGTTCCTATCTTTTACGGCGTTGAATTGTTAAATATTCCTCTAATAAGTTAAATTGAAAATAAAATCGTTTTTAATACGATTTTTTATATTGAATACTTTGTATCGATGTATCGGATCAAAATATATGGGCTACAAATATCGATACATCGATGTATCGATATTTTTTCAACAAGCCTAGTAGGTGTCAAAACTCAAAACTTCAAAATTCAAAAGTAAAAAGTTTTATTTGTCATCAATGGAGTATGGATGGACAATGATCATTGATCAAAAAAGAAAACAGAAGTCTTAAAACTACAAGCTGCAAGTGTTAACCAACACCATTAGAATTTAAGGAAAACTAATGATTAGAAAACGAAGTTTAAACTACAAGCTGCAAGTGTTAACCAACACCATTAGAATTTAAGGAAAACTAATGATTAGAAAACGAAGTTTAAACAAGAAATACCAGATTAAATTTTAATTGAATTGGAACAACAATTTTATGATAAAAGAAATAAATTGACAAAACAATACAATGAAGATTAAAAGAACTCCACAAAAAAGTGACAGTGAAAATATTAGCAAAAAGCCGAAATATCAAAATATTAAAGATTATTTTCAAAAAACCTTAGAAGACAGTGGCATTTTACTAAATGAACCTCCAAATAAATGTGTCGCCTCCTACGAAGCAGTGGTCATCATTAGAAATTTAAAAAAGAATTTACAACGCAATTCAGATTATCCGCGTAATATGTCTGAGTTTTATTTAAATTTACAAAAAAGATGTGAAGACCTAAAGGTATTCAAACATTATTTATTTCCAAATATAGTAAGAATAAGTGGTGAAAATTCTGCTGAATTTTGTTTAAATGTCAGTTTATTTAAAATCTTGCTAAGTCTTCCTATACTTCAAAGAAAATTAATGGATTATATATTTGAAAAAGCAATTGATTTGGCTGCTGACTCTAAATGTGGTCCATGGATACAAATGATTTTAAAATGTTTCTCTTCATTAGATAGTATAGCTGATAGTGATAAAATGGCTGAAAATTTAATTAATTTATTGGATGTTACTTCGGAAAAGATGGTTCGTTTGGAGATTATTACAGCAATTCCAGATATAATAGGAGACCAAGCTCATGATAATATCACTTCAGAAATGAGCAGAATCTTAAGTGAAGACCATGATCTTATTCCTGCTATTCTTGATTGTCTTTCTTATTTATGTTTATCAGATGAACAATATGCACAATTACAAAAGAAAACTTTAAATATTTTAAAGACATTGTCTAAATGCAGTTGTTTCCCAAACTTTGTTAAATTTCTTCTTATGCCACGACGAACCAATGATGGAGCCTATTTAGACATTGTAGTAGGATTGAGGAATGCTTTAGGGTGGCCAACATCGAACACAACATTGCAGGATATTGCTTCTAGTCAAATTCTTACAGCTTCAGCAATAAGAAACTCGATTATATCATCAAAAGTAATTGCTAATGCATGGATAAAACTTATTGCAAATTGTAAGATAAACACTGATCATGCTCCAATTGATTTAATATTAATAGTAATATTATATTCAACAACAGAGGAAAAACAAAAACAAATAGAAAACATTGTTAGAAAACAAATAAAATTGAATATATTAAATGAAGAATTATTAGAGGATGCATTCGAAAAGTTTAAACCAATTTTAAAAGATTACCTTAAACCATTAATTTGTCTTACAAATTCACTTTTAAAAACAACACAAGAACCCTTGATTCAACAATTTGCTTCACATATGTATAGTCTAATGTTTTCAAAACTTTTTGATTGTTGTCAGACAGTAGCAGCTGAATTACTTCAACTTGGCTTAGATAGTAAGCAATGTGTTATGAGCATGTTAACAATCTTAAACAATGTAGCCCAACAAGATATAGAAATATTAAAATCCCAAAGTATTCAAATGCTAACTTTACTGGACAGAATGGATGATATGACATTATCAGAGGTAAGAGCAGTAATGAACCTAGTATGTGCTTTAGCATATTCTATTGAAAATTCAGTCATCAGAGATGATATACATATGATTGTAAGAAAAGAATTAGGAAGCTCTAACCCTGTAGTGAAGATACAAGGAATTCTGGCTGGTATACATGCAGTTAAATATTTAATGGGGTCAAAAAATCATGAAGATCAGTCTATCGAACAAGCTGATGATTCTAGCATGAGTTCTATCAATCATTTACCTGAAGGTGATATTCGAGATGCAGCACAGATTATGGAACTGATAAGTCGTAGCACCAGACAATTCCCAGATATGATTGCATTTTTTTATGATGAATTGTGTAAAATAGTCAAGTCTGTGGAATATATTAATATACATTTCTTGAATTGGATGACAGATGCTGTAACTAATGACTTACAGCAAAACTTTATAGTTTATGTATTAGAGTCTGAAAAAGTTGCAGATTTAAAACTTACTATGCAGTACTGTATAAACAGTGATAGTGAAATGGATGAGACGATTGCCATTAATATAGCAGGTTTAACTCTAAAAGCTCAACAGGATGTTAGTATAATCATTTTGTCCTCATTATTTCAACTAGTACAAGCTTTACATTTGCGTAAACATAATGGAGATTTATCAAGCATAGATGCATTATTAGGGTGTTCAATCATAATGCCTCATTTTGATATAGAATTAATTGATAATATGAGCAATAGAGCTATATCAAACATCTTAGACTGTCAAGTACATTGTGCCAACTGGTTTCGCGAATTATTAAATGCATTTGCATCTCAAACTGATCCAGCATTAAAATTGAAAATATACCATAGAATTTTTGATTTAAAAACAATTGAGTCATTAATTGGTGAAATTCTAATAAGAACCAATATATCATATAAGCCACCACTTTGCAATTTTAGTTTAAATAATATAAACAAAAACGTAACCTTGGAAAAGAGACATCATAAAACTCAAAATATTAAATCTAAAACACCAAATAAATTAGAAGGCCGTGAAGATTCTGTTTTACCTCAAACTCTCAAATCTCAAGCAAATTTAAATACTAATAATGCTATAAAAAATAAATTAAATATCTTGCACAATATACATTTTAGACATTTTAATTTAGAATTATTAAATTTACTTAATGGTAAATTAACCGAAGAAAGAGAACCAGATAATAATTTCACTATAGAAATTTTTAATTTTCTTTTAAAATACATAAACAATAATCTAGAAAATATACTTATTTCTAAAATTAAGAAAAAAACGTTTCTCTCGAAGCATGATCACATGGAGCCATATTGTCGTAAGAAAGCTGAAGAATGTGCTCAATCTGTTATTAAGGTCCTACCAAAAGTAGTGTACCATATGAAATACATCAACTCAATATTGGATGAATGGCTTACCGAGAATGATAATAATAGTGAAGAATCTTTGTATAATGACAAGATTTTGGAATGTTTTGCAGCCATAGAAAATATATTTAATATGTATACAATACATTTTAAATGGATAGGATTTAAAAGTCATCATAAATCTTTACTGAAAAATTCATTACGTATTGTCGCTAATATCGATAGCATAAGTGGTATTTATATGCAAGACTTACTATTATCTGTTGCAAAATATTTGCAAGGCCATGAAAAATATTGTGTTCAATTAACAACTGCAGTAGCGTTAATTGAAAATTTAAAGGCTATTCAAGAATATTCATCATGTCCAACTATAACAAAAATATTGAGAGACCTAGCAAGTAAATTCCTATCGAAGCAATGGAAAACGGCAGATGGAAATATTGAAAGAGGATTACTTTTAAATCAAAGTATTGATAACTTCGCCAGGGAATATTTCATATATAACGATATTGCTGATCTAAAGTCTATTATTCTTCTCTTAATTAACGACATTCAGGTGATCATAAAAAACCGCAATAGTTATTTAGAGTCGTTTCAAAGCATAAACAAGGCTAATTTTCCTATTTTGTACAGGAATTTGGGTAACGCTCTTTTTGTTGTAACGAAAACATATATAAGCAAAGGATTAACTAACGATGAACTTTTAGATTTATGGAAAGATGTAGTATTCATTTTAAAGTGCATGTCAGAGATAACAAAGGTCCTAGATAGTAGAAATAATTTAACCACGTTTTTTAAGAAGTCATTGCCGATCATTAAGCTATTCATAATGGAAGGTATACCTATATTAGAGCTAGAATTTAAAAACAAAACACAAGAAATTTTGGAGATTTTAAAAACGTTACAACTATCTACTAGATTCCTTCAATCTTTGTGCTGCCATTCACGATTAAAACAAGACACAGCTTTGATAAACAAAGTTCCTTTTGTTAAACAGCTACTTGAAACTCTTCTTTATAAGGTAAAAGCTTTATTAGCTGCAAATAACTGCTCGGAGGCATTTTGGATGGGCAATCTAAAAAATAAAAATATTCACGGCGAAGTCATATCGTCACAACAGTCTGAAGAAAATGAAGATACTAATGAAGATTGTGATGAACAACTACCAGATGACGACAGTGATGAAACTGACGACGAAATCCTAGATCCGGAATCAAGAAGTGTTAGTGATATAGTATGATAATTATCATTATACACATTTATTACATTAGTTATGATATAGAATAATGGCTTGTCTAAAGCTAAACAGAAATTATAAAAAAAATGTTATAGTACAAAATAATAATATTTCTAAATAAATAATTTTTTAAGTATTTACATTGATTTAATTTGTATTCCCTTGCTATTTAAAGATAAAAAAAACTTTTTATTTTTATTTCAAGCTTCATTTAAAACTATGTAATCAAATCTTCGAAGTTTAACTTAAGTTACTTTTAAACTTAGTAAATATGTGTAGGTATATATGAAATCCGGTTCAAATCCGAAACTTCATAGTTCATAGGTAGTCGAGTGCAATTAGGGTTTCCTCGGTTCTCAGCTATAATAAATGGATTTGGCTGATTTTGGATTTTTATGAATTTCTTGTACTAAATACTAAAAAGGTTTCATGAAAATGATGCTACTTCTAGTATAGTAGGTATATATTCCTTTTACAGCTAATATATTTATTTTTTCTATGTAGTTTTTATAAAAGTAGGCATTGCGAGTATACCTTAGGAGATAGCATATACTATTGTGGACCTTTAAGACCTACAATTTTCTAGTAGGTACATTGTTTTGAAATATCACGTAAGGTTTAGCCAGCGTTAGCTAAATAAATTTCTAAGGACGAGTTGATAGAACCTTGTATAAACAACAATAATTAGTTGTATTTTCGTGGACATTTTTAGAAAATTTGTTTTATTTTTAATTTACGGATTTGCAAAACAGCGTTAGGTATTTTGAACGAATAGACTTTTTAGTATATGGTAATAAAAACCCAAAGAAAAATCATTGAAATCCATTCATTTTAAGTAATGGTTCCGTCATTTTTCATTTACAATGACTCGTTGCACTCTCATAAGGTACCCACATGTTTAGTTACTTTCTCTAGATCTAAGTTTTGTAATTTTAACAGACAAAAAAATCTGAATCTCAGAAACGGCTCCAACGATTTTCATCTAATTTAGTACACAGGTTTCGGGGGCGGTAAATCGATCTACACTGGCGTGCAAAAAAATCGGGCCACCTAGAGAAAATGGACAAACTTAAGATATGATATTTTTTTATTAATTTTGTTATTATATATGGCCTAGCTGTATACCCTAGGTACCTCAATCAATAATCGTTGAATAATTTAAATAAAAATTATTGCTTAAAAATACGAGGAAAATCAAATTTAATGATTTTCGCGAGTTTGGTATAAAAATGTAAGCCGCAAATTAATGGGAAAATTAAAAGATTTCGATTGGTTTTATGATTTTTAATAATGCGTATTACCGCCTCTATTTTTAATTACAGCTTTTAATCGGTTTTTCAGAGAATTGACACACTTTTTTAGATAATCTTGTGTAATAGACTCCCATTCTTCCAATAAGGTGCTTTTTAATTCTTGAATGTTGCTCGGGACTACTACGCGACTTCTAACTTTTCTTTTGAGATGGTCCCATACATGCTCTATCGGATTAAGGTTCGCGCTTCGCGCTGGCCAGGCAATAGTAGACACTCCGACCTCTTGAAGGTACTGCTTTACTGATGTGTGTGGGCGAGCATTATCTTGTAGAAGCAGAAAATCTTCCAATGAACCCAGTAAAAGGCATCACATGATCTTCTAAAATCTCCGTTATATACCTAGGGGCTGTAAGGGATCCATTTTCTATGAATATAAGCTCGGTTTTCGCTTCGTAACAGCATCCTACCCAAAACATAACTGAGCCCCCTCCATATGACACTGTTTCCCGCATAGTGCATGGTGCATGTCTTTCACCTGTGTGCTTAGTGTGAGTTTCATATGACAAATCGAATGACTTAACCACGTTGTAAATCGAACATACGTTGTCACGAAGTAAAATGAATAAGTCTGAGTGCGAGTGACGAGCTAGTCATTCGATTCAAATGACGTTTGCTCACCAAGTTTAGCGTTTATATTTTTTCGTATATTGGTAGCACGTAGCGCATATGCGATAAACCGATCAAATTAAAAATAATGATTTTCTAACGCTATTCGTATGGAGGTGATGTATAATAATAATAATAATGAACACTTTATTGCACACCACACAAGAAAATAAATAAAGAAGTGAAATACATAACAATAAAAAGATGCACAGCAGGCGGCCTTATCGCTAGAAGCGATCTCTTCCAGGCAACCTTAGGGTAGAGGAATCAGTATATAAAAATGGTAGGCGGTGTACTTGTATAAATACATACTTATACACATTTAAAGTAAGGGTAAAGTTTATATGGGCAAAGAATTATATATGATCAGAATAACTAGAAACTTGGTATTAATGCTCTTCAATACAATTAAATAAATATGTGTTTTAGCATTTTTCGAAATTCAATCTCATAAAGTGGGCAAATGAGGGATGAAAGTTTGTATGATAAACTATAATTAATGCTTAGAAAGTGGTATTTACCCTTAAAATTAAAAATAAAACAATATAAATATTTTGTTTTGATTTTTTATTCTTGTGGAAAAAGCGCCTTCTTCAGACTTCTATTTCGTAGCTTTTCTTCCCTGACAGCTGCTTAAGGTGGGAAAACCTTAGACCTATTTTCCCTTGGAAAACAGACGGCACCACATTCTCCTTTAACTTTCGACGTTGTAAATAAAAACCTGCAATTTAAACAATAATGGTAGTTTATATATAATGTATCTGTATAAGTTCTAATAGAAATAAAAAATTAAAAAAAAACACCTGTAGACGATTGAACAGTTTCAAAATCACTTTCTGTAAAATGATGTCCACATAGCCTTAAATATAAAGAGTGTGTTTTCGCCAATTTTGGTCGTCTTATTGCTTTAGCTTACAATTTCTTCAGTTTCTGTGTTTTGGGAATGATATGCATTTTCTTTGCATCATGACACTGCACAATTTGTTATTTTAGTTAAATTTTAAACAAAATCCATGCACGCTATTGAGCTTTACAATAATACTGAAAATCATAGCGACCGCGACATCTGGCGAGAGAAAAAGGCTATTTTCTTCCTATTCCTACATAAAAATGTATTAACCAGAAATTTTGCATTAGGTAAAGCGATACATCCCATTTGGATAAGAATAATATATTATAATGCAAATGAAAAAAAACCCTAGGAATAAAGTCCCTACACAATTACTTGTAAACGAATTAAAAAGATTTTGACCAGATTTAATATTGGTGGGTTACAGAGAGTTCACAAGAGATACAGACTATATTTCTGTCTTAATGGGCGAACGGGCAAATCTAGGATACAAAAATTAAATTAAATATAATTATAATAGGTAAGCAATTCCAATGAATTATAAAATAAAAGAAATTGAATAAATTGCAGATTTATAAAACTCAATTTACAATTAACATTATGCTAAAGTTTAGGGCCTTTCTTTTTCATTAAATAACTAGCTCTGCGGACTAGTTTTTTTCTTTCTTCATAATGTTTTTTTAATTTTTGATGACTATCTGAAGTCTTTTTCTTATCTCTCATAGTGAATTTCATTTCCCTGTTTCCCCCTGTGCTTGTAGTTACTATAGCGCTCTCTTTAGACAAACGTTCTCCCAGACTCTTTCTGCTGACATGTATCATACTTCTAATATTACTTGTTTTTGGTGCTTTGGTAAATTCATAAACCTTCTCATTATTTTCAGATTCTAATGGTTCATCTTGCGTTTTTCTGTTTCTAATTATTTTATGTTGTTTTTTCATTTCTTTTGTCCACGTCCTGTCTTCATCAGAACTGTCACTACTTGAATCATACAACTCTCTGTCAGAATCTTTCTCGTCTGTATCTTGAACCTAAACAAATTTTAATTGTTACTTTTAGTTAATTAATGCTACAATATCAGAATTAAAGTGAACATTGTTGTACTTAAACAACTTACATTATTGATTATAAACATGTTATTTGTATAAAGGACATTTCCAAAAGTGGTTATTATTTGCACAATTACTAATGGGAATAAGTTAAATATATTTCGACAGATAACTCAAAAATAAGTATTTCTCAATAAATATATGTAGTTGAGTAGATTTAGAAAAACAAAAAAGAACAAAAATTATTCAAACTAGGGTGATTATTATTAATGTAAATGAGACAAAAAGACTAAATTAATTTTCAAAATTAATCTGTCTAGCATTGACATAAAGATTTGAGTTATTTATTTATTATAAAGGCTTACTAACTAAATTTACATAAAACATGTATTTAACATTATAATGTATCATAAACATGTATTTAACATTATAATACCTATTTGTATATAAATTTAATTTAAAAGTATGCACAGCTTTTTATAGAAGTATTCCATTAATGATAAAATAACAAACATTTTAATGTTCTACATTACTATATGAAAGTAATGATAATGTATTTAAATTTTATGTAAAAAAACCAGTAGAACTATAGGTTCTACTTATTAAATAAACAGCAGGTAATATTAACATATAAAAATATTGAAGAACATGTATAACAAACATTTTTGCAATGTATGTATTTATGATTTACCTCAACATTGTCTATTTCCATCCTTGGTTTTGTTTTATTTTTGTCAAGCCTAGCAAGTACAGGGTTTAATAGGCGATATTCATCAGCATCCTTATCCACTTCAAAATCTGGATTCTCAAATAATGCCTAAATACAAAAAAAAAAGTACATTTATTACAAATATAGTTCAAAGATATTTAGGCAAGACTATGATGACCGTAATGGCCCTATTTTGACCATGGATTTTATAATAAATCGTTCCAAAAAACCGCAAAATAGTAACTGAAATTTTTAATTCTGAATCCTCCTATGAATATTATTAATAATTCTAAATGAATCGGACCTAAAACTTATGTATTTTCATTTTTGGCCAATTAACCAAAATTCATCATCAAACTGCAGCACTACGGAAACCCCCAATATTATTATAATATATAACATACCTTAAATCTGTCATCTTTAAGTAAATCCATTGATTGTTTTTTCTTTCCTGTATTACTATCTAACAATCGAGATGCAAGATCGCGATTAACTTTTGGTAAATTATCATCAACTTTAATTCTAGATGGTCTCTCTTGTTCAATTTTTTCCCGAATTTTACGTTTTTTATATTCCTCAAATGCAAATGGATCCGCTATTGATTTAGCTCTCTTGTAGAGTCGTACATCTACGAAATATCTGTAATAGGAATAAAATATCTTGAACAATTTTGTATCTATGTATGAAGCTTAATACATGAAATAACACTTGGTACTGTTAGTAATAAGACTTGCTATAAGGTGGCACTGCCTGTATATAATATAAATATTAGAAATAGGTACAAATGTCATAAATTCAAAAAGTACCTAGAAAAAAAGAAAAAAGCAAGGGTAAGTTATCAATAAAATAATTTTCAGAATCATACAAAATATTTATTTCGGTCGTCATCTTGAAACTTTAAAAATAGCCAAACTCAATGTCCATTATGATCAATTAAAGAGGTGAGAGCACAACAACCATACTCATCATAGGAATAAAGAAAGGAATATTTCTATTGTTGTAAGTGCTAATGGAGCAGACCCAATGCCATTCATTTGTGAAAGGGATGGAAGTGTTTATATTTGTAAGGGACAGAGACAAGAAAATTCCAAATCTCTAAGACAATAATAAATTTTGTCAATAAAGCTTTTTAGATACTTTATTGTACTATTATCATTAATTCAAGTATATGCCATTTTCATCTAAATCTATATTCTTTACTGTACTCTTTCCAGAATTAAAAAACTTACCCATGCATGTAAGCTCGTAGCAGATTCGTTCCAAGTAAATGGTCAAGACCTAATGACTCTAGCTCTTGTTTAGTAACAAACTTATAGTCATCATACACTGTTTGTGAAGCAGAACTTTCCATTTCTTCAGTTAAATTGTCTAGGAATGCACACCATCTTGGAGCTGGGCCTGTAAAAAGATGAGAAGAGTTTAATAAGCATTAATGTTACATTTTTATTTCTTATTCACTTTTACAATGAACAAATGTGTAGGTATGTATGAACTAATGTTTATTAATTGATTGTGAATAAAATACCATCCTAAATTACAATATTATAATAGGTAAGTTCTCTAAATAATTTATTATTAAAAAAAAAAATAATATATCGAAAGAAAAATGTTATTATCCTATTGTGCTATTGAACATGTTTGGACCTCTAGGTAAATTTCTAAGAAATTAATTAAATTTCTAAGAAATCTATTAAATTTCTAAGAAATCTATTCTTAACTGACACGCCGGCGCGACGTGTCCGCGGTCGTGAAGGGATTAATATAGTTTTTTAGGTTTAGCATATAAAAATTATTGAAAAGAAAACAAGGAAATTAATCTTAACATATAAATAGCTCACATTACGCACAATAAGCATAGCTACCTACATCAAAATATCTATGATTAAAGTTAGTATACATACCTAAAGATGGAATATAATAAATTTGCATTTTTTGGTCTTCAACTGCCATCATATTTAAACCAGTATTTGGTATTACACATAAGTCGTTAAAGTCAACTGAAGATTCAATATTTGTGTATTGTTTGCCCTGTAATAAGATGTAATTTATTTTATAAACTGATTATTGACTTATTCATTCTTTAATTGGATGCATCTCTAGTTGTCTCTTTGACATACATTTTAATGCCGTCACAAAACAACTTGATGGCCACTTTTTTCCTGCTTCAATTAAAGTTATTATGATTTCTGGCAGTAACCACATTTTAATTGAAATAATGAATAGTCTACAGCACTCGGAGGTAGTGTAGCTCCCTAATAGTGATATATTTTCAGAATTGAATTAGTAGTATCCGAGATTGCTATTTAAACCAAACTTACAAACTGTAATCTATACATATAATAAAATTCTAACTGAGTCATATCTGTACATTAAATATTTATTGAAAAATATTTAATACTACCATACTAATATGTAAAACCTAAGAATTTGGTTATTGGTCATCTGAAGACGGGCGGAGCCATGGGCAATGCTAGTTATTTTTATAATTATTAGTGTAATGTTATAATAATACTAGTTAGTATCTTCTAAAATGCACTTACAGTATTATTATCCCATATTTTTACAACATTGGCATCCATGGAATAAATATAATTCATTTGCTTGTGGAATTCAATACACTTAATTGGAATTTCATTCATATGGTCCTTTAGTAAGAGGGGTTTGCTAGATCTTATGTCATATAGAAGAACATGACCAGATGATGTACCAACTCCCATTTGTAATGCTCCATTAAATTTCAATGCAGTAATAGCAGGTACACCGCTACTTTTGCTAAAAATTAAAAAGAATCTTTTCATGTTGTAGATACTTTGTTTTTTTTAACTTCTTACATCATAATTTTTTATATTGATTTTAATTTTCAATAGATTTCTCATTTATTTCAAGCATATATACATACTTGTATTCTGAACCGGTACAATGTAGAGCACAGTCTAATATGCCCTGTCTGGACTTAGTTCGAGGGTCCCAAGATTCTACATGTCCACTTTCTGTGCCAAATATTAGTAATCCATGTTCTTCATTAACGCTGCAACAGTTTATTTCAGTTGCTTTTGTTACATATGGAGCTAAAAATTGCCCTAATTCTAAATTTAACCTGTACACTTCCTGAAAGTTAAGTATTTTTTTTGTCTTTATTTCTTTTTATTTATTATAATTATAGCAATATTATGCCTTACAAGTGCAAAAATTTTAAATGTTTTTTTTTCAACTAAACTTACATTTGAAGCTCCGACAACAATAAGATCACAAGATGGTCTATGATACTTCATGTCCCTTCCAAAATGTGGCACTCGAAGACGAAAATGACGACCGTGTCCCACATGGAATTCTACATAACGATCACATTGCAAAAATACAATCTGCAAAAAATTAATTTAATTTTACAAGATCATACAAAGTTAGATCAAAGCTATGAAAATAAATATAATGTATTTACTTTAGTATAATCTTCACTAAGTATCTCAAATGTAACAACTTCAGAGTCTAGACATCTTTCAAATTTTAATGATAAATTATTCACATCAAAACATTTGACTCTTGGTTTATATATTCCTGTGGCCATTATGTACTGTCCATCTTTAGAGACCCTTATATTTGTGCTAACCCCTGGCATATCAAATTCTTGAATAAGTTCTATCCTTCTTCGTAGGTCCACGTTTTTCTTTAATAGTGCTCGCTTTGTCCTTTCTGTTAACCACTATAATTAAAGAATAGAATTAAATGTGTATTTTTTTACTACTTCAGTCATTAGATCGAATTCAACACCTAACTATTCTTACTTAAACTTCAATACTTTTAAAAATATACAAGCAATATTATTTGATATGACTAAAAAACAAAGTGTGTTACTTACATCTGGTAAAGATTTTCCCGCACTAAGGTTGTATATTTTAACACTGTCTATTTCCGATACTTGCATAATGTTAGTATATTATTCTGTATACTATTATGTAATAGAAATTATATATTTATTATATATTTATATTCCTGATAATTCCTTAATTTCTTTATTCATGTACTTTTTACTATTTAACGTTTTTTTTTCCGTAATAAAGTTTATAAATTAGTAATTACAATGTCCATGTGTTTCAACTTTTGACAACCCTCCATAATTTGTGTTTTGACAACTGTGAACTGAGTACTGACTTGAAGTTTGAATATCAGGGCTGCCACATAACAGCCGTTGATTTACCCGACCAATAAACCTCAAAATACCCGGTTTATCCCACCCGCGCCAGCCATGAGCAGAATATAAAATAGTTTTTTTTGAGTAATTTATTCATGTTTAACATAGAATAAAGGAAAGTACTAATGTTAGAAAAAGAAGTCATTGTAAGCAGTTCTCAATTAAACATGATTAAATCAAACATAAAAAATCTTAACATATCAAATTAATCAGCTAAACTAATATACATGTTTTCTACTAAAATACCCGTCCAAATTACCCGCCATCAAAAATCGCCTAAAATTACCCGCTTTTCGGGTAATTTACCCGCCAATTGGCAGCGCTGTTGAACATGTTTGTTTTGACATTTGTATTTTTTTCACTACATAGTGTCAGAAATAAAGTAAAGATATAGTGTTCAAGGAATAGTCAATTATTTTGACACCATGGTCCATGGTAATAGGTGTTTTTCTTAGTGTTAATTTTATAATTGAAGTTTTTTTTTATGTTTGATTTAATAATTTAAAGCTAATTTAAATGAGAACTGATAACAATAAATTCATTTTCTAACATTAGTACCTTATTTTATTTTATATAAAACATGAATAAATTACTTATAAAAACTATTTTCGGATATTCTGCTCATGGTTGGTGCCGGTGGGATAAACAGGATATTTTGAGGTTTATTGGTCGGGTAAATCAACGACTGTTATCTGGCAGCCCTGTAGTAGATAAAGACTATAGAGGTACTGACTACTGACCAAAGACCTTACACTTGTTACTTGTTAGTAAAGTTCTAAGTGCAAGGTCTTTGCTACTGACGTAAAGATAACAAAAATAATATTTAAAATGTTTTATTGAGCAAACCGTATTACACTGTTCAAGAGTTACTTGCTGATGAAAATGTGTGGAATTGAGTGATATTGACTCATATGCAGGCTATCTATGATTTATAATTATGATTAGGATAACTATCTATTTGAATTTGACAAAACAGTTACCAGTAAATAGATGTATGTCAAAAGACAGATCTTGTCAATTCCATGTCGCTTCGTTTTACAACTTATTAGTACGAAGTAGGTACATAAAAACCTTTATAAAAAAAAAACAAGAAATTTAAAAAATCATAGGTATTAATTTAATAGGATTTTTATAATTAAAATCCAGACTAATTTGAAACTAAACTGCTGCTTTTAATATTCCGATATGTTGTTTAATAAAAAAAATCTATTTAATATCTACCAAACTTTACTGTGCATTTGATTCATAACGAACAAAATAAATATTTAATAAATATGTAAATCTTTTAATTTTTCATCTTGTGGAACCATAACAGCATTTTCCTTCAAATGAGCATTTTTTTTAGCTTGACGTCTCTTCCACAACACGCAGTAGAGTCTGTAAATTAAAAAGATTCATGTAAAATTAGTAAAAAAATAAAAATAATATAAATGAGTATAAAGATTCTACCTCAACGTGAGGAAATATAAAATTTCTGCAACGCTGAGTATTGAAAATCCCATAAATAGGCCAAGTAAACCTCCACAGTTGGCAAGAAAATCGGTTTGTCCGTAGAGTTCTGAACGCCGAGAAGTAATAAATTGTGCTTCTTTGAAGAAAATCATAACACGTGCGTATAATAAACTGTAAGAAGAAAAAAACATTATACTCGTATATGGTTATATGGCAACTGCTGAGAGTACACAATTGTATGTATACGATAAATTGAAGTATTGAACCCTCGCAACTACTTGTTAAAAGTGCCTCTTTCTAAATATTATAATGTCATAATAATCATAAAATAATGATATGGAGTTATCTTTAATTATATAATAATATATTAATAAGGATAATACTTGTATGATCTTTTAAAAAAAACATACGTATAAAAACTTAAAAAAAAAACCACCTTCCAGGCACCAAAATGTAAAAAATAACTAAATTGGGGTTTTCGTTTAGAATAGATAGGTACCTAATCAGATATATTCGAAGTCGGTGCCAGCCGATCCAAACCTAATATATTTCGGTACGTAAAATACATTACAAATAAAATTGTAACTAAGCCGAATCTGTACATTAAATATTTTTTGGAAAATCTAATTGAAATAGACATTACTATCGATACAGTATCCGAATCTATAGTTTTTAGAAATTTTGTCTATGTCTGTCAGTCTGTTACCGCATCACGAGAAAACCACTGGACACTGGATAGCTGGTTATCCGGGTCAACATATAGGATACTTTTTACCGCGGGAAAATATCTCATTTCTGAGAAAAAATACAAAAATTGCATGGTAAGAATATACTAATATGTAAAACCTAAGAATTTGGTTTTTGGTCATCTGAACGCGGGCGGAGCTCCGGGCAATGATAGTTGATGTATTTTTAACCATAATTAGAGTTTATACAAAATCATTTTTACCTAATAGATATTCATATCTTAAAATATTGTCGGCTGGCATCGACTTTGAAAATATCTAATTAGGTATCTATTGTAAATGAAACCCCCGTTTAGTTATTTTTTATATTTTAATGCCTGGAAGTCGGTTTTTTATAAGTTTTTATTTTTCCATTTTTAGTGTAGACGTAATAAGCAGGTAATTTGTAAGAAGAAAGTTTATTAATAATATATATTCTATTAAGCAATTTATATAAAAAAATTATTTATTGTTGATTTTTTTAAAAACCGCTAGACCGATTTCGGTTAAATGTAAATGGGATCTGGGAAGTATAATGTAACCTGGGAAGTATACCCCTCGAAACAAAAAAAACTTCGAAAGAATAGATTGCAACGAATTGAGAACCTCCTCCTTTTTGGAAGTCGGTTAAGAGTCTAGAAAATATTTTCGTTGTTTTAAAATATACCGTTTTTAAACGACATTTTATTTATGAAGAAATATATATTGAACTCCTTCCATACCAGATTTACTTTATATTACATAAAAATATTCTACGACAGATCTGTATTGAAATCGGATACTCCTTAGAAGTAAATTCCTGCAAATACTTTTCTATATCTCTATTCTATACTAATCTCAATAATAACTTTTGTATTTGCTTTAATTGTTAGCATTTGTTATTTTATAAATGACCGGCGTCGCTCCGCGGTTCCGGTAGTTATTATTTATGTTTTATTGCTTCGCTTCTTTTCACATTATCGCCTAACTTTCGTTTTCAAAGGATATACCTACTGCCTAAAACATTAAATAAGAATACTCGATTTTTAATCAGAAAGTTTATTTCCAGTCTAGGTCATTGTAACTATAATAATAAGGGATTTTCGAACAAACTTTCGACTCCGTTCTTACCCGACCTATAAATTTTAAAAATAATATTATCGGATTCCTAATCAGTAATCCTTATGCAAAATCTTCTGAGCTTTCGAAATAATTCAATACGTGAGTAAAGGAATGAGTTTTATAAATATAGAAGGTTATGATTAAAACATTACTCTTCAGAGTCCTCCTCTATTGGCTCATGTATAGCTCTGTACAGCGCCTTCCAGTCATAATCAGCTTGTGAGGTTTCCGCTTCGTATTCGATGGAAGTGCACGCTGGAAGACATTTGCAATCTGCGGCCACTAGACGCGCTTCGCAGAAACTGTCCTTATCATTTGTGTCCTTTTCGAAGCTGGATTGCACTTCTATTGTGAATAGCTCCACTAAAGCACAATTTAAAATTATAATTTTCATTGTAGACTAGAGCTGTAACTATACATAGTACTTACAATATTATTTATAATTTAAGTGCCTTTACATTAGGGTGGAACGATGAAATATATTTTTTTTCTTAATTTGTAGCTTATAAAAAAATATTTTTTTGAAAATAAAAACTTTAACAAAAAAATAAAAGCACTCAAAAGTAAAAAATAACTGATTGGTAGTTTTCATTTACTATACATACCTAATTAAATATTTTGGACGTCGGTGTGCTTTGCTTTGTATCGGCTAGCTATTAGCCGTTGAAGAGTTACACCTATCCACCTTCTGGTCTTACCATCAGATCAGGTCAACAATACCGAACCACTGTACTATCAACGGAAATAGAAACACTTGCAAACTTTCAAGTCAATTTTTTTTTTGAGATGACAAACATAAAAAAAACATACAGCCGAAGTGAGAAACTCCTCCTCTTTGAGGAAGTCGGTTGAAAAAATGTTTACTCAACATTTTGAGGTGGCCCACTAATTTTTAAAATAAATAATTTTTTTTTTTGGTTTGAATGGTTTTTTTTTCAAGTGATCATCTTTGAAATCATTTAAGAATCGACGAATATTGTCATTTTCTACTCAACTTTCGTTGTAATGCAAAAAAAATAACATGTTATTTTTTTTCAACTTTTTTAATTCAAAACATTGAGTAAAAAATTTTTTTTTTCAAAAATTTTGTTTTTTTTTATAAGCTACAAATTCTACACCCAAGCTAAGGAAAAAATAATTGTTTTTCGCTCCATCTTACTATAAATTTGTTTAAATGTTAACAATAAAAATATATAAGGATATCTATTAACCAAATTAATGTATATTTAATATAGGTAGCATCCGGGAATTAGTTATCTAATTTTTAAGAATGAGTGGAATGATAATATTAGTTTAGAAAAGGAAAGTTGTAAAAGTGATAGTGACGACGGTAATAATAAATGTGATATGAATAACTTTTATCTCAATGATGTAACAAATCGATATTCGAATGTAAGAGGCCTTAATATGGTGTCTCTATTTTATAATCCGTGTGCGTACTTTACAAAGCTATCG